ATTATGATGACCAACATATAAGGGAGAAGATCCGCTACAGGATCGGGATGTCCGGCCTCTCTCTACGTGAATGAAGACAAAAATTGTTTCAATGTTAGAATATTTCTGGCTCATGTCATTCCTTGTCATGTCTATTTTCTAAAAATACCCAAAGTGCGCATTTTATTTCAGGAAAACTAAAGATTTTTACAATAATGTATTATTTTTCTATACGAATGGTTACCATTCTTGTTATTTGGGAGAATTAAAACATTCTTCACCTATTTTTGCACTTTGAATCCACAATAACTTCACCAATTTATAACATATCATGAATCTTTTGGGAGATATGTATTTGAGATTGTAAGGAATAATTGTACGTATTGCTCAGTTCAGATTCTGCCTAATCTTAATCTCAGATCTTAGTCACTAGAGTTTGAAAGACTTTTATGACGTGTGAACTTTTAATTGGCCTATTATCTTTGATTACGAAGGACATATAAGAAATATAACTGGCCTTGATCTTTAATTGCGGGGTGGTTTCATGAAAGTCCCTTCTTTCCTGGAATCCGGGCCTGGAATGCAGTCACCTCAGGCCGCGGACTTTCAGAATGAGTGACAAACCGAAATACATTCAAACTTAATTTTCACAATGAGATTAATGCACAAACTAAAATTCGCCTTTTTAGGATACGAGACATGGATTTGACTTGTCGTGAATGTATATTTCAAGGCAGTACTCAAGGCAATTAAGAAAATAAATATCCACAGACGCCATGATCCAATGTAACGTAACCAGAGGTTGTAAAGTAAACATCCCCTGTTTAGGGAAATATAATCATGATTATAGATTAATGATCGTTGAAATATTTTTATAATCTTTTCCAAGATAAAAATAACAAATCAATATCAAGTAAAATCGGTGTAGATAATCAGACCCTTACAATAACGTTAATAATTTTAGTTTGAGTGTCATCATAAAATAGGAATACAGATGAAAGAGTACAGTATTTAACTAACAGAGTAATCATATTAATCAAGGGTCTGACATTAAATCATTACTTTCACTAGCCTACAAATAAACAAATATCAAAGGGAAGAACTTTAAGATAATTGTAAGCCACTTTCGTTAAAGCAATCAGTCATGATCAATCTGTCTCCAACAAGTACCCGTTACAGTAGCACTAATATACTGTAACCCGGGGCGACGGGGGCGGGGGGGGGGGGGGGGTGGGGTGGAATACGTGTAGTCGTGTAGTGTTTCCCGTTATGTAAATACACGCAATTTAACAAAAGATAAAAGTAATATTGAGATTTATTAATTTGGATTTTTAGATCGGGGAAAGCATCACCGTGATATCAAAAAATATAAAATATATATAAAATTAATTTAAATTGTGCCTGTTAGCGCATAATTTCACTTGACCAGCCTAATTCGACTAAGTTCATCTGGCATGTCTAGCCCCCGCGGTCTAGCCACGACGTGCTTGGAGCCCCTTCTTGGAGCTGCTTATAAGCTTACTCCTGGCACGCTCTGTCCAAGCCAGCTCTAAGCACGTCTAGAAATATCAAGATACGCAGTTTCTTGACTGTATATCATATTGAATATTCATTGTTTCAGCAAATTGATGTTAAAAATCATTTTTGCCGAAATCAAAAATGTATATCCAACCCGACAGTATATAGTACATAGCGGCCAAATAGTGTAAAATAATTAGTTATGCCCCACTCTCGTTTATTTACAGGGCCTGAATATTATACATTCATCTAAACAACACTGGTGACAATTTATTTTTACAAGAATCTACCATTTAAAATAGCAGAATAGTGTACAAAAATGCCCCTTTTATCATGTTTATCTACAACACCTGCATATTGTATATTTATTTTAACAACATTGATGAAAATTCATTTTTACAAAAATCGACAATATATTAATAATACTAATAGCCCAACTACATGTACATAAATGTGCAGAACAATGTCTTCGAGTCCATGGTATAGTATAATATACACCTTTTCATCACATCCTTTATTGACTCATCCATTCCAAGGCAGTATAATATCTTACACCAAGTGTGAATAAAAATGATCTTCCACACAGATTTCAGTCACATCGACACATTGTGTGGTACTGTATCTCTTGAATGGGAAAGGAGTGATGAATTTACATGTACATGTGTACGTGTTGGTAAGTTTGATAGAAATAACTCCCTAAATGGAAAGGGGAAGCAAGTCGCTATCCAAGCAATAACAGTATAACTCATCCCATACCTGATTGTCTTATCTATCAGTCTTTGCGTTTGGACAACATTTGGTTGAAGTCTCTCAGACCCAGAGGGGCAACATGTAGGTTTGATGCTATCTCCCCAGCGCAACTTTTAAAGAAAAGTTATTCGGAATTTGGATAATTCTGGGGTCAGCGAGTGATACATAGGTCCAGGTACATGGGCTACCTCCTTCGAAATAATATAAATGAATTGGCAACAAGCTATGATGTCACTGGCGAATCTAGAGAGGGGGGGGGGGCAGGAGTAGTAAGGGGACATCCCCAATTTGGTTCTGAAGCTGGAATTGTTAGACATGGACAAATGAAGGGATATAATATTTTTTTATTGTGATACACATCCGCAGCTATAAAAACAAGGAAGTGGACGAATGGCGTAATCACGGGGTGTCATCGTCTAATTTGGTCAATGTTAGGGAGCAGGTCGTTTTTACAAGATATTTCAAGATTTTCACACAATATATTTTTAATTGAAAATCTGTTTATTCGCAGAGAAAATGAACCAGCACATGCAATGACAATTTCAATCGTGCTTCTGCACGAAATTCGTCGGAATTATTTTATAATCTAATACGAAGTTACTAAAAGAGGCGCCAACGTCCTCCACTGGGAATTATCGTCTTTCCATTATAACTCTTTAACGTATTTTAACGAAGGCTTCTAATTATTATCCAAGATAGTCTAAATACTGATTAAAAAAATTCTTTCTTCAAACATGTGCGGCTTCCTTTGTTTAATTTTCTTAAAAAATATGAAATAACTCTTGTCAATGTTAGGGAGCAAAATGATTTTATGCTAACATTAACTGCTCCATACCATTGACAAGATTTATTTTATATTCTTTTTTAGAAAATTAAATAAAGGAAGACATACTTGTTTTAAGTAGGAAGCTCGATTGACATTGTCATTGTCTGACGAATTCATCGATTTTGTTATTGGATAACTCATTTAATATATACCTGCTACTATTCATATTCATATTTAAATGAGTTTGCCCTAAAATAACATTAATCCGTCCGCCAACAACTGGCGACTGAATTCGCGAAAGCTAGCTGAATGTTATTTAAAGATTTTAACATTTCAAGATCAATGTTTCATTACAACTACATATATACAATTGGTATTCATTTTCAAAAAGAGATAGTGAGGTTTTCAGAAGTGCTGAACTTGATCAAGTTAACCTCACTTTCTAATATATTATTTGGACATTTTATTATGTTAACTGTCACAACGATAAAGTTGTGCCATATTGTTATACCCACCGTTTTCTTGACTTGCTTTCGGCGTTTTTTAAAGCTTCGGAATAATAAAAATCCTTGTAAGAAATCAGGAATAAGCCATGAAGGAAAATGTTGTGATCTAGCCTTTTCATGTTGAAATAAGCCTTACACTTCAGGTGCAATTTGCACTGAATGCGATTTCTGAAGAGGTGCTGTGTTTTGATTATCTACAGTACTGTAAATAGGATATTTTTTAAATCTAGACTTACTTTAAAAATTGATACAAGCAAACACGATTTGTGCTACATTAGATGTTTGAATTAAAGTTATTACTTGCGCTGAAGACCGAGTATTAGTTCAGCACGCCACGACGCTCTCTGATTGACCAGTGGTAATTAATAGTAACACGGGACAGGCATAAATTGACCGTAGCGCGATGCTATTTATAACATAGCGCAAGTATCTATGCTCTGAGTCGCAAACAGCGTCGCGCTGAGTCGCTGAGAGAGTTTGAACACAGAGAGTTTCTCATTGCAGCGCGCCAATTTTATAGGTGCGCTGAAGCATGGCCTTACATGAAAGTTAGTCGTGGGCCGTACTGTAGATACCTGAGGAAGGACCTTTATTTAAACATTACTTTTGCATCAAAATAAGCTTTGTCCTTCACATTAAAGAATCAATCTACAGATCTGTTGATTACTCAAAGGGATTTTGTCGACTACTTTGGAAGAATGAAGTTAATCTAGATGGGGGATGGATTCAACTAATGAAGAAGGGGGGGGGGTAAATAATGAAAGTGTAATTTAGTGTAACTGTCAACATCAGGGCCTATCATCTACATGTATTTAGAGCTACCAACTGTACTGTTTGATCCAATATTAATGAAATCACTGTGCAGTTGTATTAGGGAAGGAAACAGATAAAATGATATTGATATTGAAATCTTCATTGAGATAAAAAAAACACCTACCCATCTCCTGGTATGTCTCTTATTTGAAGTCCCATCTTCATCAACTGAGTAGCAAAACATCCATAATTTTCATCATCAGCCAAATATGACTGCATTTTTTGTTCTTTCCTGTAAGCAGCCTTCGCTGCTCGTTCTTCTCTCTTCCGTGCCATTATTTCTATCTGCTGCCCCTTTGTTAGTTTGTACTGACCACGTTTAGGCGGCATATTTACTCACATTTTTTGGTTGAGACATTGAAATGGATTACTTTACAACAAAATCTGTTGTGCAATAAGTTCATTGACACAGCTACAGGAGTGAATTCAATTTTGAAAAATCCAAAGCAACAAGTTTTCCAGCCGGTTTTTAGAATTGGAATATTAGACGTAATACCTCGTAAATAACTTTGATTATTGCAATTTATCTTGCCTCAGTAGATTATGATTAAGTATGTGTTGTTTTGTTCACTATTCACTGTTGGTTTCTACCTGTTTTCACTTGCTTTCGGTGAGCATAAAAATTACATCTCTGTTGACATTTTTACCGGAAGTTCCTCAATTAAAAAGGCGCATGCGCGTGCAATGGAGGAAAAAGTTGAGGGAAAATCGAAAGTGCAAACTTTAATGCCAGATAATTCATCTCAGACTGATTTGAAATCTGCCATAGATAGACAAGGTGTGTATTTTATATTTGTTAGTCATATGTCAAATTTACATTGTAAGATTTTATGACAAACCCGTGAAATCGAAGTGCATCTGTTTTGTTTACAAATATTTTGCATTCTTTTCAAGATGGGCACAAGAATCTGGACACTGTCCAAATCTTTATTTTAGGTTTATGATGAAGAAAGTCAGATCAGATTTACTTAGAGAGAATGTTCCTCATATACAAATGTAATAAGTGCTCAAGTCATATGAGAATGACTCAATTTCTGGGGGCGTTTCCAAACTCCCATGCAGTGTCTCGTAAAAGACACTGCGGCGGGCCGATGAAGAAATCACCAAAATTTGGAGAAGATAGTCCCCGCTTTCATCACAGATGTACTCAATTTTCACACAACTTATAAAATATATATTCTTTTACGTTCCCCAATCATTATTTTGTCTGTTACGAAGAAGATTCTTTTCACCTTAGAACAGCAATCAAGCAAACAACCAATTAACCAAGCAATGAACTAATTTACCAATAAACCAACCAACCAGCAAAACAAACAATCATCGATACCCTGTCAATTACTCAGGCAATAAAACAAGCAACCAACGTCGTAAGTCGTACATCAAACTTTCATTGACAAATAAAAACCGTTCAACTATTAACATTTCAATATACGTGCGTAAATCTTCCAGATTTGTTCAATATCTAGTAGAAATCGCCATCATAGGAAAAAATCATCAACATCCTGTCAATCACTCACTTGTAGGCAATAAACCAAGCAACTAAAGCCATCTTACGTTAAATGACAGATAATCGGCAATTAATGTTTCCTATATACGCATGTGCATATTCATCCACATTTGTTTAATTTCTAGTAGAAATGGCCTCCTCCCCCGCCTTTTATTTTGTTTGATTTACGGCCATTATATTGGGTTGTATCGAAATAATAAATATGGACGTTTTTTGGCCCATCCTATATATGAGGGGAAAATGTGCAACTTTGAAAGTTGGTAACCCTGCTTGGAACGTTAGGTACCTGGTCACCCAGCTACTCGGTTACCCAGTCACCCAGTTTTTTACACAAACCCGATTTTAAAACTCATTTTTTGGTTCGAGACTATATAACAACTCCATCTATCAGCTGATGTAGAAACTATAGCACAATAACACAATAGCACAATCATGCAACATTGTCAAAATGTTTTGAAAATCATGAAATAAGTAGAAATATCCACGGTAGGATTTAGAGTAAAAAGTTTTGTTTATAATGTTTCACCACACGTGTCTTTATTAGTTATTAGTTAATACTTACAATCCAACCAATGAACTTGTCTAGCTTTTACAATCACGTGAAACCAGCATGAGACAAGAACCAATCATGTCAGTTGTTTATTACCAAGTTGCCATGCTCGTGATAAACGATCTGCCAGCCGCAGTGATAATTTGTTGAAGACTGCACAGGAGTTTGGGGGCGTTTCCAGTGGGTTTACCATGTATAAAATTCGGCGGGGGTCCTAGGCTGAATCCTCAGATATCAATATATTCCAGGTGATCTCCCCAGGATTAATTATTAAAGCAAGTGGGCTCAGCACCCACCTGAGATTTTGAAAATAGACTTGCACCCACCTGAAAATCCATTTGCACCCACTTGAAAATGAGAAAAATCATGTAAAATTGGCATATTAAACCAATTTTGGTCTGAATTGTGAAAATGAGAAATTTGCACCCACCTGAGAAAAAATCCTGGGGAGATCAATGTATTCCTATACCAAAATGTAAAATTTGGATGTGTTCCCATACCAACCAATATAGTGCCCAAAAGCCATACCAAATGTCCAAATATGAGACCAATGCCATAACAATGCCATAACTGGTCCAAAGTAGAATATTTCCTGAGAAAAAAACTAAGATTTAAACTAAAGATCCCAAGAAGAAGGCGATCTTTGAGGAAAACTTTCCAAAACAACCTCGAATAAGAAAATCTGTAACTTCTAGACCAATGCTGTACCACAAGTGTGAGATAACATATTTTCCATGACCATTTTCATACCAGAAAGTAGAAAAATCGACCATTGCCACACCTCAAAAGTCATAATGTGGGGGACATTCTCATACCAGATCCTAAAATTTAGGTCCATTGCTATACCGGATTTTCTCGCATATAAGCCCTGGGCGTAAAACTGAAAGAAAGGGTAATTTCGTCTGTTATTTTACCTCTTATTTTTTGCCCATGGGCGTGTAAGTGTACTACTTTCGATTTTTAGCCCAGTGGGCGTAAAGGTGAGAAGAACTGATGAATACAATGGACTAACGTACCTACTGTTGTAGTCCTACCGCATGTTTTGTAAGGAAATGTCACCTACAACCTTGGACTTAATGTTGAAACAAAGTAACAACAGAACGATCCACCACTGCCACTTACAGCACAGCGTTGAACTTAATGGTTGAAACAAAGTAACGAAAGAACGATCTGCCAGTGACAAAATACTCTTGAATTTATTGAAAAAATCAATAAATAGTCCAAATGTCTAAAAAGGTACCCCATATGCGCCGAGGATTTCTGTCTAGGTTTATATGCAGTGGCATTTCAGCTGTATTGGAATAGGCAGGACCTTCCAAGTGCTGGATGTTTATTGACGTAGTTTCATTCCGGGGGGGGGGGGTAGTCAAAATATCATAATTGCTTCCTTTCGCCATTGTGCAGGCTCAAACCTCAACAAAATTCTGATTATCTTTGAAACCAATCTTTTTGATTCCTCAATTTAGCGTTTGAAGACATGGATTTTGATAAGAATTATCGATGTTAAAACAGCGAGAAAATAGTGAACTCAAATAACAAAATGCAAAGCTTTCTTTCTGTTAAATAACTAGGCCAATTTAGGTTTGAGCCAATTTTTGAATAAAGAGAGCAAGATCAAAAGATTAGATTCCCGGGTTGGATTCTGGTGCTGTCATCTTTATATCAGCCAAAAACCTATATGGTTTGAGCTCTGTCTTTTCAAGTCAGAATTATATTGAAGTTTTATATTTTGCCAATAATAATATATTTAGGCAAAAAGACATTTAATTCTAGAATTATATATTCTTTGAGTTTACATTGGGAGCAACTTTTTTAGCCCCTTTTATTTTGTCCCTGGGATTTGTTCACAATGCTGCGGAACAGAAGAGGAGACTCGGAGCAAAGAAGATGTATGTCCTCTGGTGATAGATGTGGAGAAGTTAGGCTTTTTAGATGTAGATACACCCAACTGCTCAATACGGCATATTTTAGAATAAAAAATAGGTACTGGGTCCCTTAAAGGTATATTTTCATTGATTTTAGTTGTTAATGCAGTAGAAGCAGATGAGAGAAGTATTGAAGCTTTACTTGACCCAGTGCATGTTGCTCCTCTACATACAGTGTTGACTGATGCAAGCCAGTATGCTTACTGTGGATTATGTGCCATCACACTCCTTCACCTCAGCACATTGGAGCATGAAAAGTAAGCAACAAACCAATGATCTCATCAGGTTTTTACTCAATTCCTTAATTCTAATATGATTACATTTATTTTATTTAGAAAAGCTTGATATCATTAAAGAAGAATTGTTCTGTGTTACATTTATACAGGGTGACACAAAAATTCCACCCACTAATGTTGGATAACTTTTTTGTTTGCATGATATCTGAATTGTTCTTTGGCACTTAAAATTAGGCTTCATGGAGCAGCCCCACAAAAAGTTTCAGTTGACTAGCCAAATTAGATGCACTTTTATGAGCATTACAAGATTTGCTCTAAATGTTGTCCATTCCTTGCTGGCACAACTGGATTCTACACAAACAATGGCACATACCTTTTGTAACATAACTTTGTGAATTAAACTTATTATAACTTATCTTCAAAATTATGTTACAAAAGGTGGGTGTCATTTTTTTTATATAAAAATCCTAGTGTGCCTGCTAAGGAATATATGACACATCTTGTTATCTAGTTGAGCTAGTAATCTGAAACTTCTTGTGGAGTTTCAACACAGAATCTAGTTTTAATGTGCCAAATGACAAGTCAGAATTTGTGCAGACAAAAAAGTTGTGTAACATTATGTGGATGGGTGGCATTTTTTGTGTCACGGGGTATTACATCTTCATAGTCTTTGTTTTAAATTTTGTGAATAAAGGTTTGAACTGTGAGTTGGAGACTGCCCTCACATAAAGGGGGTACATGTATATGTGCTAAAAGGTTTTGCTTCTGACAAGTAGCTTAAAGTAACACTGTGCTTGGAAGTATACTGGTGATCCACTCAATTTCGCTGGTTACCAAAATGGTTTATTTCGGTAACAAAATGTCGGAACGTCGAAGGTATGATTTTCCTTTTTTTTATTTCACACGTTGTAGGCAGAATTCCCACTACATTTTTATCACAGATGTGTATCAGTATCATGTTTAAGAAAATGTACATATTTGCGAACAAATAGTTCAGAAGGAAACAGAATCGTCGATTTAATTCCTCACTTAAGTTGCATAAACGGTATTTCGAAAAACAGTTAAGATCTGCACTTTTAACCCATATCGTTTATGTAACTTAAGTGAGGAATTAAATGGATGATTCTGTTGTCATCTGAGCTATTTCTCGCAAACATGTACATTTTCTAAAACATAGGATACTGATACATGTTTGTGAGAAAAATTTTGTGGATTCTGACTACAACCCGTGAACTAAGGAAAAAAGAAAAATCGTACCTTCGACGTTCCGACATTTTGTTACCTAAACAAACCGTTTGGTTACCAGCGTAATCAAGCGGATCACCAGTGAAGTAGCGGGACAGTTGCCTGTCGCTTTCTGTGTTACTTGTCTTTGGTATCAGAACTCAGTGCATAAGGTTCTTAATTATATTGACAATCAATTTCAGCACTTTTCCACAATTAGATCGTGAAAAGGCGGATTATTTCCAAAATCAAGAGAATGAATCCAAAGTTTCATGTTTTGGTGACAGTTTGATCATTTATCGTTCCACCTCAACTATGTAAGCCGTCGCCCATAAATGAAAATGACAATAAAGACCACACAACAGACTATACATAGTGTGTGTACTGTATATAGCTGTTCCATTCCGAAATGTTTTTGTTCCATCCCATTCCTAAGAAAGGACTGCACATTCGACTGAGATCGACTGTTTTGACTGACATCTATAAATTATATAAAACCTTAAAGTCATATAATATTTGATTTGTAAAAAAATATCAATATCATATTTGGACTCCTGCAATATTGGAGTTTTGTGTATAATTTATTCAAGCCAAAGATCAATATTATTCAAAATACTTGTATTAGTTTAATATATTCTAATCAGTTATACTGGTACATCACCTGAGATATTAATAAAGGAAATGATAAATAATGATTTTGAAATATAACTCTTGTCATATTCTCTTTAGAATAAAATAATATTAGAATATTTATCAAATGCAAAATCTATTTACCAGTATGTTTATTATGTTCTTAAGCAAGTTGCAGTCAAGATGTATATAAACACTTTTTATCTTTAATGTTAGAAAACTCTTGATGTATTATTTTTTTTATATGTTCAACTGATGTTTATATACTGTACAAAACATATATACAGTATAAAAGCTGTATAATAAAGTAGTGACACATATGACAGAGAGGATCTTGAAAGCCCCTAGAGAGACTGGCATATTGAAGAATAAATAAATATAGATATAAACTAGTTTTTAGCTCACACAGTGTGGCTATGGGATCCACTGTGTATCTGATCTGTTCATCCATCTGACTGTCAGTCCATCCATCAACATTGGAGGTACAAATTAAAACCGCTGTTTGTATTATGATTATTTACATTTGTTTTACATCTATCAATGGTATTACCTATCATCTCCATTTCCCTAGTTCTCCCTGTTTTTGAGAAATCATCGATTGTTACATAAAAAAGCATACAATTTAGTCTATCAACTGCAGGCAGGTCATTTTGACAGGTTGAAAATTCTCATCCAGTTTCTAGATGGCTGTTTCAAATGTGAATATTCTCTTTCTAAATCTCAATCTCTCTTTTTTTTTTAAGTAACGTGTTATTATTCAAAGTAGAAAAAATAGATCAAATAGAAACAGCAGAGTATATATTTGATGGTGATATGTATACTGCATAAGTATTTATCTCATACTCAGAAATCCTCTGGAATTTTGTTAAAAGCTGTTGAGTTTTAAAAAATAAGAAATGTCAAGAACTTGAAATTGAGACAAAATATTCATGCTTTGATTGTAATTGTAATTTGTAATTATTACATGAGGGTTCCATAACATTCAATGCATACTTAATATCTAGTAATCATCATAGCTAGTATATTGTTTTTACCTCAGATATACCCTGTATCAAAAACTTCCCATTAAATAACCTCTAATGAATTAAAGAAGAATTGAACAGCCAACTTGAAATAAATGCAACGCGCATAATGATTTCACTGAATCTGAAAAAAATTCATCTTTTTGAAACCATAGGATGCATATTACAGGGTGTCCAAAAAGACCAAAGAAGTTTATTAACACAGTGAATCTCTTAGATTTGTCAAGTTCATTCAATCTGAATTTTGCTGTGAAACTTTGATGATGGTCAAAAAACGACTGTGAACCTCTCTTCTCAGTATTTGTGCATAAATTCTGGAATATCAAGGCAGAATATGCAAGAATGAGTTTTCAATAACCAAAGAGTTCTCTGTTTAAGAGTACATAGCAAATTATATTTATTTCATACAGGGCCTCATTGAGCAGTGATTGTCTTTTGACAAAAGAGCAGGCAAATTAACATCCACACAGTCTATTGTTTATATTTTGTTGTAAATTTTTGTACACTCATATTTTATTTAGTGGAAGTTGAAGTTGTGAAGGGATCAATAGTATAGTACTATTGAATCATTCATAATGCTATGTGTTCCCAAGAGTAAACATTTTTTGTTTCAACTTTGCTGTATATGGTTTTTCTTGCATTGCAAGTTGTTTACACAGTTGTATGTCTTTTGCCTCCTCTCTCAATTTATATGCTAGGACATCCTCATCTTTGTGACCTACTTTTAATTCAGGATCTTCAACTTTATCCCCTGGGACTATATCTTTAATGCATATATTTTCCCATTTCGTTTTCATTTGACGAAATTTACCAACTTCTGTTTTTAGTCTGTCATATCCATATATATTTACCCTTTTCCAAAAGGATGTATTAAAGTACTTATACAACTGCATGTCACCATTGTTCCACTCTCTAAGGGAATTCCTGGTTTTTGTAGATATAGGTTTTCTGGATTTAATATTTTGGATTTTTGTGAAGTATATAATTTCCTCTGTTCTCCAGCCCAGTATATCTCTCATTAGAACAAGTGATTCGTCTATGTACTCCGATAACATCACCAAATCAAATCTGGCATTGATTTCCATGATTTTATTCTTAATAAAAGTGTTATTGTTCATTCTGTCATGTGGTACCCCAAAATCAAATAACATGCCATTCTTTGGTGAAACGAATATACCCTTAGTAGTACATTGCTGTCCTTTAAACCCCTTACTGGTCACATTTCGAACAAAATCCTCAATATGCTGAATTCTAAGATGAGAATAGCATTTTTCCAAATGAAAATAATCATATGATGAAAGGAATTGTGTATCTGGATGTCGAATTATTGTGATAAATTTAGTATCCTTTGGTATCACTTTAGAAACATTTCCATTAAAGAGGAGGTGGTGACACATTATATTAATTTCATTACTGGACTTCTGTATAAAGTCGGTTGAAAATGTTCTGGGATATCCCAATAGATTATTATTAACACCAACTGGCAGGGCAATGTTTAGATTATTATTGTCAGCATACCGCATGAAGATATTTTGGATTGTAGAACTTGCCGTTTTATGAAGCTTCAAGAAAAATATATTTTTCTGAGCAATTGTCTTTTTATTATTAGCTTCAAAGAGTAGATGTGGTGCATTCCAATTGTCCTTGTTCGTTCCAAAATGAATAGACATATTTCGACAATTTGGACATAGTTTCCCATCATTGATGAAATGGTTTCTTCTGATGAATTCCGCTTCCTTCACTGTCTTTATTTTACAATGGTACAATCCTATTAAAGCGAATGTAAGGAGAATCAAAGTTGCGATGAACAAGTTTCTATATAGATACTTCATGATGATAATGATGTCCATATAAGCTCTCTCGTCTATAGCTAGCTTTTATCAGATAAAGCAATGAAATGTTTTTGTACATCTGTATACATTATCTTGATTCTGACTACTAGACATCTTATAAGAATTCAGTTATTTAAGCCAAAGAACATGCAGTTATATTTACATTTTTTATGGCCTTCTAATAGTTATCAAATATTGAATCAAATTGAATTGAAAGCAAAAAGTTCGTAGCTCTCAAAGGCACATTGTATTGAGCTGATAAAATGTTTAAATTGCATTTTATAAAACCTTTCTTTGTATGATGTTTGAAAGAAATAGAAATATGCATGAATAGTGGGCTGTATAGCAAGGTTGGTCGGGGTCGGGAGCTGGGGATAATTTTATTGCTTAAATATAACCATATCAACATCCTACATTAGAATCCACTCAGTCTAACATCAATTTCTGGTGCGAAAGTTGTCATTTTTGAGTTTTACCCCCCTTGACGACAAATTCTTGGGGGTACTATGACAAATGCTTATAACTAAAGAAGTATTTATTTGATCATCTTCATTTTTGGCATGGGTAATTAACAGGTATGTAAAAGTAAAATTTGAAAAACTCATACAAATCGGGTGATTAATCCATTCTAAAGATAATAATTCAGGTATTTTCAAGGGTCAATTTCAACATTTTCTGAATGTCGCCATGAAGTAAAAATAATATTATGACCCAATGACATATTTATTGAATGTTTTTAGGCTTTAGAAAATAATTTGACTATATAAGCTAAAATAATAACATAAGAATTGTACCATATTGATAATTCTTCATCGCCATTCAGGCATAAATAAACCCCCCCTCCCCCATTTTCGAATATAAAGGTCTATACCTGAAACTTCCTCAAATAGCTATATTTCAGAAACTATTACAGCCTACATTCCAAAATTTCTCATGGTGATTATACACATCATACTCTGCATAATAAACATATAATTGAGATTTATCCATTCTATATCTAATAATTAAGGTATTTTCAAGGTTCAATTTTAGCATTTTTAGAATGTCGCCATGAAGTAAAAATTACATGACCCAATGACATATTTATTAAATGTTTTAGGCTTTAGAAAATAATTTGACTATAATAAGCTAAGATAATAACATAAGAATTGTACAATATTGATAATTCTTCATCGCCATCCAGGGATAAATACCCCCCCCCCCCCCTTGCGAAAAGAAAGGATTTTACCTGAAACTTTCACAAATAACTATACATGTATTTCAGAAACTATTACAGCCTCCATTCCAAAATTTCTCATGTTGATTATACAAATCAAAATCTGCATATCATACATATAATTGAAGTCTTAACACTTTTTTGAGGGTGTAGCTAAGAATAATAGTATATTTATTAGACATCTTAGAAATCAAAATATATGTTTTAGAAGGTTGTCACAACACTACAAGAGAGATATTTTGGATTGTCATCATTTTTGAGAATATTACAAAAACATATCTATATTATGCAATAATCACCTATTTTCATTTGACATAATTGAAATATATTATCCAGCTAGTTTTAATGATTTCAGTATATGCATTTAATCCTGAGATGCACTTAGGTTTGATATCCATGAAATAATCGTTTCTTTTTTGTTTGTAATTTAGTTTCTAAGCATAAAACTATAAGCATTAAATCTCTATGCTTTAGGATATGCATAATCAATAGCGATGACTAAACATTCAATTGACAACATTCAGTCAATATGCTTGACAATATTCAATAATGATTAATATGTTCAACCAATATGTTTTTGAATAACTTCACCAATACATTTTGCTTGAGTATTCACTTCAACATTTGCTTCAGGCAGTTGAACATTGTTAGTTATCAACATCACCTGAACATATTTCATCTATGAAATTGTTGACTTCATTATCTGTCATATCATTATCAATTTTGTCATCTGATTCTTCATTATAAATGTCTACCAACTCTTGTGGAAGAATGGCATTTGGATTTTCAGCCCATTGTATATCAAGTTCGCCATTTTATAGGATCCATCCATTTTCTGCTGGAGAAGGTATATCCATTTGGGCTTTGTGAGACTGATTCCATATGTAAGCTTGGTAGTTACATCTTTTACAATGTTGAACAAGGGATGACCTGCATGGAGGAAGGAGACTGATGTCTATCCCATCATAGTTGTTGATAGAGGCTTGAGGTTGAAATCTGTTTGCCAAATTTATGTATCGAACATGATTGATGTCTGTTTTTTTCTTTTCCCTGTACATGATGCACACAAATCTTTCGAGTTCTTGAAGATGCCTTGGTCAAGAACTATAGATTTTCCAAGTTCATGAAAGATTGCATGCATGTCCTCCCTCTTGATCAGCTGTTTCAGAGGGTTTATTTTTCCCTTTCTCATGAAGGCACTGGTGGTATCACACCCTGTAAAACAGTGGATACCGATCAGGGTGGCTGTGATTGGATCACCAAAACCTGCTGCAACTGTCTTCACATTAATGAGGCGCCTCTTGTTTGAAACTCCAGTGTCAAACAGTACTTTGAGAAGTAGGTGTTTGCTGTAATGTAGCAGGAGTATGAGTACATCTGTGTCTGGAGATCTGACAAGTATAGTCTTGGCCTCAGCCCCCACCTGTCTTGATGCAAATAAAGCATGGAGAATGATTTTTGTGTCAGCTTCATCATGGTTGCACCTTAGGTCTAGGGCTTCCTCACTAACAACATGTGACCCATCACTTGTAAGAAGCACTTCTCCTGACAGACAAAGTAAATTGGCGTGTTCTGAATTTTTTTGCATATTTGTCCTTCTTCCATTCTGCGAGGATAAGTTGGAAAAGCTGAATTCTGTTTTTGCTATTTGAAAGGAAGTCCTTCCAATTTTTGGGGAGTTTTTGGACCTTTCACTAGCAGTGGCTGCATTTTACCTCTACACTTTCTCTCCGGGTCCTTAATAGACCAAGAGGCTGAGGCCAAGAACATACTTGTCAGATCTCCAGACACATATGTACTCATACTCCTGCTACATTACAGCAAACACCTACTTCTCAAAGTACTGTTTGACACTGGAGTTTCAAACAGGTTTGGGTGATCCAATCACAGCCACCCTGATCGGTATCCACTGTTTTACAGTTTTTGATACCACCAGTGCCTTCTTGAGAAAGGGAAAAATAAACCCTCTGAAACAGCTGATCAAGAGGGAGGACATGCATGCAATCTTTCATGAACTTGGAAAATCTATAGTTCTTGACCAAGGCATCTTCAAGAACTCGAAAGATTTGTGTGCATCATGTACGGGAAAAGAAAAAAACAGACATCAATCATGTACGATACATAAATTTTGCGAACAGATTTCAACTGCAAGCCTCTATCAACAACTATGATTGGATAGACATCAGTCTCCTTCCTCCATGCAGGTCATCCCTTGTTCCAGCAGAAAATGGATGGATCCTAGAAAATGGCGAACTTGAAAATCCATATGCCATTCTTCCACAAGAGTTGGTAGACATTTATAACGACGAATCAGATGACGAAATTGATGATGATACGACAGATAATGAAGTCAACAATTTCATAGATAAAATATTTTCAGATGATGTTGATAATTAACAATGTTCAACTACTTGAAGAAAATGTTGAAGTGAATACTCAAGCAAAGTGTATTGGTGAAGTTGTTCAAAAACTATTAATCATTATTGAATGTTGTCAAGCATATTGACTGAATGTTGTCAATTGAATGTTTAGTCATCGCTATTTATTATGTATATCCTAAAGCATACAGATTTAATGCTTAGAAAATAATTACAAACAAAAAAGAAACGATTACTTCATGAATATCAAACCTAAGTGCATCTCAGGATTAAATGCATATACTGAAATCATTTAAACCAGCTGGATAATATATTTCAATTATGTCAAATGAAAATAGGTGATTATTGCATAATATAAATATGTTTTTGTAATATTCTCAAAAATGATGACAATCCAAAATATCTCTCTTGTAGTGTTGTGACAACCTTCTAAAACATATATTTTGATTTCTAAGATGTCTAATAAATATACTATTATTCTTAGCTACACCCTCAAAAAAGTGTTAAGACCCCAATTATATGTATGATATGCAGATTTTGATTTGTATAATCAACATGAGAAATTTTTGAAGTTTCAGGTAAAAACCTTTATTTTCGCAAATGGGGGGGGGGGTGGGTTTTCATCCCTGGATAGCGATGAAGAATTATCAATACTGTACAATTCTTATGTTATTATCCTAGCTTATATAGTCAAATTATTTTCTAAAGCCTAAAAACATTTAATAAATATGCCATTGGGTCATGTAATTTTTACTTCATGGCGACATACCGAAAATGCTGAAATTGAACCTTGAAAATACCTTAATTATTAGCTAAAGAATGGATTAATCTCAATTATATGTTTATTATGCAGAGTATGATGTGTTTAATCACCATGAGAAATTATGAGTTTTTCAAATTTTACTTTTACATACCTGTTAATCACCTATGCCAAAAATGAAGATGATCAAATAAATACTTCTTCAGTTATAAGCATTTGTCATAGTACCCCCAAGAACTTGTCGTCAAGGGGGGTAAAACTCAAAAATGACATCTTTCGCACCAGAAATTGATGTTAGACTGAGTGGATTCTAATGTAGGATGATGATATGGTTATATTTAAGCAATAAAATTATCCCCAGCTCCCGACCCCGACCAACCTTGCTATACAGCCCACTAGAAGGTCCATTCAAAGTCGGCTGTTGAACATTTAAAAGCCATAGACTGAGAATTGAAATCATTTTCTAATATGAAATCATAGAAATCATTTGAAGATTATTTAGAAGCATTTCAAATCAAATCTAAGGCAGAATGTGTCGGAGAACTCACTTCCTGTTTTATAACGGATGGTTTTATCAATCAAAAAATATGTTACTTATTTGCTTATGTCAGTATCATATTGGCATAAAATCCATCATCTTCCCTGACCATATTAAAATCAAAAATATATTTATTCCATGAAAATCCATTGTTTATCCTTCATCTGATCCCCAGTTTTCTGTTTTATTCTCCGCTCACCCAATATACTCCCATTTTAGTTATATATAATACAGGTGTATTCCCATTTTAGTTTTGCCTGTATCGATATGTTGACTTGTTTTTTGCTTCCAGAAAGTTTGCCCAAAAGCTGATGGAGGAATTTTTGGCCCATATGAAGCAGCCCAAACAAGTAAGTTTTATTTGAAATAGTCCATTTATGGGTGAGAGGTTTGGGGTTCATATCTAGGTCAGTATGGGGGAGACTAGGTTAGTGACCTTTGGGTGGAATTTGACTGAGAGGCTTCTCTTTTGGAAGAGAATGCAATATAGTTGATGTTGCTACACTATGGCATCACACAATCCTGCAAAAACCAAAGAACTGCATGAAAAAAATGATTTATGCATTAAATGCAATTACAAAAATTGGGAAATGAATAAAAGATTCCACAATTGCTGGTAGCAGATCCCTATCATGATTATTAAAACTAGTACTGTACATGTATACAGTGTAATAATTTGCTCTCATTAAATACAGGGTGTTCCTTAAGCAATGATAACAATGCCCAAAAAATAGTTGATAAGGAAGCATTATGGAGACCAAATAAAGATTGTAGGCTTTCATTTTGATTTATTATGATTTATTGAATAACACTAGAACGGTAGGTGCATTCTGGCGAGCATTTTCATATTTTATTTCACTATTTAATCCTTTTTAGCCACAATTGTTTTATTCTTTGGAAAGTTTGTAGCTTTCAAATAATTGTTAGACAAAGCGTGATTTTATGTTATATTCTAATTACAGGTTCATTCCTCTATCGTAGCTATTCTGAATGGCCAGGGTTGTGATAATGCTGATGCCTTTATTGAGGTGTTGAAGGATGATGTGGCAATGAAATCTAACAAATACATCATATCTAATGACCTCATTGCATTTGCACTTAAAGATGGTAAATCACAGGGTAACACAAAAAGTGCAAACCCCCACTTTTGGAATAACTTTTGTTTATAAGTGAATCTTTGTGATTTGCTATTTGTATATGAATGTTTCTTGATTTGGACACTACAATCTCCAAAGAAGAAATCATATCATAATTAAGAAAGTTATTCCTAAATTTGAGGGTTGCATTTTTGTGTCACCCTGTATTTTTTGTTACATCGCAGTATTGTAATTATTGGCTGGAGGGCCTGAATGTCTTATAAAATTAAGTCCAAATCAGACAAACCTATTAGAAAATGTTGAGGCATTGACAACAGCAAAATCATAATTCAGTAACACAATCCAAAGACCAAAAAGTCACACTTATATTGTTACATATTTATAGTTTTTGTGTAATGATTTCACTCCAGGTTTTGTAAGTACCCAGGTAATGCTGAATCTTGTACCAAAAACAATGATAGGCCCAGGAATGTGCTTGTTTAATCGTTTTTTGATGTGTCAGTATATTCCTTTTGGCTTAAAATGCTAGGCATCCTAACTACATTGTGTAATTGAAAAAGGCAATTTGAATTAATTTTCATCTCCATATTCCATTATTTGTATAACATGGCAATTTCAGGAGCATATGATGCCAGAACAAGGATGTTCATCCGCCATGTTGCATTTCGATTGGGGCTGGACTGGGACAAAATTGAAGAATTTGAAGAAACAGTGGTCGAAAAGCTGAAAGAAGTTGAACACAAACAAACAGAGTAAGAGTAAATCAAGTATTTTAGTTAATAAGTTAATATATTTTTGGAAAAACGTTAGAAAAGAGACATTGATCATTATGTAGTGAATAAATGAATTTCAGTTTATATAATATTATATGTTAAATGTTTTATTACAGCTCTAACCTAACTAAATACAATATAAGATAACTGTATCTACTTCTACTTGTAAAGCTGTTCGAAAAATCTGCTTCTTGCAACCTTGCCATTATAGATATCAGGATGGAGCTCAAAAGTATGGTTTTCCAAATATTTTGATATCAATAATTTAATATCTTTGATTTTTTATTTGCGTATACTCATATAAATATATGCTTCCCCCATTTGTCAGTGTCGCTGAGCATAGATTATGTAGGAAATGTAGTTTGAACATAGAGTATAGATCCGTAGTTAAGGCCAGTTTACTGTTTTTTAAAGATGAAAGAACGATGTAATAAATGATATAATTTTGTTTATAAAGTTCAACTATGACTTTATTTTGCAAAATTGTAAGCATAAATATTATATTATTTATGTTATATGGCATGCGCAGTGGATAGTTTTTTTCATACATCACCCTTGGTATACGCAGCTGACGAAAATTGACCGGTACGGGTCAAAAGCTGGACCGGTACGGGTTAACGGTTTTATTTGAATTTAAAATAGCCATAACTTGCTCAATATTGACTTCCTCGTGTCTAATTTGAAATATATGATGCCTCCCGATGCTTTTAAGTACCCCAATTTTTTACAGATTTTTAAACGGACCAAAACTCTCTAAATGCGCATTTATGCTCTTTTCTCTCGAGAACGACTGTCTCATTTTCACGATAACTTTTATTTAGTACTTCTAACATATAAGATCTATTTTTCCCCATCAAGGTATGATGTAAATGACATGCTATTTACATCTTGTGAGTTTCAATGACGCGCGTTTGATTTTATAAAAAATGCCAAACTTTGTGACAAAGAATTTCATCCTGCTTGCAGCGAGAAGACGGATCGGTTTGGGGCAATCTGCTTGCAGCGAGAAGACGGACCGGTTCGGGGCAATAGCTGATGAAATTCTTTGTCACAAAGTTTGGCATTTTTTATAAAATCAAACGCGTGTCATTGAAACTCACAAGATGTAAATAGCATGTCATTTACATCATACCTTGATGGGGAAAAATAGATCTTATATGTTAGAAGTACTAAATAAAAGTTATCGTGAAAATGAGACAGTTGTTCTCGAGAGAAAAGAGCATAAATGCGCATTTAGAGAGTTTTGGTCAGTTTAAAAATCTGTAAAAAATTGGGGTACTTAAAAGCTTCGGGAGGCATCATATATTTCAAATTAGACACGAGGAAGTCAATATTGAGCAAGTTATGGCTATTTTAAATTCAAATAAAACCGTTAACCCGTACCGGTCCAGCTTTTGACCCGTACCGGTCAATTTTCGTTAGCTGCGTATATCAAGGGTGTACATTGGATGTTCAAATCTAAATGTCATTTGAGTTTTATTCCAAGTAATTTTCGTTTAAACTTTCAATGCTTTTTTCATCAAACATTGTTCATATTTCATATTTCATTGTTCATATTTTAAAACAAACCTAATAAATTGGTAGATGATTTGTTAACACTCTAAAAGACATTTTAACCTTCATGAGTTTATGCTCAAACATTTCACCACAACTCACCATCTCAATTGAATATATTTTCACTCTGAGACATTCTGCCTAGCAGCATTCTGTTGTAAGGGTTTTTTACACAAACACACTTTCACCCCATCATATCGAACTATTTTGCTATAAGACATTTCACATCAATACAATCTTAACGATGATTTCCGAAAGTTATACGAAATGAGCACCAATCAGGAAGTTTTGTGTGTCAGTTTATCCTTTTTTAACATGTTGAGGTAGAGAGGAATCCTCAATTATATAAGGATTATATGAAGTTTTCTCATATGACTAACAAAGACACAGCCATCTTAACCCCATGCAAGATACTACCATCTTTTATCCTAAAAAGTCACATGTGCAATATGAGATTTACTTGTGACATCACTTAACTGACAGTATCTTAATAAAAAAATTTCATGCCAACAATCATAACCAGAATTAGCAATACTGAGCTTTTAAACCCCCAATATGTAATATGTAATATTTGTTTGTTTTTCCATTAATATAGGGAAGAACTAAAGGAGAAAAAGAGTAAGGAAACTAAGAAGAAAGTTAAGAGGGCTGTACTTATAGGCCTAGCTACAGTTGGAGGTGGGACTCTTATAGGTAAATAGTCAAGAGGATGGAATGTCTCTCTAGATGGGCAGTTTACTATTTTTGCAAAAATGTATCATTCACCAAAGAGTTTCCAATGTGTCGATGACTACTTTATATGCATTTTATTTGTAAACCTAATGATTCAGTCTAGAATACATGTAATATCTTTTTCTGTAGGTTTGACAGGTGGGCTAGCAGCACCTCTGGTAGCAGCTGGAGCAGGTGTGATTATAGGTGGAGCTGGGGCTGCAGCGTTAGGGTCGACAGTTGGAGTTGCAATCATAGGGTCTCTCTTTGGCGTGGCAGGTGCAGGGTTGGCAGGTTTGCTATTATGTATTTTTATGAAATCATTTGTTCCTACATTACAATATTAATATCAAGTCATTAGTTCATGTTAAATTTCAAATAACACTTTAGATTCATAAATATGAGAGATACACTCATTCAAGCTCAATTCATTGACAAAGTTGAATGTTATATTTAACTCTAGGAAGTAAAATGAAGAAGAGGGTGGGTGCAGTTGAGGAGTTTGAATTCGAGGCTCTTTCAGAGGGGAGTCAACTTCATGTGACAGTGGCAATATCAGGCTTTCTTACAGCTACTCATAAAGGTAAGTACTAGATCCTCTCACACTTGTGTTTTATATTATATCCTGTGGAGTAAATCTACCATAATGGAGAATTGGTCTCATAAAGAACATTCCACTAGACCTACATGTACATATATTTTTATCAAGGCCCTATACAAACCTTATTACCCATATTCCCTCTTTATCCTCCCTTTCCCTGGTTTTTTTTCCAGATTTCAAGTATCCATGGAGAACTTTAGACAACTCTAAGGAGCAGTACTTCTTGAAGTGGGAGACTAAGTATCTGCTGGAACTAGGTAATGCCATGGACTATCTAGTCAACATTGCAATGACAATGGCTGCTCAAGAGGCACTCAAATATACCATATTATCAGGTGAGTCATTGTAGAATGACCAGAGAATATCTTTGTTTTTATCATATCTACATACTGTAAAACGGGTAATTTTGACACCGGGAAATTTTAGCGATTTTTCAATTTTAGGGGGTTTTAGCGCGGGAAATTTTAGCGAAATGAAGATTAATCTTTAAAAAATCAAATTAGCGAAATGCATTAGAAATTTTATCATTTATGGCAGAAGAATGAATAACAGACATGACAGAGGAATTATCAAAATGTAAATGGTCCAAACTGGATGGATGGCTATTTATCCTTCAGATATTGAAAGTAACATACGATTTAAAAATATTTACCTTTTTCAAATTACAAACCGGAAGTCGAGCACTGAACGAAAAGCTCCTTAAATACTAGTATTCATGTATTTTCCTGGGAATTTGCAAATTTTAGTGCCCGGTTTATTTTAACCCCGGTTTATTTTAGCGAATTGAATTTTTAGTGAAACTATAGCGATCGCTAACAATCGCTAACAATTACCCCTCGCTAACAATACCCGTTTTACAGTATCTAAAAGGTGGTGTGTAATTGATGTATATTTTCCAATGTATATATCTGTACCATAACCATGGGATGATATATACGTTCCATATGATTATCTATATTGTCTCATTTTAATCATATAGAATAATTCATGTGCTTATTTTTATACACACAGGGCCTTAAGATTAAACTACTTTGCAGGTGTAATTATGTAATTTTTGTAGATGTACTTTTTCGACCATAATTGGGAAAATGGTGTCCCCATAACTCAAACGTATATTCTCTGGTTCGGGTTTTGTCTCACCTTATGTTTGCCTCATCTACCTATGTTTGCCTCACCCTTTCGATCCTGAATACATGGCTGCATTTTATGTTATTAAAGGATTGTTGGCTGCGCTGGCTTGGCCTGCAACACTGATTAGTGCAGCTAACCTGATAGACAATCCGTGGGGAGTGTGCGCGAAACGATCAGATGAAGCTGGCCAGCAACTTGCAGAGGTGTTATTATCAAGGCAACAGGTACAACAATGTGCTTTATCTTAATTTGGAAATATGTGAAAACATAACAAGCAGCTTAACATCATCAAGAAAATAATGCACATGAATGTGGCAGTTTTACAGGACAAAATAGGAGTTTGACAAAACAATCGAGCATTATTCATTTTAACAAGAGGACACAGACATAAAACAAAGGTTGCTACTTTATTTGGTTGTAAATTCCATTTCCATGTATTGTAACCAGAAAACTCTAACAATGATTTAAGAAACATTGAGGATTATGAAAATTGCATATGGATGTTTGGGATTCCTTCTTTAATACCTACAACATTCTCTCGGGAAGTAAAAAACATTTGACCGCTTTTCAGGGTAAACGTCCAGTGACACTTGTAGGGTTCAGCTTGGGAGCCAGGGTGATATTCAAGTGCCTTACTGAGATGTCCAAACGTAAAAGTGAGTCTCTATACATTACCTGATACAGGGTGACCCAAATATACAAACCTTTAATTTTGCAACCCTCTAATTTTGATAGAATCTACTTATTAAATTGAGCATTAATTATATTAAGATAAGTACCACATTTTCTGTCATAGATGCAATATATATATACAGTACCACCATTGCTTCCATTGGATATACCTCAATATAACAACTTATATTATTTTATTGCTGGTCAAATATCAGTTGGGGGCAAAATTCAGTACATAAATATGTGTTCCAGATTGTGAGGGTATCATAGAGGATGTTGTCATGTTGGGGACTCCAGTATCAGCTGACCCTAAACAATGGCAGTGTTTCTCAAAGGTTGTTGCCGGGAGGATCATCAATGGCTATTGCAGGTTTACATAGTTTTTTTAATGTTTAAATATTATTAGAATTGAAATGAGGTTTGTATTAATTGTATGATGTAATCTCTAGATAATGAAATTTTATCTAAAAACAAGACTGCTTGAACCAGTAAAATGTTTTGTTATTCAGTGTTTACAATGAGTTGTTCTGATAACAAGGAAATCCTATAAGGAAATGAAGCTGTAAAATTCATTTGTGAGTTAACATTGACATTCATTTTTAGTTATTTTAAAACTAATGCTGTCCCCATTGTAGAGGGTGGTCAAAAAATTGGAAACCCTGCATTTTCCTTATATCTTTGTCATTTTAAAGAATTACTCCCTGATATTTCACACATTTGTACATCATTCAATTTCTAACCACCCTACCATATTTCATGACCATCAGACTGATAGTCATAATTTTACAGTACATGTACTTTGAATAACATGCTTCAAGTTTGGTCATCATCGCACTGTAGGCAAAACAGTACAGTTGTCAATGACCCGAATGCATTCCTCAGCAGGTATGGCCTAAATGACATGGATGATCTCACTTTTGAGGTTTGCAATTGTCCTGACGGTCATTCTCATATACTCTATCTCTGCAATATCCCCACAGGTAGGGACATTTTAGAGGACAAGTAAAAGTTTACCAACAACGCAATACTTAGTGGCCACAACAAAAACCAACATATTACTGAGGGACAGTATACATATTTTGCGTATAGCCGTAAATTAGAATTTATTTTATATTCAGATCAGATTGGTTGCTGAAGTTCATATATAGGACATCATCGGTGCAGTTGAACATAGCTGGCCTACAGCCTATAAAGTGGCGGGATAGACGCATGTGTAACATGGACTTAACTGATGTGGTTAGTGCATAATTATTAATCAAGGGAGTAAGTCCAAAACTAAAACTGCAGAAAAGAGTTACTCCCAGAATTATTCAGTATTATTTGAAATTACAAAACTTTAGGAGCCTGTCCTGCATATCATCTGTCCCACAAATCATAGATTGCATTTTTATTGAGCAAATCAGTTTGTTTCTCATCGAAAGAATTATCAGGATGTGGTTAAAAATGAGAGTCATCCATAAACTTGTTCATAAACCTATATCTATGCTGACGATACATCTTTATATTCATTTTTTCACCCATCTAACGACCAAGTTGGGCAAATCCAAAATGATCTAAATACAATTAGCTCATGGTCAAAGAAATGGTTTCTAAAATTTAAACCGTCCAAAAGTGCACAAGTGATATTCCATTCAAACCGGATCAAAAATCTTCAAAAAACACCGCTCTATTTTGACGGGGTAGTTATTCCATGTAAAACCTCCCATAAACATCTGGGATTTATTTTAGATGAAAATTTGACCTTTGAAGACCACATCAATTATCTTTCCCAAAAAGTTAAAAAATTGCTCAATCCACTAAAGTACTTATCAAACAGTGTTAAATCAAATCACCTCGAAACAATGTATAACTCCTATGTAGCGTCAAACTTTGACTATTGCAGTGCAATTTATGGGTCAGCCTCGTTAGCTTTGCTAGCTAAACTTGATAAACTACACTATCAAGCAGGTGTTATATGTGCTGGAGTCCTCCATGGGTCTAACACATCCAAAGTTTTCCAGTGCCTAAACTGGAAGACCCTGAGTGAAAGAAGAAAAGAAAAAAATCTTCGAATAATGTTCAAAATAAATAGAAAAATGGTAGCTAAATACATTTCTGATATTTTTGATATATATAAAAACCCCGCCACTAGGACAACAAGACACTCTTTACCATTTAAAATACCCACTCAAGTTACAACTAGATTTCTCAATGCACCAGTCCTAAACCTTATAAAGCAATGGAACAACCTAAGCCAACCTGTAAGAGATTTACCAACCATTTCTAGTTTCAAAAATGCTGTTCGTTCATTAATACTTCCTAATATGAATTTTATCCCAACAACCAAGCTCAAACTTTCAAGGAATAAGGAGAAAATCATCAATAGACTAAGGGTTGATTTCATGTTAAAAGATCACTTTTTCTCTCACAATTTTACAGGAGTTAATGATAACAAATGTCCTTGTGGATCCCCTGAAAGTACAAAACACTTTCTCCTATCTTGCCCACGCCATATAAATGAAAGAATTGATATGATGGCTGCACTGAGACAAAATAACCTACTTTATGATACAAACACATGTACAAATCAAAATGACCAATTAGAATATCTTATTTTTGAAAACACCTTCTGTCAAGATTCTCAAAATACCCTCATTGACATAGTAACTGACTTTGTTGGAACGTGTTATATACACCCAACTAGAATTTAAAGTTAAAACTCTGACTCATATAGCATCTCTCAACCTCCTGGACCCAAATAAAATAAAATAAAAACTTATATTGTTTATCTATTTTATTTACAATATTTTACTTACTTTCTGTTTGTGATATCTAAAGCCACATGAAAACTATGTTTAATTTATTCAAAGCAACCTGTAATGCCACATGGCGATTGGTATGCTTTTATATGTAATTGTTTATATTGTTTTCAATAAGTGAAATAAAATCATTAATAATAATAAAAAACTTGTTCAGTCAGTAATTAAAAAACATTACACTTATAGTAAATTGGGTGGCCATAATTTCTTGGCTACTATGTAATCTATCATTCAATTACAGGAACAACATAAAAAAAAGTTATTGTCTCATCATACTTATTATACATTTTCTTATGTCTAGGTTGATGGTCACATGGACTATGCAGTAAAAATGCCACTATTATTGAGAATTATCAAAATAAGAACAGAAAACTTACGACTTGTTTGACAGAGATCCAATGGATCAGTTTAAGTAATTTAAATCACATTGAGTTATTTGGTGATGGTTATATGGGTCAGATGGTATTATGGGTATATTTTATGATACTCAAAGTGTCTATAGAGAACATCATATGATTTACTCATATGATTTCTATCCAGGAATGGTTATGATATACACAAGCAAGTTTAGTAGGAGAGTGCGGATATTAATATCCATGACTGGATAAAAATCATATCATGAGTAATTCTTAGGATGTTCTTTCTTATATTCAATAGTTAAGGGTTGTTTATATGATTCAAAACAATCTTTCAAAGGACTTAGATCTGCCTTCGTAACTGTCAGCCTCGTTTTGAGTCAAGTAGCAAACATCTATAAACATTTGGATATAGTACCCTCTTATGGTTTAAATTCTATGAATATCACTGTTACTATGGAATGAATGGTTTATTTTATTTGATATACTTTAGTTTCCATTGGTTGTATGCACCTTATTTAGTTTTCCATTACCAGACTATACATTCATTATATTCTTCTTCTCTTCTTCTGTCCTATCTTATGTCTTTGAATTCTTCTGCAATAGAACTTGGAGAAACAGGGAAGGAAAAGTCGTATAATGTAGATTGTTCTTTCGCAGTGTTTCAGGCTGGTGGCAGTTCTTTGTTAAAGAATAGTCTTAAATGTTGAAAGCAATCGGGGAAGTTATATTTTGAAAAGTATGCCAATATTTCCCTAACATTACTAAATCTGATTGTCAGTAAAAAGAATTCGGATCAAATATGGGAGTTAGTGAATAGTTGAGATAACAAGGTACTGTTTGTAGAAAATAGGTATGACATGGAATGGAGTGAAAATATTTTGAAAAAGTAATTGTTTTCTCTACTCATTTTTGCTCCATGGCCCCACGTTTACACCTTTGGGGCATTGTTTTAGAAGTAAGATTTCTCTAAAGGCCTTTACTATATAAATATATATTTCTAGGTTGAAGGTCACATGGATTATTCAAACAAGATTGATGAGATCTTAAAAGTGGTCGGTATTAAAACAAAAGAGGTTGACGAGGACCCAATTGATGAAGTTGAGGAGGCTGAGGAAATCGAGGAAGGAGGTGATGTAGCAAAAGAAATAACAGCTGAACAAGAATCCAAAAAGATCCACACATCATCATCTTTACAGGAGGTCATCAAGGCTTCCAGAAATCAAAAGAGTCTGGCTGTGGTGTTGCCAGAGACCTTGAAACAGTCTAAAAGTGAAGGTGATATTGAAATACCTGTAAATGAGACAGAATCCATTAAACTAAACGAGTCTAGTCATTCCAAACATACAAATGAGAATAAGACCATCACAGTTCAAGAATCATCAGCATCATTGGACTTGAAAGCTAGCAACACCTCAGATGCTTCCATTGTGCCAAAAGATTCCCAAGTTAGTGGAATAAGTGTATGTGTAAGTGAATCTGAGGGATTAAATCAAACTTTGGCTCAAAGCAAGGATCCACCTAACAACAGTGATCCTCCAATAAGTGGAGAAATGCAGGGTTCAAAAAATGAAACAAATTATGTTCCAAGTATAAATTAAAATCAAAGAAATGTCAGTATGTAATGTACATGGTCATGCTTGGGTAAAGGAAAAAGGAATTAAAATAAACAGATAAATGAGTGTTGTATCAGAGTCTGGCCAATCAAACAATTCTCTCAATGGAGATATAATCATGGTTTCGTCAGTGGAGTTAGTAGTCATACAAGGTTAAAGTGCAGTTATAACAAGATCCATATCCCTCAGTAAATATGTTGTATAAAATAACACAAACTTTGTTAGGATTTCCAAAATCAATCAAAACCATGGATACAATGACATTATAGTGAGAGAACAATGGACTTGACTAATTCCTAACTTTAAAAATTTCTGTTAATGGACACAAAGCTTTCTTTTATCTGTGACTGTGTCACATAAAATCACTGTTCGATATATATTTCTATTTGTCTTGTACTCAGATGAAATATGATTTAAATAGCTGCACTGTATCTATTTGTCTTTGACTAAGACAGAATATGATTTAAATAGCTACACTGTCTGACTGTATCTATTTGTCTTGTACTAAGATGGAATATGATTTAAGTAGCTATACTGTATCTATTTGTCTTTGACTAAGATGGAATATGATTTAAATAGTTACACTGTCTGACTGTATCTATTTGTCTTGTACTAAGATGGAATATGATTTAAGTAGCTATACTGTATCTATTTGTCTTTGATTAAGATGGAATATGATTTAAATAGCTACACTGTCTTACTGTATCTATTTGTCTTTTACTAAGATGGAATATGATTGAAATAGCTGCACTGTATCTATTTGTCTTTTGTATTATGATTTAAATAGCTACACTGTATCTATTTGTCTTTGACTAAGATGGAATATGATTTAAATAGCTGCACTGTATCTATTTGTCTTTTGTATAAGATTTAAATAGCTACATTGTATCTATTTGTCTTGTGCTAAGATTTAAATAGCTACATTGTATCCATAATGTAGAATTATATTAGGAAGGGATGAATTGATCCTTTGACACCCCTTTTATGTATTTACACAGGAATGCAGTATGTACAGATGTAGCTTGTAAGCAATGTACACATAACAAATTAAGATTGTGCACATTTATCCTAGATTTTATTTTGCGAAATAAAATTTGATATACATATTAAATCGATTCTTATAATTTGTTTATATTTTTGTAGTATAGAGTATAAAACATTATTTTGTAGACGTGGCAATCATACTGACAACAATGTCTTAATATATTCCCGACTCAAAACATTTGCATTGTTCAAATCCCAATGATACTAATCTAGTTTTTTCGAAAATTTTAATGGAAATTTTACAAAGTTTTTGGAAGGGTCACATTGCTCATTTGGTGGAATCCCCATATCCAGTCTGTATATCATCGTTGCATTACTTATGCAACATTAATTCCCCAATTGGATTACATGCCTCTTGATGTTTTAATTTTTATTTGCATAATCTGTAAAGAAAAAGCTACTTTTAGTGCTGGAAAATCACTTCCAATACCTATTTGACTTTCGAAAGGTCAAAAAAGTTAATTATTCAAATTAAACACATCTTTTTAAACGTTAACTACAAGTTGACATTCAAATTGTCAAACGCTCTTACGAGGGCCGCTGTACAATTATTGTTGTCTAAGAAATATCTCCCATTGAAATAACACAGGATGCGATAAATGATTTTCAAATATAACTTCTTTGTAACTTTATCATCTTTGGTCCAAGGGTATTTCACTTCTTCCTTCTGAATTTAAGCATAAATGAAGTCATTTGAAGAACAATGAACTTTATTGTTCAATAAGTAAACTAAACACTAAGCGTGTAAAAAGTTAAAGAATTCAATTTCTATATCAAAATATTTTTACGTAACCTAAACTGAATAGATATCTTGAAATATAATTTACCCCAAACCCACTATTTTCCACCATTGGTTTACATGGGAAAAATTCAAACAGAGAAGCGTTAGTCCAATGGGAAAGTTAGGGTTGTACCCTTTGCATTCGTTCGACTTCACTTCTTAAAAGAGAGCTCCGCTAGACTCTGCATGCAGGGTATTAGGGTTGCCAAACTTGTGGAGTGGAGTGTAAAATTATATAAAATACGGTAAGATATCTATATTTCCCTCAGGATATACCCCATATCCAAAACCTCCCATAACATAGCCCTCATATATCCATAAACACTCATATATTTGATACATGTGTTTCTGATACATATTCATTTTATTTTATAATTCATTATTTTTTGGAATGAATTAAATTGTAACTTGATATAAGTCATCCCTACATGTTGTTCGCTATATGTCTCAATAACGTTTTTTGAGATACTATATATAGTATTTGACGTCAAAAGACGGTAAAATAAATCGTTTTTCAACCTGCTTCAATTTCTTTTTAAATCATCTTCAAAGTCTCAGGAGTGCAAATTTGAGATATGACCTTCAGTGACTTCTTCCAAGAAAAGTTTAAAAGTTCCTGTTTTTTTTAATGTTGGATAATACTTCTGAAGACTTCTGATTGATATTTTTTCATATTTATTATTTATTTATAATTTATTTGGCAGTCACTTTTATAACAGTGGCACTCCAACGAGCGTCAATGTGGTATGCAAACAAAATATTTTTACTAAAATCCGTTGAAGACTAATATTAGATATAAGCGTAGAGTAAAATCATTAAAATAGGTTAAAATCAAGCTGTGCTATGTTTCACAAACACGTACATATGTTTTGATCTATTATAGTTTTTTTATAAAGGAGTTTTTTTCAGTTATATAAAAAAATTAAGGAGCAGTCTTTTTCCCCAGGTCTATCAATTAAAAAAAATCGACCCTTGAACAATTCTGTCCGGGCTACTATCAAATTTTATGAATTTAAAAAACTGGTAGAACCAGAACTTTTTGAGTAGTAGTACTCTAATTGAAGGATAATAAAAATATCATATCAAAGTAATTATGTGCCATTTACATTTATTGATATTTTGAAAATCTGTTATTGTCCTCAGCCCTGCTCATTTCACTATCAAGTCTCATTAATGTATCATATCGTATTATCATACAAGATATATCATTTCAATATATATCAAGTCCCATAAACACCATAGGTCTATTATTTAGAGAAAATCGGGTATAAATTATTTACATATTATACAATCTCAATCTCGGGAATTCAATAAGTGAATATACAAGGTGAGCCAAAAAAGGTAACCCATTACCCAAACAAATGTTAATAACTCAGTCATTCAGCAAGGGTTTAAGATCACCTAATTCAGTACGAAGAATCAGTGGTCTAATGCAAATGGTAATTTTACAAAACATGCCCCGGTCTCGCCTCTGGAGGCAAATGTGAGTTACCCCTTTTGGCTCACCCTGTATACGATATATTTTTAACGATAAAAGGCATATACTGGAAACCAAGTCCATGGATTAGCTATTTAATCATATTTAGCATGTCCAATCCTGCCAGGCCATCCAAAACCATCCTGATCAAACCCTTTAAACAATTTTAGGAATTCAAAGATGTGTACGATATACCTGATTTTACATTGAATTATTTCCAATCGGAGTTATTAGCTTGTTTGGCTATTGAACTGTTTGTTTTTTGTTTCGTTGGTAGTTCCAAGTATTCAATTCACTGTTTAAATTCAATCTCAAACAGGTTCCCATTGCGATCTCCAACCAATAAATGTCCTCGATCGTCTATAGCTACAGCTCTTGGGTACTCAGTACCATTATCCTTGGTAAGAAGGTGTTGGCCAAATTGTAGGTCCAATTCACCGCTAGGACTATACAGACTGACTCTATGGTTTTTGGAATCAGCTACTATTATGTGGTCGCCATCAGTACACACGCCATATGGACTGGACAGTTGTCCATCAGCAGATCCTAGCGTCTGGCCATCTCTGCCTATCACTATGATACGGTTATTGCCCCAGTCAGATATTACCACATTGTTGCTCTCATTCACGGCAATATGCATGGTTTCGGAAACATCATTCTGACCTATTAAAGTCCTCATCACTTCCTCCTGTGTATGATAATCAATGAACAAGATGGTCTTAGTCTCAACATCAACCACTACTAAATGTCCATCACTGGTAAATGCGATTCCTTCTACACTGCTTAGTTGGCAACGGATACGTTGACTTAGACTTCCTTCCTGTGTATAGATTCTGATCGTATCAGTTTTGTTAGTAAATGCAAAATGGTTGTCTTGAGTAGAGACAACCCGCCGCATTCTTTGTTTTTCTGTCTTGATTGGTGTAAAGCTATTGTTAGCTGCTCTTTTGTAGAATGCGATTGTGTATTCTCTCACAACACCTAGCACAACATCAAGTCCGGATGTCACTACAGCCATATCCCATATTTTGTAGGATTTACAGGCTCCTCTATCTAGGCTATTTACTTTGATTAGCTTTGGGCTATGGCCACGGAGCCTAGGAGTTGTCCGGATATCATCCTCGGATGTGTGCACAGAATGGCTGTTATTACCACCATCACTAGAGATGTTTGCTGCGTCATTAGCTAAGGAAATATCACGCATCGCATCATTCAATGGGGTGATATCACTCAAATCTGGAGCAGCTTGGTCTTCATGTCTAGCTGTTCTTGCTGGGGAAGGCGATTCGAGAATGTCTTTCATTTTATTGACAAGGCGGCTGGGTCGTAAAGCAGCAGGTCCTCCATCCGGTACATCCCATGGTTTCCGGCATGTTGGGCAAGTCTGGCGTTTGTTCTTAATCAATGATTCAATACAATTAAGACAAAAAAAATGGTCACAAGCAGGCAATAGTCGAGGGTTGACAAGAACTTCAAGGCAAATGTCACAAGAAACCAGTTCTGAGAATTGGTCACGAATATCTTCTTGTTCTGTTGGGTCTGATGCCATTGTATTTTGTACGGACGACGGTTTTAACTGACCCGGAAGTTGTCTTCCCTTCTTGAATCGACGACTTTATAACCACTGAACAGTTCAAATAGCTCTCTCTGAGAAACAATCCACAATTTGTTACAAATGTATCTTCCTTGCATGTAAATTTTTTACTCAAAACTCAACTTTACTTTGAGTTGATGTGAGTCTCGATTCCGAGCTGTTTATACTGAAAGTCTAGTTGCTAGTGGTTATATCGACCCAGACGCGAACGCAGGTTATTCATTATTTGTTCAAGTTTTTTATTGGCCTTACAAAATGTAGTACCAAGTACAAGCTAACATTTATGCATATAATCTACAATATCAATAATATACTCCTCAAAAAAAGTTGAGGACCAGTGGTTTTCCTCATAGGTTTACATGTTAACCCCCATATTTGTTTGAACGTCTATTTTCTAAGCGTGGAACAAAAGAAATCCCATAAAGAAAATAAATCTGTATCTTGATTCTATTCACTATAAAGTCCGCAACGTTTCAATGTTATATCTCCATTACATTGGGTCAAAATTTGATGTTAAAATTGATGAATTTCATGAAATTTAACAAAAATGGCAGATCCCATGTTAAACAAATGCAAAATTAAAGTCCAAATTTAATGTACGAGTATAGTTTCAAAATATTCTAGCCTCGGTCACGCTACCACTTACTTATATTTTAATATTTAACTAAGTTATCAACGAGTAGTCATCAATGATTGCTCCGTTAAAACACCAGGGTACCAAGGTTCAAAAATTAGTTATAATTTAATTAACAGAGGTTATCTAGAGTTTATTCATCAAGTACATTTACTTCTAATGCTAATGTCCTCGGTTTAAACTCAGAGCAAAGTATATATATTTTGAGTTCTTGAATGCAGGGTTCTTTCATTAATTTATTTTGCAAACATAAAGACCTGGGATTTTATAACAAGAGAAGATCTTCAACATGAGAAATTAACGTCACACCCTGTAGGCCCTATTTTGATCGTTTTGGGCTTTAAAATGTTATCCAATGTTGGAGGACGTATCGGTCGGTGGTTAAATATACCAGTTAGCGCCGTAAAGTAAGTGTGAAGACACCATTTATATTCTATATCTCTCAACAAAATTTCATTTTAAAAAACTGGACCAATGTCCAATTTACATGTATATTCTAACTAATACACAATGAAATTGAGCAAAGGGCAATATTAGAAATACGGTGTAACCCATGAACATCATATGAATCAAAATGAATTTAAATTAATGAAGATTAACACTAAAATAATGATTTGTTAGAGTGAGCAGCCGACTCCAATCAACACTAACAGATAATGCACCTATCATCAACCTAAACAGACCTATAATTGGTCAAATGGAGAATCTAATGGATATAGGAAGTAGAAGCATATTCTCCGAGGAGCATGATATGTTCAGGGAGACGGCCAGGAAGTTCTTTAGGGAGAAGCTTCAGCCCCATCATTTCAAGTAAGACCATCGCTCCCCTATTTTCGCTCCCCCAGTCGAGGTACACTCCCCACTCCCCTGCCCCTCTGGATTTGGCAACTGGAATGAAGTTTCCTTTTTGATCACTCATCAAATCCATTTTGTTTGTTGATTTAAAATGTTCTTAATCTTTGTTGTAAAAAGAACAAAATTAAGATCAACATTTTGTGTATATTATTTTGTTATGTTAGTTTTCACTTCTTTTTGCAGATGGGAGCAAGACGGCATCGTTCCTCGAGAGGTATGAATATAAACCATTATAATTATAATTATCTAAAGCTACGTTTAGAAATTACAACTGTTACTTACATGATTTTCGATTTTCCATTTTATTTCAAGATTTGGAAACTTTTGGGGGAACATGGGTTCCTTGGCATTACTTCACCAGAGAAATACGGCGGGATTGGTGCTGACTTCCTTTCTACAGTTGTGCTTTGGGAGGAACAGTAAGATTTCAATATATTGACTCAGTAAAGTAATTATTAAACTGCCTCGTAAAAGCTTCTAGAAAAATATTTTTATGCATTTTTAATTAAAATGAAAAGTTATGTAACGTGTCACGTGTTATATTTGCCTCTAATAATTTGGGATCCTGGCTACTCTTTACCCTTTTACTCTTACAAAAGATGCTTCCTATCTTTTATATTCTTTTGCATCTATTAGTTAACAGATTCACCATGAAAACGATAACTTTTTGGCTATAAATGTAATTGGATTTCCTAAAGTTGACACCTTAATACAAACAACTCAATGAGGCAAGTCCCTTACATCCCAAAATAATGTGGATTGAAATTTTATTTATAGATGGTATGCACACTGTACATCGCCAGATTGCTCATTGTCTTCTGACTTGGTATTGCCTTATATATGGTCCTATGGGACAGAGGAACAGAAAGTGAATTATATCCCCAAATTTCTGTCAGGTGATATTATTGGTTCTATTGCAATGTCTGAACCAGCGGCTGGAAGGTATATTTTAAGCAATAGGGTTAAAGCCTTTATAAAGATGGCGCTGTGGTCACTGATATGTTCTCTGATACAGAAATAAAGAAACCATACTGCCATCTTTGTATCAGTCTTATCTTGCGTGGCTATGCACAAATAGACTAGGTCGACATCTTTCTGTCGACCTAGAGCTTAACCTCACATTGTATGTCTACTGTTCACGCAACCAACCTCAACAAAATAAAGTAACTATTACGTGTCTAATTATGTCTACGTCGTTAATCACTCTACATAAGCTGAAAATCCATACATCAAGGGAATCAAACTTACTATTGCGCATTGAAACGAAAAATTACTTCTATACGTAAGCAATTTACAGTACTCTCTTTGTTTTTATGAGTTACATAGCCCAAAGGGTGATTTTAGAGATATTCCGCAGAGTCTTGAAAAAAGTTGATAGTTTAATAGGTCCATAACTTGATAACTTGATAACAAGCTTTCATATGATAAATAACTTGACGGTATATGCTATCTAAGATGGGTGATTGATGGGGTATGGTCATTGGGAAACGCGCTGTAGATATTGTTTTGCTTTTTAAATGTTGCCATTGTGTTTTTGCATTGCACCTGTAGTGATTTACAAGGCATCAGAACCAATGTTGTAAAGGACGGTGATGATTGGGTGATGAACGGTAGCAAGGTGTTTATAACTAACGGAATTGCTGCTGATCTTGTCATCGTCGTTGCACTGATGGATAAATCAGTTAAACCAGCAAAGGGTATGGGACTGTTTCTAGTTGAAGCTGATACACCAGGATTTACAAAAGGAAAAAATCTGAGTAAAATAGGCTTAAATGGACAGGTGAATAATTTATTTGATTTATTATACAGGGGGACCTGGTGCAAGACAACCATGCGGGGCAAGACTGTCCAAAATAATTTGTTCAAATTTAAACGCATTTGTCCAACTATTGCATTGTTGCTCAGTGGCACGAAGAAATGTTTGGTTTTGTTTCAGCCAAGTCGGTTACAATAAAGGCACGATACATATACGATCTTCGGTAGAAAAGATTTTAGTAGAATGCTGTATATTGTCTTTCAAATCCTTGACAAATATAAGTAAATCATTAATACTTCATTGTAGGACACAGCAGAACTTTTCTTTGATAACGTCAGGCTGCCTAAATCTGCCCTTCTCGGAGAAGAAGAGAACAAAGGCTGGCAGATGTTAATGGAACAATTACCAGTTGAGCGGTTGAAGGTCGCAGTGATGGGCCAGGCCTACTCTATGTGGATGTTTGAAGAAACTAGGAAGTACGTGAGAGAGAGAAAGGCATTTGGAAAAACCTTGGCCAATTTGCAAGTACGTTAAAGACAAAAACAATCGGATATTTAAATCCAAATTTTGTATATTTTTAATGTACATTCAAACGTTTTAAGATTTTTTCGAAGTAATTGTTTTCTTATTTCTTTTAGAATATTTTTGATGTGTTATAATGGTGCGTTAATCATTCTATATAAATAACTCCATTTGGATATTGATCGCAAAAAGTTAAAGTAAATGGTACAGGATCTTGAACCAAGACTAAAAAATAACTTTTTAAACAAGTAAGCTCAACAGCTGCATCATAAAGATGAGATGATGTTGGGGCCGTGAATTTTCTGATGCCAGTTCTCATTCTACTCGGACTTCTACCTGTACCTGATACATTTCTCTTGTATCATTATGGGTCACACATTTCTTGTTCTTGCATTCTTAGACCATTCAACATAAGTTGGCTGAAATGAAGACGGAGCTTTGTATTGGGCAAGCATACGTCGACCAATGTATTCTGATGCATCTAAAAATGGCAGCTTCAGGAGGGATCGATCACCATCAGGCATCTATGGCTAAACTATGGTGAGTTAGAGTGGTTCGTATCATCAGGAAAGATAGCAAAACAAAAAATAGTCATAATCAATTTAAAAAACACGATATTTCTATAATATGCCAGGTAGTAAAGATCTGTCAGTTCATAGACATATTTTCGAAATGCTCAACACCAAACTGGAAAAACTCACACACGATCGTGAAGAACACGACGCAATCAAATCTATCTAGATAGTGTAACGACCCTTGGGCACGTACGCGTCCGTTGGGGAGCTAGCGTTTATAGGCATGGCTCAGGGGGTAGCCGACTCGAGAGCGGAAGGTCCTGGGTTCGACTCCCGTTGAATTTAGCACACTCTCTTTCGAGTCCAGTATCTGGCTCGGTACACTACAGCTCCCCGACGGGCCCGACGGGCCCGACGGACGAGCCCACGAGTCGTTACAGCAATAGCATATACCATATAACACTGAAAATAGGTTTTGGGCCGATATGAAGTTGGCAGCAGGGGTAGAATCCTATTACCTCTGCCGAAACAAAGTTTGAGTGGCCTGCCATCTTTATTTGAAAATTATTTCTTTCGCCATTTGAATCGGCAGCCGGGATCGGCAGATTTGTGATGTTTTGTTTTACACATGTTGCCCGTTCCCTATATTTTTTTCATTTCTCACTTATAGAACATACAAATGAAATAGAGTATTATTAGTTGCCTATATTCTCTATGTACATCACTTTTGTTTTAGGATAACGGAGTTACAGAATAGAGTTGCAACTCAATGCCTTCAATTACACGGTGGCTGGGGGTACATGAAAGAATATCCAATATCTCGGGCGTTTTGTGATTCACGTGTTACAACAATATATGCTGGCTCAAATGAAATTATGAGAGAAATTATTGCAAAAGATATAGTAGCCTAACCATGGACAAACAAAAAGTCTCATTACATAAAGACGTTTCTTTATCTTATGAATGTAACAAAGTCCCCACCTGATATTCCACAAAGCAAGAAAATGTTGTCAACGCTGTGCATAGTGTGAATCCTACAGACTTGTAATGATGACTGATATATTTTACTTGATGAATAGATGAATAAATATAAGACAGGCACAAATTCTCTTAGTCGCCCTTGTGATCCCCCCTCCCTCCTACTACCCGGGCCTACTACATTACCTCACAAGGAATCTAATGTTAATGTTGCTGTAAGAAATGTAAGACGGAAGGGTCAAGGGACTTGCAGCAATACCAGTTTCCTACAGCCTATTTCCGCAGCACTAAAACGTGAAGCAGCCAAACACCTTGATTATCTTCTGACTTCCCAATGCTTCCCAGCTCAACCTCACAGCATAGCTGGAATACATCGTCCAAGGAGACAACTTATGTAAAATAAATGATTATAAAAACTGAACATAATCTTTTACAATCTGTGAAAAGAATTTAGTTGAGGCAATGACTGGTTGTTAATGCACCCATGACTTGTATCATAATATCTTAATTTTAATTAACTCCCTCATTCAAAGCCTAGATACAAGACAGTCGTGATTAAAAATACACAAATATGTCTAGCCATGAGTTCAACAGATCATTTCCCTATCCTTGATATAGCCATTGTGTCCTCGAATAATACTCTCCGGGGCAGTCATACGATATATAGTAAAAACAATCACCACTTTCTATGAGTCATTATGTTACACAGGCGGATCCAGGGGGGGGCATGGGGCCCCTCCCTTTTGAGGGCCTAGAATTTTTTTAGGGCCTCAAAAATTTTGTAGGGCCTCAAAATGGGCTTTTGAGGCATAATTTGGCATTTTAAGGCCTTTTTTAGGCTAAATTATCAAAAATATTGGGCCATGATTTTTTAAAATAGGGGCCCACATTTTTTCCTGACGCCAAATTACCCCCCCCCCCCTTGTTAGCTTCTGGACCCGCCAGTGTGTTAGATATGTTATTTCTTTCTGGTTTGTGTTAAATGCGAAGAATAAGTAGTGATACCACAGATATTGGCCAGATCGTTTTGTAGTAGGATCTCATAGGCTCAAAGAATAATTCATATTTATTGAGCTACTGATCCTACTACAAAAGAATCTGGCCGGGATCTATGAGTGATACGATGATGTAATATCTAGAGGTAAGATGTATTTGCAACAAGTGAAAGTGAAACCGAAACTGGATTACCCTGCATCACGTGATCTCTACAGGATTACGCTGATATGGCCAGCAGAAAAAGCTGAGATTTATTTTTTTATTTCACCATTATATATTTCTTTTCACAATGTCTGTCATCGACTATTCAAAGTGGGACCACTTAAATGTCAGTTCAGATGGATCAGACGATAACGAGTGGGATACTTGTGGCGATGACGATGAAGAGGAGTCATCAGACGACGTAGAAAGAGAAACATGTGTTTCGCCATTTTCAAACCAAGGTTGGGTATTGGTACGAAAATTCAAAAAATGACAAAATTTCAACTGGATAGATCAGGTTGAGGCTTCAGACCTACAATTTTTGACTTATACTTTACGATTGTCTTGAGCTGTGCGAATACTGTATTATGCACGGACATCTAATACGTTCTTCGAATTGCCCTGGAACTATATTTATACCAGGACTGGCATCCAGATCCAAGTATTTTTTAAGACCGCCGACTCTCGTTGGGCTATTTATCCCTATTGACTCAGTTGTTCATATAAATTTACGTACCTTAGATGCTTTGTAATCGACGTAGATAGAAAATATTGTTTCCTAAATTGTTCTGGAAAGCGATAATTATAACTAAATGTACTTTGAACAGGTCGACTGACAAAAAAGCCGGGCTTCTGACACGTCTCGTTCTCGCTCTCAAACAAAACGTGAAGAACGTGACGTCACTTCCGAATCATAGCATTCAAAATAAGTAGCGTTTAAATCCCAATATCATATGTAATATCTCGGTGGTCTAGGGGGAGAATCCTCGCTTAGCACGCTGGAGGCCCGGCTTCGAATCCCGTACTCGCTCTTTTGTTTTTTTCGAGGCCGTTATCTTCATCGTCTAGTTTACGAATACCAAATGTCGATGTGATGTTTTAATTGTTAAATACGAATTCCTTACACATTTCGTTATCTTATTGTGAAATAGCAAACTAAGAGGTATCTTTACTCGCTAGGAATTAACATAATATTATTTGAAGCGATTTTAGAAAATTTTGAAACCGCCATCTTGGTAATATTGATGACGTGATCACCATCGGTCAAGGTCAGGTCAAAAGTCATCCATCTTGCCATTTGCCCGGCGTTATCTTACCAGTCGACAAAAAACGATGAAATCACGTTGAAAATAAAATATACACTTTAAAATTGAGGCTGATCGAATATGACAAGACTCCATTGAATACAGCTGTGCAATTTACAGTCACCAAGATGAGCTAATTTCGGAGAGATTCGGGAATTAAAAAAGGTAAGCACTTCCGGTTTCCCAACTTAAAAGTATTTGAAGTCCCAGAATTTCGCCAGAAACATTCTCTCTGACTGTGGTATTATGATTCTGAGAGATCCAGCATCTGTCCATGCATGCACTGTTATAATTAGAGTCCATTTCCGACTGCTTCATTTTTTCAGTAGAACGGCAAAAATAAGAAATTGGGAGACCATTGTGCAATAATATATGGAAAAGTATATTCATAATGTACATGAATGACATTTGTATATTTCAGATTTTTTAGTTTTTTGTGCAATAAGCCTGTGCCGTCTTGTAATTTGAAGACTATTTCAGCCATGTTAATCTTTAATGGCAGAGAAACATCCAAATATAAGAGGCCACACACTTTATACAAATGTCATTCATGTACATTATGAATATACTTTTCCATATATTATTGCACAATGGTCTCCCAATTTCTTATATTTGCCGTTCTACTGACGAAATGAAGCAGTGAAATGGACTCTACACAGGCGTATCAATATAGGGCGTATAAAAAACGCAACATGAGTTATCTCATAAAATCGCAAAACTAGTGATGACTACATCAATTTTATTCAATGTACAATAAAGCCATATCCCTCTTCTTTGCAATGATATGTCATTCATTCACATGTGGTCATTGTTGGATGAGAAATCCTTCCATTTGCACAGTAGGCCAAAGTAGGCTCTGGACAAAGTTTCAGATATTGCAAAAGTCAGTACAAGAGCTAAATGCTAATGGAAGTCCTCCTGACCTGACTTTCTTTTGGAGCTATCTCAGGAGCAGAGTGTTAACCGTTTCTCCAAATGATATTGCAAAACTTCAAGAAAGAATTGACTTAATGGGCTTCTGTTCTCCAGGCTAAACCATGCATGACATGGTGAGATGAGCGCATCTTTGGGTGCAAAGAAGTGGTGGCCATTTGGAGGGGTATAGGATGTATTCTTGCAAGACTGAGTATGAACACTTTACTGTCTATACCACACCTGTCACACCTTTTTCCAATACCCCTTTTGCCCTGTGCACTGACTTTTGTGATTTTTAAAACTTGGGTCCAAGCTGAAATTTGCCCCACTTTGCAAAATTCATGATTATTCGGCCATAAATGACTCTGTGTGAATGAATGACATTCCATTGCAAACAGGAATAATTTGGCTTTTTGGTACGTTGAATGAAAAGGATGCAGTCATCGTTGGTTTTATGTTTTCTTCCAATATTGCATCGGGCGCCGTACACTAACTTTCACAATGTTTATAACTTGGTCCAAAGCTAATTTTGGCCCACTTTGCAAAAGGAATGATTACTCGCCCAACCATGACCCAATATCAACGAATGATATACCATTGGAAAGAGGATACATATGGCTTTATGGTACATTAATGAAATCGGTTTCTAGACAACTCATCCCAAGACAAGTCATCCCTAAGACAACTCATCCCGAGACAAGTCATCCCCAAGACAACTCATCCCAAGACATCTCATCCCAAGACAACTCATCCCAAGACATCTCATCCCAAGACAACTCATCCCACTTGTACAATTGATAAATTATTTTGTCCTCTATATTATACATGTATATATCCCTTTTTCATTTTTATGATTACAAAGTGATTTTTGATTACACACTCAATTTTTAATACTGATTTTTAGCATTTTGAAATTACACTTGAAAGTTATGTTTTACTTGTCAGTACTGCCGCTATTTCGATTAATTCTGGGTTATTCTAAATATATTTGAGAATATGGAATTGAACATAAAAGTCATAGACATTATTTCCAAATTTAATTATCATAAATCTGAAAGTTTGAAATTGGCAATCTTATTTAGGATTAAGCCAAAATATTTTAAAACAAGGCCTGAGTTAATCTGAGAGAATTATTCTGATCACCTTGGATAATACATTCTAGCTGAGTTAATTCTACACCTTTGATGATCTTTGATTTAATAATCAAAGTATATATTAATTTGAACATGTTTTTCTCATATGACTAACAAAGATACAGCCATCTTTACCCCATGCAAGATATTGCCATCTTTCATCCTAAAAAGTCACACGTGCAAGATGATATTTACTTGTGACATCACTGGTAAACATAAATATAAACATCAACAACATGGCAACGGACATACTGTTGCTATCCGTATCCATGCTAATTCTACAAAACTAAGTTGTGACGTCATAACAATGGAGCATTGTTGCCACGTGTATCTATGTATTTTCTTAAATATTGTTATGACGTCATAACAATTGAAAGATGAAGTTCAATTAATTTGAAGCTATTTTTCACTCAGTTTTATGATAAAATGGTGAAAATATGGCATACTACAGAGTCATATGAGAAAAACTTTCTTGTACTCGTAACTGTGCAATATCGTCCATTCTTGACTCGCTTTGATAATTTTTCTTTATCTCGTCTGCGACTCGATAAAGAAGAATTATCAAAGCTCATCAAGAATGGACAATCTTGCACAGGTACTCATATAAGAACCTCTATATCTTTATCCTAATCAGTCAACTAGGCTAAACTAACTACAAAATACAAAAATATTAAGTAAATACAACATGACAAAGTATGAAATGTGTCAGTTTAAAATACAGCATGAAAAATGTATATAATAAAAAACAAAGTGAAAATTAATTGCATAAAATTATGTTATATTTCAAGTTGGGAAGAGTTGTCTTGGGGATGAGTTGTCTTGGGATGAGATGTCTTGAGATGAGTTGTCTTGGGATGAGATGTCTTGGGATGAGTTGTCTTGGGATGAGATGTCTCGGGATGAGATGTCTCGGGATGAGTTGTCTTGGGATGAGATGTCTTGGGATGAGATGTCTTAGGATGAGTTGTCTTGGGATGAGATGTCTTGGGGATGAGTTGTCTTGGGATGAGTTGTCTTAGGGATGAGTTGCCCTGTTACCGTTGCGAAATCAATGCTGCTACCACTGGTTTTGTGCTTTTCCGAGATAACAATCTTGTTTTTTTGATACGCACTGTATTTGAAAAAGGGGGTGCATTTTCCCGAAAATGTAGGTGGCGGAGGAACCCTGTTCACTGTGTACAAAATTCGGCGGGGGTCCTAGGCTGAACCCTCAGAAATCAATATATTCCCAGAATTTGGATGTGTTCCCATACCAACCGATATAGTGCCCAAAAGCCATACCGAATGCCCAAATATGAGACCAATGTCATACCAAATGTCAAAATATAGGACAAATGTCATACCAATGCTATGACTGGTCCAAAGCACAGGTCCGGAGCCAGACCCAGCCCCTATTGCTAGTAGACTCAAAGGATAAATGGGAAGATAAGACACAAACCAAAAATGGTACAGCAAAAATATGACCCTTGTACTGACCTTTTTTCCATCTGTCAGACATTGATTGATCAATATTTACCCTGTAATCTCTTCTTTATGTATTAGTTTGAATGGTTGCATGCTATCCATTATTGATGCTGTAATTCGAATTTTCCCAGGACATTTATATCAAATTTTCAGATAATCGTAAAGATAATGGAGCAGTGTCCGATGTTGTTCATCTCTCAAATTACGTCACATCGCAAAAAACAGCCAATGAAAGTAAAGGATCGCGTAACCTAACAAACCGTTGTTATTGTTTCTACAGGAGTTTAAAGAAACGTCATGAGACTTCTCGGTAATCTCTGATGTGACGTCATCCGGAGTGGCATCACATTCTCAGAAAAGGCATTTGACTTCGGGAATAAACATTTGAACAACGGAAATAGTCGAAGCACTCCATTAAATATACGCTCGCTTATTTTATGCTTTTTTTGTCAGTCTTAGTATTTTTATTAAGGAATATACATGTAGATTGTTTTTTGATAAAAACAGCACTTTTCTGAAGTTTCACCATGGGCTTTCGAAGGCCCATGGTTTCACACCCGATGCACCCTCCTTTTTGACACCTATGACTATAGTCCTGGCAAGGGATAAAGAGCTGTCATGAAACTGAAAGCAAATTTTGTTGCAAGTACATTTACTCAATAGACCCATTCATCTTGAAACTGAAAGTAAATTTTGTTGTGAGTAGATGACCTTACTCAATAGACCCATTCACCTTGAAACTAAAAGTAAATTTTGTTGCAAGTAAATGACCTTACTTAATAGACCCATTCATCTTGAAACTAAAAGTAAATTTTGTTGCAAGTACATGTATCTTACTCAATAGACCCATTCACCTTGAAACTCAAAGTAAATTTTGTTGCAAGTACATGTATCTTACTCAATAGACCCATTCACCTTGAAACTAAAAGTAAATTTTGTTGCAAGTACATGTATCTTACTCAATAGACCCATTCACCTTGAAACTAAAAGTAAATTTTGTTGTAAGTACATTTATCTTACTCAATAGACCCATTCATCTTGAAACTGAAAGTAAATTTTGTTGCAAGTACATTTATCTTACTCAATAGACCCATTCATCTTGAAACTGAAAGTAAATTTTGTTGCAAGTACATGACCTTACTCAAAAAAACCATTCATCTTGAAATTGAAAGTAGATTTTGTTGCAAGTACATGTATCTTACTCAATAGACACATTCATCTTGAAACTGAAAGTAAATTTTGTTGTAAGTACATTTATCTTACTCAATAGATGCATTCATCTTGAAACTGAAAGTAAATTTTGTTGCAAGTACATGACCTTACTCAAAAAAACCATTCATCTTGAAATTGAAAGTAGATTTTGTTGCAAGTACATGTATCTTACTCAATAGACACATTCATCTTGAAACTGAAAGTAAATTTTGTTGCAAGTACATGTATCTTACTCAATAGATGCATTCATCTTATACAAATACTCACCAACAGTTTATGGTACAAGTACTAAATCAACAACAGTGGATGATACATGAACATATATAGTATTTGTATTGACTATTGACTGCCCACACCAATAGTTGATGACAATTTACAAAAACTCTCCAATAGTTTATTAGATAAATACTTACTTACCTGACCAATAGTTTATGAGATGAAACTTACTCACCAACATTTTATGGTACAAATACTCATCAATAGTTTGTGATATAAATACTCACTCACCTACTATTGATGATAATACAAATACTCACCAACAGTTTATGGTACAATACTCATCAACAGTTGTTGATGCAAATATTCGCTCACCTACTATTGAGGATAATACAAATACTCTCTTACCAACCGTTTGTGAGACTAATACTTATTCACCAACATTTGATGGCAATTTATAGATACTCACTCATCAACAGTTGATTATACAAATACTCACTCACCAATAGTTAACGATACAGATATTTACCAACGTTTGTCAATACAAATGTTCATCCACTAACAGTATGTGTTTTCACTGTATTGCAAACAGGTATGAGACAACTGCCGAGGGAAACATTACAAGGCTCTATTGGTTTTGATTGTGTTCCGTTGACAGTTCGTGACCCAAAAATGCCAGCATCTAAGCGACGAAAAAAGGTTGGGAAACCAAAGTTTGTGAAGCTTCATCCACTTGACAACGGGAAGTATCTGGACCCTGTTTTCTACATGAATCCAGATGATTTTGTTCCACTGTGTAATGAAGATGGTATGTAATATTTATATATCAAGTATAAAAATGTATATGTTGATTGAATCATTTGTGACCCATTATCATCATTCATACATGTACATATTTGCAGGTGTCTCAATGGAATTGTGACAATATACACTGTAGAAAATAAAACAAACAAGTGGCTAAATTATAGAAATTATAGTTTTAACATGGTTTTAACACAGTTAAAAGTAAATTTCCTCAAAATAAAACACTACAAATCGAACCCTGTGTTCCTGTGTATCCAGCCAGTCAAGTCACATTAGTTTGGAAGAATGAAGTGACAACAGTTTATAATATTTATAAAGCAGTAGTCATTGAAGATCTACACATTGTATACATTGTTATATATTTTTATTGTGCAACGTAGGAGTCTTTTGTAAATGGGGAATCCCAGAGGCTGAAAATGGTATGGATTTGATGAACAGACAAATTGCCGTCCAGAGTCTTTATTGGCCCAGAGACACAAAACCTACCCCAGAGGTCCAGTTTGTGCGCCGACTCATAGAGATCAAGGCGAAGAAATTAGAAGTGAGAGATCCGCAATACCTCAGTCTGGATTTTATTTTGAAGATCAGAATGAATGGTAATGTCCCAGAGATATGGCGCAGATTTAAAGTTTCAGGTAAAAATATGCATTTACTATTTAAGAAAATAATGAAATATTACATGTATATGTTCCAAAAGGAGAGTGAGAGAATAAATGTCTAATCTATGTCATATAGAAGTATTGTATAACTTGGTAGACTCTTGGTTACCACATCCAAAAGCAGAAGCAATTCACCAGAATTAAACTAAGCTATCCATAAAGAACCAAGTCTTGTAAGCCCTCTGTACTCATAGCGAGATCAATAGTGCAAGAAAACAGGCAAATAGTTCCTTCATAGAACGAAGCATGAAACTTTCCACATATCATCGGAATACCATTCCCTTTGATTTAAGAGCCAGAGCCATTTTTGTGGTCCACTAGAATGATCAAAAAATAGTAAGTACCCCCTCCCACCAAATCCCGTTGGGGTGGGGAGATATAGGAATATTTTTTTCATAAAAAAAATTCTTTGAATATGGTCATACTACAGTTTTAATGTGCTATTTTCATGGTAAAGAAATTTTGCAAACATAACAAGATGCTTTATCATTGATTTCCATCATTGTTAAAGACTAATCATGGGCGACGCCCACTTTTCATACATTGAACATTTAGATTATTAAATCTCTCTCATGGGTTGAACAAATGAATGTAATTCAGTTTTCTGGATAACACTAGATACCTTTTTGATGTAAGGTGCTATAATTAATCTCAGCATTTGACTTTTTAAAGGCTTACACCATAGCACACCCCTGTTCAGAAGAAGAAAGCAAGCAACAAATGTCCCAGATCTACAACATGTATCCATTATTCTATGTACATGTATGTCGAGTCTCTATTTTCTCCTGAAGGGAACCTATGCTACAGACACAACTGTCCAGAATTTAGATGATGATGTGCTGAAACAGTTTGATGAATGGTGTGCTGACCCAGTGCCTAAACAGTTTGATGAAAGGTGTGCTGACCAACAGAATGTACCAGTCTTTAAGTTTTGGTTTCCGATTATTTGAATTGAAATACTGTGCCTTAACTAAGTGTGGGCTATCAGAGAGGGAAATTTCCCTCTTTATCTCCAGTCAATTAGCAATCTTATCACCTGGTTTTTTGTTTTTTGACCTTGTCAATATGCCTACTGAGTACCAGTTCAGTATATCATCAGAACTCAAAGTTCAAAAATGGATAGCTTTTGGAAAAGTAAAAAATTAGAGATATCTCACTTCTCATGAAATTGCAGCTGCCCTTTGACATGGTAGGACTATGTGTCTCCCCTTATTTCATGCCCCAACAGGTTCAGACACTATATCTGGATTCCAATCATTGAATGTTTTGTTGTGATTTTATACAATAGAGACAACAATGAAATAACTGTAAATGCTGCAAGACAAGAAATGTTAACAAAGAAAACAACTCAAATTGAGAACATCCCACCATAAGTTGCATAAGTTGGTTCCAGACAATTATACCTATTATACCTTATACCTATTATGTCAGTCCTCGCTTCACCCTCACAATTGAAAATAATTTGGGTGCCAGTGTGGAAAACATTGCCCTAGCTTCAGATGCATGCCAAATGCTAGTAAAACGCAGCTGCAAACAACAGTGCTCAACAAAAAGATGCAAGTGCTTTTTCTCATTCTAGTGAACCACAAAAAAGGGAATGGTGTCCTGATGATATCTGAAAAATTGCAAATGCTGGGGGGAGGGGGAGGGAAGTATTTTTTTGTTGATTTTTTAAAATATGATCTATATTCATTTTTAGTATGTTATTTTCAGTGTTTAAAAACAATTTTCAAGATTGCATCCGTATTTCTCATGGATATTCATTATTAAAGCCTGACCAAGGGCGACGCCCACTTTATCAACATGTTAATATACAAGTTAATGAGTCTTCTATTATGAATAGGAAAATTACCTAATAAGGCTGAATAAAATTGATAAAATAAGTCAGTTATTTATGTTAAGATGATAAATGCTTTAAGTAGGTCAATTGAAAGGCCACACCCCTTTTAGATATTAAGATATAATAATATATAATTCACAATTAATGATACATTATTTTGACTTTTAATGAGAGCACTTTGACTAATTGATACAAGTTACCTTATTAGGTATCTTAACTGCAGTTCAAATATCCTATTTTGTGCATTTAAGCACTTCAACACTCTATGATCATTATCACTGAGCTAGGTGTCATGTCCATTACAATCCCTGCATTTTACTAGCATTTGGCATGCATCTGAAGCTTGGGGCAATGTTTTCTACACTGGCACCCAAATCATTTTCCCAGTCTTTGCTGGTGTAGTGTCTGAACCTGTGGGAGCATGAAATAAGGAGAGACGCAATTTCATGGGAAGTGAGATATTTCTAATTTTTTACTTTTCCAAAAGCTATCCATTTTGAACTTTGAGTTCTGATGATATACTGAACTGGTACTCAGCAAGCATATTGACAAGGTCAAAAAACAAAAAACCAGGTGACAAGCTTAATTGATTGGAGATAAAGAGGGAAATTTCCCTCTCTAATAGCCTAAACTTAGTTAAGGCACAGTAGTTCGATTCAAATAATCTGAAAGCAAAACTTAAAGACTGGTACATTCTGTTGGTCAGCACACCTTTCATCAAACTGTTTATCACTTCATTATCTAGATTCTGGACAGCTGTATATGTAGTATACGCTCTCTTGAGAATTTAGAGACTGCAGGCTGTGACTGTGGGCCCTTCTGGTTCCGGTTCAACCCATCAAAGAGGTTTAATAGCCTAAATGTTCAGCATATGAAAAGTGGGCGTCACCCATGACTTGTCTTTAACAACTATGAAAATCAAAGAGAAACCATCTGGAAATAAAGAGGAAAATTCTCCTGTCCTATAGCCCTCACATAGTCAAGGCACAGTATTTCAATTTAAATAATCAGAAATCAAAGCTTGAAGACTGGTACATTCTGTTGGTCAGCACACCATTCATCAAACTGTTTAGGTACTTGGTCAGCACACCATTCATCAAACTGTTTCATCACATCATCATCTAAATTCTGAACAGTTGTGTCTGTAGCATAGGTTCTCTTCAGGAGAGTATAGAGACTCGACATACATGTACATAGAATAGTGGATACATGTTGTAGATCTGGGACATTTGTTGCTTGCTTTCTTCTTCTAAACACGGGTGTGATATTGTCTAAGCCTTGAATAATGCAAAGATTAATTATATCACCTTACATCAAAAAGGTATCTGGTGTTATCCAGAAAACTGAATTACATTTATTTGTTCAACCCATGATAGAGATTTAATAACCTAAATGTTCAAGGTATGAAAAGTGGGCGTCGCCCATGATTAGTCTTTAACAATGATGAAAATTGATGATAAATCATCTGGTTATGTTTGCAAAATTTCTTTACCATGAAAATAGCACTCTAAAACTGTAGTATGACCATATTCAAAGAAATTTTTTATGAAAAGAATATTTCGATATCTCCCCACCCCCATGGGATTTGGTGGGAGGGGGTACTTACTATTTTTCGATCATTCTAGTGGACCACAAAAATGGCTCTGGCTCTTAAATCAAAGGGAATAAGTATTCTGATGATATGTGGAAAGTTTCACGCTTCGTTCCATGAATGAACTATTTTTGCACTATTGATCTCGCTATCAGCCTTCTCAATCATCTTTCATGAGGAGATGGGAGGGGGTCGAGAGGTTTAATATTACTATTTTATAAGAGGCTAACAAGTAACTGCTGTTTAATAAACATGCAAGTGGTAGTTGTGTCTGCGGGTGGTCTACCATGCATGCTGATGCGAATTTAAGTAAATTCAATTTCAAAGATAAACTACTTTATTTCAGGTGGAGTGACTCTAAATACATTCCAGGATAAGATTGTTACTCCTATAATGGGTTGGGTGCGCAACTACCATGCTTACTATTTCACAGATCGTTCTGATGGAGCCGTCTTTGGTCCTGTCAAATCTGATGCAATTGACATGTGCTGGGTGGGTACTTGTATTAGTCGTATTTATAATGTCAGGAACTTAGGTTATACCTGTTGTATTGTTGAAGACTCGTTGCATAGTATGAAAATATTGAATGACATATTCTGACTTGTTTGGTTAACAACGTATGTGATGATTATTTTTCAGTTTGTGCTTTGTACAACATTCTCTCTCCATCTCATGGTGAATTTCAGTTTGTGCTTTGTATAATATTCTCTCCAACTTTTAAATTTCACCATATTAAATGGCCTTTCATTATTATTTATTCCTATTAATCATGTATCAAATGTATGTTTTGTCATATATCCACTATATTGTCAGTGGCGGATCCAGGAACCAACAAGGGGGGGGGCCCAAATTAGAGAATATTGAAAAAACCTCCGCGCTTGCGCGAAAAAAAATTTTGGGCCCCTAAAACCGAAAAAGTGGGCCCAAATTTTGAAAATTTGAGGCCCATTTTCTTCAAAATTTGGCCTAAATTAAAAAAATAAGGCCTTAGTAGGCCCAATAATGACCAAAAGGCCCACTTTTTGGGGCCTTAAGGCCTTTTTTGGCCTAAAATTTTTTTGGGCCCAACTTCTTTTTTTTTTGGGCCAACCTTAGGGGGGGGGGCCCGGGCCCCATGGGCCCCCCCCCCGGATCCGCCATAGATTGTGCATTATCAGATATCATATTTCAGACTTATTGTGCTTTGTCACTTTTCCACTTTTTCTAAGTAGAATATAATACACTGCCATCTATTGTTTCAGATCTACCTGAATGGTTGGGAATTCTTTGATGACACCAAGGTCAGACTTGGACAGATCCTCCAGAAAAAGGGAGATGCTCTCAATTATATATATGACATGGGGGACAAATGGGATCATGAAATTGTAGTAGAAAAGGTGCTTAGGTAAGTTAAAAATGTGTATCTCATACTTGAGTGGGTTTGGGGTAGATATCACCCGGGAATATATATCGTATCTGAGGAGCGGGCAGGATATATTGTATATGTCCCGCTCCAGGCCACTTTCAAAAGTTTAAAAAAGTTTAAATATCAAAAGTTTTAATTTTCTAATTTTAAAATTTAATTTTTTTAAGTTTAAATGTTACAATTTCATTGTATTGAACAAAAAGAATATTACGAAAATGTTAAATATCTTGTCATTTGAAAAAGGTGGAAAAGGTTATATCTACCCTAAACCCACTCAAGTATGAGATACACCAGTTATCCACGGTCGGTTTGGATACATGGAATATCCCTTGGGATATACAATACATCTTCCCTCAGTCCCTTCGGTCCCTCGGGAAGATATATTGTATATCCCTCGGGATATTCCCTGTATCCAAAACCTCCCAGTGCATAACCCCTATGTATCTGCTGACTGATGACAATGAAATTTATGAAAACAGTTTTTCCTTCTTATATTCCATGAGGTCATGAGTAAACTAATGACCATGCTCTACAGTTTTATATTTGGAATAAGTCAAGTAAAACATATGCATCTGTAACACATGGAAACAGTTTTGTATTTGCAACCAAGTGGTGACGATTTGTCATGTTAGTGTCTAGTGATTGAAATTTTCAATTTTCGATTATAGTATCAAAGTTAAAGGCCATGTGGTGCGACACATTTGTCTCATCCATTTTTTGATCATATTGTTTATTTTGTGAATATTCATCATTGTTCACATGTAATTTAAAGAGAACAAGAAATCTGTCTGTATTCATATTATTTGTTGGTTATGTTCAGTGCTGAAGAGTCCAATGGTAGTTGTGAGGTAATTGCTGGTGAGATGAGGTGCCCACCTGAGGACTCTAATGGCCTGGAAGGGAAGGGTAACGACTTTTATCAGGACCTCCTAGATGAACTACCACCAAAGAAACTTTGGAAAGGTGAGGTGATACTTAATGAATAACTTTATTTTAATGGGTGATTGCTAGAAAGTTGTCTTGTTAACTGATATGGGTGAGCTATTGTTATATCCCACTTAAGAATGAAATCTTCATTTGCCCTCCATCGATTCATTCATCTGTCTGTCCAAGAAATACATGTAGCTCAAATACATGTACTGTTTCATTTTACATTTTTCTGTTACTCATAAAGTAATAGGAATGATTTAGTTGATATTTTGAATGATATTTTATATAAAAATACATGCAAGAATGACACATTATCTTGTATCAATTCATCTGTATGGTAGCCATTTTAAGAGCTAATTGCTAGTAGTGTTGTTGACACTCATTTGATTTCCAATGGGATTTGCTATGCCTTGTCAATCTGTGCCTTGTTTGAAATTTATAGTTATAAACTTGGCAAATAAAGCACATCTTTCAATTGAGTTCTTAAAAAATTGACATTGAATGATTTTAAGTTTCGAACAACTCTCATGTTAATTAAAATATTCAATAGTTTACATGTGACTACATTTCTAGGCCCCAATATGAAGCACCTGAGCTCCAAACTGAAAATAGCTTTTGATGTGGCATGCACAGCCTTGAATGTAAAGAAGTATCACAAGTTTGATCCATATGAGTTCAGTGTGAGTGACACTCAAAGGGCACTCAAGACAGCACTCAATTCTACTGCAAGCACTGGGAGCACTGGAGGAGGATCCAAGAAGTTCATACATAAGATTGGAGGGGAACCAGACTGTAGGAAAGGTATGCATTTACATAGAACATAAGTACTTTCCAGACCCCATCCAACTGTGGCTCATTAGCTCAATTAGGGGCCTCACTTGCATATGTATAGCTCTTGCTAAGCTTAGCTAAGCTAGGATATCACAAGCAAGCTCATGTTATGATGGGGTAATTCTGGCCAAAAATATGTTTTATACATGAGTATTTGTAGTGTACTGGCTCATATGTACACACTGTTTTTAGTAAAGATAAGTTAATATCTCAGTTCTGATTCTTGGTGTTTTGAATTGTAGGTGCTAAATCAAAGCCAACATCAACACCTGGGGAACAGTGTATAAGAACATCTGAGTACCCATGTGGGTTTGGGCCCTACATGGAGGAAATCCAGAGCTTGAAGCGGGACCAGAAACCAGTGGCCCTATGCAGCAACTGTGGCAGCCCTAATAAACTACACATGTGTTCTGGTGAGAGGTTGTATTAATGGTTGCATAAATAATTTTATGATACCATCAAGAAGAGGTGACGTGTTAAAGGCATTTTTTGTGACTGGTGGCTAGCATCTTTTACAATTGTTTAAGGATTTAAGCCCTGAACTCAATGTGGAATGATCATTTCTTGAAGGTGTTGCTTTCCAAAATTTGCATGAGATGCGGAGCATTGAGTGTTACCTTTAGGAAACAATGCATGAAAGGAATGTTCATTCCACAATGCATATTGACTCCTGGGCTAAGATTCGTTTCACACTGCATGAACACACCTTCAATGAAACTTGTTGCAAGGGTAAGTTGGCAAAGCATCAATTTTCAGTCTGTAGAGTCTGACAACCACATAAGGAATGACCTTGGATGCGGTGATCAGTTATATAATGCACTGCAGTGGTTACACTTTTGCAATTAATCAGGTGGTAACATTTGTCATGTTAGTGCGCTGGTTCTAACTGGAAATATATTTTTATTTTATAATGGAATTTAACAGCCTGTCACATGGTGCGCTACTGTGGCAGAGAATGTCAGAAGGCTCACTGGAAGCAAACTCACAAAGATGAGTGTAAGAAACTGGCCAAGCAGCATAAACAGGTCAAGAGAGACATCAAGGCCAGTGGCAAATAACCCCCATACACCCACACTTATCCCTGGAGTAGAGAGCATGGTGAGAAAAAACCTTCACAAAAGTCTGACTTTATGTACCTTCTTTGAATTACAAAAAGTATAGAAATAAGTTTTTGATCTACATCACATCCACTTATCTGACATTAACTTCACATTTTTAAAAACGCCCATGAAAAGCCATAAAAGCTACACTTCATCAATGTCCTGTCAGGATCAAAATTGAAAAATCATTTCTATTAGCCAGAGGCTAGTGTGCCTTGCTGATTGAAATTCAGCAGGCCAGAATATATGCAGAGAAAGTACAACATGTGAGAAACACTATGTATACTTCTTTGATTAGGCTAGATGTTTTGTTATTTGATAATGATGATGATTTATCGCTTTGAATCTCCATTTCCAGGATTGCCTCAACAAAACTGCTGCGATTTGTGAGTTGGGAGCCAACAAACCAGATACTCGGTGCTAACAGAAGGTGGTGCTATGACTATCCAAAAGTATATGGATGATGAGACAATCAAACCAAATAAACATTTTAGTTGATGTTAAAAGTGTTAATATGAGAACAATTTTATTTTTGTACTGCTTATAACTGATATCACAAAAAATGTTCCCAGAGTTGGGAAAGAGTGGCATTTATATTGGAATCTCAGAGAAAAGTGTAAACCAATTTACATGATCAGTTAAATAATCAGTTTATATTGTGCTAGTACAATAGACAATTTGTCAGTTCACAATATGTTTTAGTAGAAAAGTAGTGTACTATATTTCGGTATTTGGGATGGAGCTCAGCAGTTGTGGGAAAACAAATTTTTTTTTTTCATGATGTTTTAACCCCCACCCTTCACCCATATAACAAAATTTAATGATAGTGACTAGCCTTTCACTTGAATATTAAAATAAAATCAACATTCTTCACTATTGGAATATTTATTTAACCCCCTCCCAGAAGGAAATCTGTTCTGCTACAACTGTTGACAATCCCGTTCTGATTCACAGATTTTTTATAATCCTAACTACACTATACCTTCTTATTATCCCACCAGACCGAGCAAAGTTTGCGTAGGGATATAATAAATAAGCCATCTTTGTCCGTTTATTTATGTGTCTAGATAATATTTACTCAAATACCAGTTGTCAGGTTTGTTTCAAATTTCCAATATGGCCCTCAATTCAAAATGGCCACCATTTTCTAAAAAATATCATCTTTGACAATTAAAACACTGATTGTTGGATTTGGTTCAGATTTAATTGTGATTTTTAAAACTCAAAATGTTTATCTTTTTTTCTTTAAAAATAGGATGCTTTTGTTTGAAGAATTAATGCATATTGTTTGTGAAGCGAGTCTACCTGACAGCTTTTTTCAAAATCATCTACTAAGATCAAAATGTTTCCAATTTCTCATAAAGAGATTAACATTTTAGGCTTTAAGTTGAACATTACTCGTCCAGTTCGGGTTGGTGTTGTTGAACAATATACCACCTGGTTATTTCCATCTCATGTTAAAAATAATAGATTTGATAAAATATGTCCTGGTTGGTGGTTGTTTGGTGGGCTTCAGTGAGTTGCTGTATTTTTGTAGTTAGTGTTACAGTATTAATAGAGATGATTATAGTTATTGTATATGAACCCCAAAATATTCCAGGAAAAACTTTTTATATTCATTTTTCATTATAATGTTACATAATAAAGCCATCGATATCACGAAATATTTTGTTAATTTTGGTAGTTTGAAGTAATTGTTATCTGGGCCCCTCTTCAAGGAGCAATGTCATATAACGTATTAGCATTTTCCTTCAAAAGGAGAATGATCCTAGACTACAATGTTCTAGGTCATGATAATATGGAGAAATACAGAGATATATCAGAATTTCATTAAAATTCCCTGACTTTTCTCAGTATCACAAAATTTCTTGATTATTTCAGTTGTTTTAGGAAATTTTCTGACTTTCAGGTTTTCCCTGACCATGTTATCTTGTACATTGTAATTGCCAACATACAGTGAAACCGATATATCCGAACGCCTCTCTAATCTCATCCTCCTAAGCAGGTATCCAGAATCCGTACCTCCTTCCCCTACTATAACCAATTTAATTATGCGCAATGACTTATACATGATTTCTGTCGGAGTGTTGCGACAGCCAATCAGATTGCGAGTTCTTAATTGGGGAAATGCTAACTGCTTATAGCAGGGTGTAAAAAAAGAAAGAAGATATTCTGGATTTTGAAGCCCTGTGATCGGAGGATGCTCTAATCTCAGACTTGCCAACCTAAAATGAAAAATTTTCGGGAGATTTAAAAAAAATTGCGGTACTTTTACGGGAGTTTTTTTCAAAATCCGGTAGTTTTTGCGGGAGTTTTTTTGAAAAAAGCGGGAGTTTTTACGGGAGATTTTTTTAAAAAAGGGGGTTTTTACGGGAGATTTAAAAAAACGGGAGTTTTTGCGGTAAATTTTGGAAAAAAAAACGGGAGTTTTTACGGGAAAATTTGAAAATACAGGAGTTTTTACGGGAGATTTTTAAAAAAAGGTATTTTTCGCGGTAAATTATAAAAAACGTGACTTTTTTACAGAAGATTTCAGAAAAAACGGGAGTTTTTGCGGTAGGTTCTGATAAAACGGGAGTTTTTACGGTAGGTTTTGAAAAAACGGGAGTGTTTGAGGTAGATTTTTAAAAAAAACGGGAGTTTTGACGGTAGATTTCTGAAAAAACGGGAGTTTTTACGGTAGATTTTGAAAAAAACGGGAGTTTTTACGGTAGATTTTGAAAAAACGGGAGTTTTTACGGAAGATTTCAGAAAAAAGGGGGTTTTTACGGTAGATTTCTGAAAAAACGGGAGTTTTTACTAAGTAAAATGTATATGTGGCGTTCACTATATGCTAAGGGCAATCTGAGTGACGTTCCATTTTTAGGTTCGGTTTTTCGCGCATGAGCATTAAATCCAGCGATTTAATTGGTTGAAATTATTATGACGCATGCGCAGTTAATAAATTAATTAGAACTTATAATCTATGATAGATGTCACTTACGTTCATTATTTCACAGCAGTCCCTACCCATAATGTGCCTTATATTGCGGGAATATTTTGTTTAGCGCCATATAAAAACAAAATGTATTCTCCCGACAGAAGTATGACAGAATATGAACTGGCCCCCGTTTGTGGACATTTGGTGTGCAAACTCATACCGAACTGATCGCAGAAAAGCAATTTGAATCATGGGAATAAAGTACTTTAAAGTTATTTATGAAAGTATCGACAGAGAACCATGGGAGCCAATCCTTCTTGGATTAAAGAAAGAAGCGTGCCTGCAATAATCAAGGTCATGAATTTGTCAAATTCCTTTTAAATACGGTAGATTTCGACAGCAAAAAACGGAGATTTTACGGGAGTTATACCAAGAATACGGAAGATTTTACGGGAGTTATACCAGAAAACGGGAGATTTTACGGGAGTTATACCAGAATACGGAGATTTCAGCAAAAATACGGGAGATTTTACGGCCATATTTTTAAAAAAAATTACGGGAGATTTTAGTAGAAATACGGTACGGGAGTTTTTACGGGAGAAAACGGTACGGGAGTTTGGTATTTTTTACGGAAAAACAAAAAATTTACGGGAGATTCCCGTAAAAAAACGGGAGGTTGGCAAGTCTGAATCTGAACATCTCCTGATCTGAACACTTTTTCTTGGTCGCAATTTTGTCATCCGCCATGTACTCACATATTAAGAAAACCTTGAAATATGAACACGGGTTAATCCAAACACTTGACTTGTCCCAGTGGCATTCAGATTGGATAGGTTTTACTGTACATTTAAATTGGATAAATGCCAGTTTGAGATGTGTTTATAGTTATCAACACTTCAAATCCTTGAATATTGAATATGAACTGATGATTAAGTATCATAATTTGTTGGCCTGTTCATATACTTAGTGCCTCACAACAAGTCTAAATGTAGATTTCAAGTAAATCTGACCATTACTTTTCGAGTTATCACCATATTATATAACACATTGCAGACACTGAATGCTGACAACACCACATCTAGTAGAGTGCCAATAATAACATTACTACAGCCTTTGGATAATGGGATAATAAACTAAATAAAAATTCATTAATTGTGATATAAATACTTTATTGTAACAATACTTGATTAAAAATAAATTATGACTAAATCATCTATACAGGGTTGGCCAGAAAACTTCCATATTTTTTATTTTGATATAAATTTTTGATAATGCATGGATTAAACGGTATTATACAATCGATCACAAAATAGCACATGTTTATCTAAAGTAGTATTTGAATGAGAAAGCATGACAAACAATGAGGGCATAAATGAAAACTCAGTCAAGGTAATGTTTGATAGAACCAAGAGGTTCCTGGTCTATATGACATCATTAAGTTTGATTGAAATGCATGAAATTCATCAGTCCAATGCTTTTTCCTTCAACTGTTTTATTTTTGTTGTGTTTTAAATTATTCAATGCTTTATCAAAATAGTGTTCATTTGCAGCAAATATGTCTCATGACATTCTGTCTGGTCCCTGAAGACATGTTTGAACCAACATATTGATAGGATGTCAAGGCTTTGACAATCAATAAATTCCCTTTCACTAATTTCATCTTGGAATGTGAATTGTTGCTTGAAATAATACCCTGACAACAGAATAACATCAAATTTGTCAAATATATATTTTTGCATGCATTAGGTAATCACCAAATAAAAAATATTGACTTTTTGGTCCACCCTGTAGATACAATACGCTAATGTAGTACAATACAGAATACACCATTGCAGGTCATTGAAGTAGATTGCCATAAGCCAATGTGGCTCAATATCACCTTTGAAGATTGAACGACATGCAGTAAATTTTACATGTGAGCTAGTCCTGCATCAAGTTCTTATGCAACCCCCTTCCAATACCAAGCTACATAACTTAATACAAGCTATGGAAAATAATATAAAATAAGTGTAGCGGGCAGGAACTTAATGCAAGACTACAGCTGACTGATACACCAATCTAGAAAGAGACACAGTGATGTGAATATTTAGGAATTTTTTGAACAAAATGATGTATCACACATGAAACCAACCTAACTTACTCTCAGATGTTGCACATAAATATTTACCCAGATTTTTTTCATATGTACCATAACATATATTCCACTTCCATTTCATTATGTTTATCATGACTAGCTGTCACCCGGGGAGGGGGCCCAAAAGTAAGGCCAATTCAAGCTTTAAGGTATTCCTTCGACATGGTCAATATTGCAGTACTTGTATCAATTTTGTCTCCCACCTCCCATTGCATAAAATCTGCTCTGAAGAATCTGAGCTCTCAACTCTCCCCTCAATGAAGGGAAGTACTTAGTAGTGTTGAGACAAAGGAGTTGGGGGGGGGGGGGGGCAGTATTCAGGGTAGTTCAACAAGTTAAACCCAATATGTGGCTTTCTTTATTAATCTGAATTTTCTTAGAGCGGTTATAGGGTTTAACTTCCTTAGTATGCATTCAATGAATCGCAAATTCTGGATCGATTAAAACCAATTTTCCTCGCTAATGATACTTGACAATAATGTGAAAATTCCTACCATCAAACGATTCCATGGGATGATGTATTCTAATTCATAAGGTTAATGTTTGCTAGGATCTTATTATATTATTTAAGGAGTAACATCACAGATACTTGAATTAATTTCAAGCGCTGGTCCAAATTGGGCTACAATTTAAATTTCCATGTAATTTACAATGCACAGAAGTTTAACCTTGTCGCAGGCCGAAAATTATCAAAAAAGAAATAAGGCCCAGAGACTAGGAATAACTTGTTAGACTATATTCAGGGAGGTCCAGACAATTTGATACGAGACTACACTTACTGATCTTGAAGCACAAGCTTTTCATTGACTATACGCCTATACAGGCTAATGTACTTCCCCACTTTAGATGTACCAGGAGTAATGACCTCCTCACAGAACTCAGACCTCGAGGTCATTGCACCAGATAAATGGGACAATCCTATAAACTGAATGGCACCATATACAAAATCATAACAATTGTTTAACAATTCATTATAATTTTTAGCAGTCCAAACATTTGCACCATTATGATTTCCTGAATTTTGTTGTGAATGAAACTCACTATTTGACTTGTTTAAATATTCCAAGAGTCTTTCATCCCATGACTCTGCATAAGACATATCATTCAACAGAGATATGCCGAGGCATTCATCCCAGCCTAAACTATTAATTTTCAAGCCATTTTCATCAAAATCATACACAGCACCAGTAGAAGTTGTGATTCCAATATGTAAATTCGCTGATTTTGTGTAGTCATTTAAGAATGTACCAACGGTTGGCTTTATTACTATACTACACCCATTGTCTGCTGCGGTTGAAAATGGAGACTTTATTCTATACGGTGGGATTCTTAAGCCAGTGTCCTCAATGTTTTCCCCACAAATATTACACACTTCTGGCAAGTCAAAGCATAAAATATTTGTTCTTTCACAATGTTGGAAGCACAATATTTTCCTCTCCTTTGTTTCCATAGTCAAAATCCCCTTGCACAACTGTCATAAGTAAAAACATGTACTACCATAAGCTGATGTGTTTTTCTTTTATTTTCATCACTGGGGCTTGGCTGGGGCTAAGACATCTACATGTATTATTTGCCATTTGGTTGCAGCTTATTTTTAGTACAGTATGCATATATTTCCTAGATATTGCACCATTTGGCTTGATAATGTATGAATTGTCCAGATAATTACTAGTTGCCCAGATAATGCATTAACTAACCAGATAATGCACTAATTGTCTCGATAATGCACTCAATTTCTAGATAATGCACTAATTGACCAGATAATGCATTAACTGACCAGATAATGCACTACTTGTCCAGATAATGCACAAATTGTCTAGATAATGCACTCAATTTCTAGATAATGCACTAATTGACCAGATGATGCTCTAGTCGACCAGCTAATGCTTACACTGACTCAATGGAATGTTCCTATCTACACTGTGAGTTCATTTGTACACTGAATATCAATAAAATAGTCTTGAGCATCATGTACTTCCATGGGATATTAAGAACTCCTCTGAGATCTCAAAACACATCCATGGAATACAATCTGTTGTATTTTTAAATCCATTCAGCTTGAGATGATTGCACCTTGGGTGATGTTGTCATGTTGTGTTATGTTTGTAAACAGAACATGTAAATTCATATCAAATTGTAGCTGACAAATTTTAAGTGTCTGCTTACTTCCTTCTGTATCACCTGACATAGAAACTTGTGTTGAATTTGATGGTCAGGTGTTTTGGTATGACTCTATAGTCTCTATATTGATAGTACTGTAATGCTGTCTGGTAGTCCAAATTTTCAAAGTTTATAACTTCCATCTGTTCTTCTGGACCATATGCCTGAAAGAAAAATAAAATGCTATAGTTTATATAAGAGATGATAAAAAATCTAACAGAGAATTTATGTGATATAATAATTGCTGAAAAACAAATACAAAACAAGATATCACAATTTGATGATTTTTTGTAAAATTCCACACTCAATTAAAATCTTTTAATCCATTAGAGCATAAAATTAAAGATTTGAAGTCAGAAAGTTTGAAAGTTTAACAGTGTTTCATTATAGGCATTTCAAAAATATTCAATACAAATGAAAACAAGTCGAGACTATTGGATTTTAACATGGAAACAGTTGTAAATTTCCTTAAACAGCCAACGATTTTGGTAAAACCAGCAAAAATATCATATTGACACTGCTAATGAAACCCATGCAGTACGTTCCAATACTTTAGGTACATGTACTTACCCTAAAATTGTGTTGATATATGAACATAGATGTATGCACAAACACAGAGCCAGCCACAGCGAGAAAACTGATCAAATTAAATAGTTTCAGCAGCAGCCATTGACAGTAATAACGCCTGAAACAAAAAATAAAATAAGTTGCATATAATACATTTTAGTTGTTTAAAGTCCACAGTTTTATAACATGTATAAACAGTGACAGCAAGACACTCATTTTTGGCTAATATCAGATCTTTATGGTTATCTTTGTAAATAATATATTAGATCTCTAAGTATTCTTATGCTGATTTGAATTTACATTACAGTATTGTATGCCATGAGAAATACATGAACTTGTCAACAAAAAGTTTGTCTGCGATGTGATGAAGCATTGAACAAGGTAATAATACTGAATTAGATCCTACATCATCTTAGCCTCCGAAGTTCCAACTTTAGACTTTAAGATTTTGCACATGAATTACAAATTGCAAATTGGTTCCCAATCTAAACGCAAGACTTAATTAAGCTAATAATCACCAGCCAGATATACAAACAACTGTTCAGGATGTTTGGATTAATCAAAATTCAAGTAATTATTTGAAACCACATAAATAAACACTCTACATGTAGATGTGGTTTCATGAATCACAAGCGAAATTAGTGTGATTAAGCAATGCAATCATTTCATCTAAATCAATATGCTTTAATATTTATCAATTCTGTAAATAAAAGATCTTGTTGCATTCTGAAAGTAGCTCTGTTTGAGACAGAATTTTCAAGATGGTTGCTGAATTGGTACCCTGCGTGCAGAGTCTAGTTAAACTACACTCTGCCTAGTAGAGACCATATTACAGTTTAGTAGCCCTTCCCCCATGACGGGTACAGGTGACAGTTTGGGTAGTAAATCACTTCTGACCTACGCGCTGACCTTTCTTCCACCATTCAGCGGTGAGTTCATAGGTTTATTTTAGTTTGAAAGAGTGAAGACGAAGCTCTCTTTTAAGAAGTGAAGTCAAACGAATGCAAATGGTACTGAATTGGTTGCTGAAGGGGGCCAATAATGCTATGTAGCCTTGGCCCCTCACAATCTATGTAAATAATTGTGTTGAATTATATAGAAATAAATAACAATAACCTATAAAAAAATGGTTGCTGAATTTCAAAATGGCCGACATTTTTCCTGAAAAATGTAATCTTTGATAACTCAAATACCAGTGGACATATTTGGTTCAAATTCCTAAAGATAAAGGGGCTCTGTTCAAGTTGTAATTCTTAAGATGGTCGCTATTTATTGAAATGGCCGCCATTTATGGTAAAAATATAGGTACAAAAATTTCCAATTAACATGCGTGACATATACGGGATTCGCGTGACAAATCCGTACAAATTGCGTTAGTTTTTTTCTGACGTTCGTATTTTTACCGTATCGTAAACATATTTTGAAAAATTTCCTACAGAAATATTTTTGCTTGACAATTACCAGGTAAAATGCGTAAACTGGCGTGACTTCAAATTCTTCAGCAAATGTGTGACAAATACGCAAATTGCGGGACAGTTGACAGGCCTGCAATGAGGTATGAATTTTGAAATACTGGTCGATTTCTAAATGCATTGGCTGCACAACTGTTATATATCAAAATTAAAAATTTTAAATATCGTTTTTGTCATTCTCTATTTAACTTGGACCACAATTTTTGATATTGATAGGCCTAAATTGACATCAAAATCCTCTATAACTTACAGACACATAGTTTACTAAATAAATACCCTGAAGGAGGAAGCTTCAGCTTACTTTGATTGGTTCAAAATGATGTTATTACTTTTTGATATAAACGAAATGGGTGGCACTATTCTGCCATGGATGGAAGTCATGTCAGTTCAACGTCAGTAATGCATGCCATCTATCATCTCAGTCCCAGTTCTGTCAACTTAGTATCCATAAAAGTCTTAGCTTTATCAAAGTGTAAGCCAATGTCAAATCTTAAGAGGATCACCTCTTTCAAAATATGGCTTCTCTGAAGATCATATGTCTGTTCTCAGAATGCAACGCCAATCCGGATGATGTAACACCAGAGATTACCAAGAAACATAATGATGTTTTTTAAAATCCATTGATCTCCCCAGCATTAAAGCAAGTGGGTGCAGCACCCACCAGAGATTTTAAAAACAGGCTTGCACCCACCTGAAAATCTATTTGAACCCACTTGAGAATGAGAAAATCATGAAAAATGGGCATATTTTGACCAATTTTGGTCTGAATTGTGGGAATGAGAATTTTGCACCCATTTGAGAAAAAATCCTGTGGAGGACACTAGACATCCTATAAAAACAATAAACTGACAGGTGAACAACACACCAATATCAATCTTCATTATTCAGTTATTAGACTGAAAATGCAGTTACTCTTTTGACATCCGTTTTGGACTCCCATTATTGTTTGGTCATAATCCCTGAGTTGGTGTACATTTCACCTTATTTTTGAACTTCAGTTGAGTATCAATACTCTTAGCTTTATTTTGGTACTTAAAACATGGTCAGAATCGCTTACTAAACGCAGATATTGAGCTTGAAGCACAAATTTCCTACTTTTTTGGCCAAAACTCAGCTCATGGACATGACCTCATATCTATTTATAGATCGCCAATAAATGTTAAAATGTTAAAACTGTTTTTTCTGACAAGTTACAAAAATATGAAAGTTGATTAAACACAGTGCGTGAAATAAGGATTTTTTTAACCTAGACATTTTGGCAGGCCAGCCAGATTTAAACCAGCCATATCATTTTTTCTCAGGCCAATTTTTTGCAGCCTGTTTCTTACTTCTCTGGCCAAAAATTTCATTTTCCATATTTCTCCACAACCACTCTAAAATGAGATTTAGTTTAGTACAATATTAACAAAGTAAAACTAATTCCATTGCATGTCATGTATCATTCACTATACTGTACTTGATGACTTAACCAACAGCCTGGGTGTGTTGATTCCCCCCTAGATTCACCTTACAAAAACATGAGGAACATGTACATATTGATCAAACTAAATTGTACTGATTTTGGTCGGTTTAGAATTGCTCTCAGAAGCTTCAAGGTATTCAAAAACACATAGACTACTATGTACACAGACTCCACTAGCAGACTAAAATTCAAGGTATATATTAGAGGTTTCACGGTCCAAATAAATTTCGGTACGGTACGGAACGGTACAAATGGTCTCGGGACACGATACTTTGGAGACAGGACGGGACAGAACATTAAAAATGATACAATGTCTGATGATGACAGTTTCACTTTCAGTTTCACTTTTCAAAATCATATTCAGAAATACGTCAATTAAAATCGAATATAAAGCATCTGCCGTGAATGTGATCGGCATTTCACATAGTCTGCATGGTGAACTATCACCAATTCGTTTACCTTGTGATATCGGAGTCCCAAAATACTTCCAAACTGCCGACTTTTTGGACTTAGATGCCGGCTCGATTTTTCAATTTCTTTTCTACATCCGGCATACTGATAATGCACTCAATTTGCGAACGACGATGAAGAAATGAGTCATCCATAGCCAATCAAAATCACCGTAATTTCAACAAACAACAACAGCCAATTAAAAGTCACGTTATATCTTGGGCTTCAGTATGAAAACAAAAATATTTGAAATTTTTTTAAATGTTCAACAAAAGTCATGGAATAAGCCGAAATCGCGGGGAATTCGGAGGATTTCCGGACTGAAATGTGAGTTCTATTCATGGGCAATCTAACGAATGCCACAAATGTCTGGCAGGCCAAAATGTCTGGGTGTTTTTATCAAAACAAGCCATCTATAATTTTGTCAGGCCAATGGCCGATGTCGGACGTCTATTTCGCGCACTGTAAACATATAATATCTCTGATCAAAGCATGGGCATTCAATATCTATTGAGAGCCCATGATCAAAGTCCGCGGCATGAGATTATTTAGAAAAAAATTATTTAGAATTTTCTTTTTTCTAAGTAACTGGAGTTCATTCTATTATATTTGATATTAGATAGATGGTGCTGACTGTGGAACATTCATCTGATCAGACCTTAACCGGAAACTACGGAATCTGGGCATTAATCTTTCCGTTCTGAAAATTTGAAACAATTGTCCTGGTAAATCTCTGTTTACAGCATTATAAACTGATATCCTGTAACCAGTCAAACTAAATTATGACGAAAACATTACAGGGCAAATATTCTTATCGCATCTTACTACCCCTTTAGATTGTGGTCGTACGCCCGATTCATTGGTAAGCCTGTCTTTCTACAATGTCGGAGAATGAACTACGCATTGCACTATTAAATGACCTACCTCGATACATTCCAGAGTATTTTAGAATTCTTTTTATGTTGTTAGATCCCCAATTGTATGGGTTTATCGGCAGAACAAAGATATTTTCGTTTTTACATTGGAAATATGTCTGCAACATTCCGACATAACAACATAAAAAGAATTCTAAAATACTCTGGAATGTATCGAGGTAGGTCATTTAATAGTGCAATGCGTAGTTCATTCTCCAACATTGAAGAAAGACAGGCTTACCAATAAATCGGGCGTACGACCACAATCTAAAGTGGTCGGTAGGATACGATAACAAATATTCTATTGATCACTCGATGCATGAGGGATGGTAAAGGTCAGAACGAGGGTCATATTTTAAGTGGGCATTCTTTGGATGTACTATTTTTGGCTTCAAGTCTGATGTTCTCATTCATTCATTGAGCCTACTACCAATTGGAACTGGATTTGGCTCATTATATTGAATAGATCTGTAAAAGACATGATAATATTTGAGGATTTGTTGTCTAAAAATAATTCTAATTTTTGGGGTTTCAAATTAGCTACTACTGAGCCATGTAATGGTGTTATCTGTCTGTCTTATACATTTTAGATTGTTTAATATATTATGTGCAATAATCTCACCGTTTAAAACCTTCTAAATCTTTCTTTAAATCATCATTTTCATCAACGTCTGCAATATTTTCTTCTTTTTCCATTGCTTCCGGTTTGTCAACTCTCGTTTGAAAATGACTTGCGAGACTTCATTAATTTACATCTAGATCTATATTCCTGAGTGCTGCATTAATTGATACTGCAATTTATTTTACTTTCAAACATTGCTGAGATTATATGTGCATAAGATACATTTTTTCATCACAATACAGAAATTTGACCTTCAAATATTGACCTCGACCTGTCAGTGTCAACATGGCTTCAGCTTACAAACAAGTACCCGGGAGATTGGAGACAAATCGCGATCAGAATGGAGTTATTCAGCCTCTGCTTACTGGTAAATACTTTAGAATAGATTATGTATCTTATGTGAAGATAAGTCCTTTGGAAATGGATACTCCGGGAAGCTATTGGAGTTTGAAATCTTGGTTTGAAATTCTTTGACTTTGATTTGAAGTTCTCAGATGTGAAACTTTGGGGAATCCTTGAAGGAGGGGTTAACTTTTCCATGTTATAAATTTCTTGCTGTTAGCTCTATACATGGGCTTACCCTTAGAAATGCTGCAACTGTAGACTGTATGATTTCTGCGTTCATACCAATTTTGTATTTTTGCACTGTACTGTAAATAAATTATTTTGAATTCCAATAGGCAAAATATTTCATGGACATACGTATATAATAATAGTTGGGAGGTTTCTTCAAGTATATCGTTGTTACGGAAATGACGTCACATAACATTGAATTTCCACAAAAGCGGGCTACGAGTATTACGTCATCAATATACGTTGGTTGATATGGACATTCATTGTGACATTTGTTTTGGGGGATTCCTGACAACAGCCAAACACTTTCACTTTCGTTATTAGAGCACTCTGACATTTGATTGGAAATCGAAAGAGCGTTTATTTACCCTGCGTGCAGAGTCTAGTTAAACTACACTCTGCCTAGTAGAGACCATATTGCAGTTTAGTAGCCCCGCCCCCACGACGAGTACCGGTGACAGTTTGGGTAATAAATCACTTTTGACCTACGTGCTGACCTTTCTTCCACCAATCAGCGAGCTTGAAGAAACATACACCAAATGCGTTCTAATTAAATATGTGCATGTCATTGGTCAATTCCGGGCTCAACGATGACGTCAGAATGAATGACCATACATAGAACGTCGGTCAAATTTGGCCGACGAACACTGATTGGCGCAGTGAGTTCACAGGTTTATTTTAGTTTGAAAGAGTGAAGACGAAGCTCTCTTTTAAGAAGTGAAGTCAAACGAATGCAAAGGGTTGCATTTATTACATTTATTAAATGAAAAGGAATCAAATTAATGGTTATCATCAAAAAATAGTTTTTAACGTTTTCTAAGGCCTAGATAGTTATATACATCCTTTAATAATTAAGATCATATTGGGACAAACATATTTCACATAATAACTGGAGATCAAAAAGAATTGACTCCAAAGTAGCGCTGGGTTCAAAATTAAATTTCTTTCTCAAGTTCATGAATTTTAATATGGGAAGATCCTCGTAATGACACTATTAAAACTCTGATTGTCAAAGTCATTAGGGGAGGGGAGCTCCGCCTTTATATATCCTAGTCTATATTCCATGATGGTGAAATTCCTTGCAATCTAATTGGTCCATGTGACTTAAATATATCCTGTATTACGCACACTCAACTTAGCGCTGGATACAGAGTGAAAAATGACTTCATAGTTGGGATATGGTTCAGTATCCCAACGCCACAGATTTCCATCCAGGATATGACTATTACTGAAAAATTTGATGGCGATTAGTTTAAGCTGACGCGTGCTAATCTTTGCATTTTGCCATGTTTTAAATATCAGGCGATGATACTGTGATCATCACAATTTATAATTTGAGGATAAAAACTCATTATCTGTAAATATAAGAAAACAATTTGAAGCATGCTGGTTGTTTTCTTTAACTAGTAAAAACCCAACATGGCAGACGAAAGTCGAAAAAACGTTTTGCTACACTGCACTTTCAGCTGATGAAATTGAAGAGAAAGGACATAAGATTAAACGTACTATATAATACAAAAAAAGTAAATAACAAGAATAAATACATCGATCAAAACATCTATTAGAGGTGAGTAAGGTTGATCTGTCTGAATTTTCTCCGGCCAGGCCAACGAATCGAACTTAAAAATTGGAATAAAAACGTTATTCAATGATTTCTCGTGAAATACAGAAAAAATCTGCAAGCGCCTCGTGAAATAGACTTTGTATTTGTCATCTTATAATTGCATAGATTCTTAATCAATTACATGCCCATTGCTATATATGGTTACAGTGTTCCATATGAATCAAAGCCACAGTATAGGTAGATTGCCCATTTCATGTTTCTGTTATAATAATTACATTCATTCAAAACCGCTTTATGGTTACAGGTCATTGAAGCTGCGATGTTATATTGGTTTCCTTCATCGGACTATTTTTTGATTTATAGCAGTTTTTGATAAAACACTTGGGGATTCCTTAGTGATAAATAAGCCTAATATTTATATTTTCTGAGGCTGTGTGCGATACTGCCTGCGTGGTATAGGAAAATGTGACAATTTATATGTTTTATCGAGTTAGAAGGCGATATTAATAGTTGTAATTGGAAAATATATACCCCCCACTGAGGGACTGTGCATACATAGTATAGCTAAGTAGTAATCAATATCCTTGAAAGAAGTGAACAACTTTTCATCAGGTAAAAAACCATTCACGAGTCAATCAATTTGCCTTCCTGAACAATATCAAATAATACAACTATAGTTTTCTACTCATATTTATTTTTATCTTAACTCGGTACAAACCCTTTTGACTAAAAATGACCTAATTTGGTACTGGTAAAGTATTCCTGATTTTTTTGTATTCTTAAAATGTCGGGAAGTGGAACTTTTTTGCAAGTTTTTCAAGGTCTAAACTGGGTGCAGTTCAGAATTATCTTTACTTCTTGGGAAATATCTGAAAACAATAATTTCTTTTAGCAATCAATTACTGGCGTTATTTGATACAATTGTCAGAGAATTCTTTTGATTCGTAAAGCAGAAATGCAAAAGACTTTTACTTAAGCTTCAAGGTATAATTTAAGATGTTTTAATGAGATCGTATTCAGTCCCAAGATTTTGAAGGTTTACTGAAAATAAGATAAGGCTAATAAGATAAGCCACAGTATAGGTAGATTGCCCATTTCATGTTTCTGTTATAATTAATAATTACATTCATTCAAAACTCCTTTATGGTAACAGGTCATCGAAGCTGCGATGTTTTATTGGTTTCTTTATCGGACTTTTTTTTGATTTATAGCAGTTTTTGACACCCACCATTGACACCCACTAAAAATCTTAAAGATGTAAAAACAGTTGATAAATGTAAAAACTCCATTAAGGATCACAATCTTAAGGTTAAAATGAGGAATTAAACAAGTTCATAGATGCAGTAAATGAGTTTAATGGTTGAAGAATTCAATTCAATCAAGTGACTTTTTATATGTTCTTTATAGTAACTACCAATTAAGCTAGCCTGACCAACATACTAGTGCTACATTAATATATCAAATAAGTGTCTGATGATCTATTACATCATTCATTTTTCTATCAATTATTCAATAAGCTTTTATTAATTGGGTCTTTATATTCTTGTTGGAGCAGATTGAATGAAGATATGGTGGTATACACTATGCACTTTACACTATACACTATGCAATATCCCTCATAGAAGCTAACGATAAAAGCTAGTAGTAATTATTCTGAAGTTCATTTATCAAAACTAAATCTCTACATGAATTACCACTTAATACTAGGTTATAGATTTACCAAGAAGTAATTCTTGAATATTCTTTTGTATCTGCACTGATTATAACATGCTTTACATATATATTTATATTGGATGGTATTGGAGGTCCAAGTATACCTGGAAATTATGGGAAATACAATAACCAATACTACTTGGCTTGAAATTTTCATATCTTGACAGAAAATCTTTGAGAAATTGAAAGAAAGCAATTTATAATGAAGTTGAGGCTATAAGAGCGATGTAATAATGACAGGTTGGAATTAATGTGTAGAATTATGCATACCTATAAATAGCATTATAGCTTTCTCTTGAACCAAATATTCTGAATGATATCAAGTAAGTTAAACAAAATTGAACCAAATATTATAGATATTTTTTAGGTAGGGATACATGTCAGAAATGTTACAACGCAATTAGCTTCACTTGTGCATTGGAACCCTTGTATCACCCCCCTCATAACCAATAAAAATAAATCACGAGAAAGAGGAAGAAAAGAGCTTTAAAATGCTTTTTTATTTCAGGCTTCTAGCTCAATTTTGAGAGAAGTTGCATCAATTTTTGTAAAATCCAAAATAAATCATACACCCCTGATATGTATAATGTGTATATAATGCCCATGAGCGTTTTGGGCATTGTTTTTATATATAAATGAATAGATATTTTGTAGGAATACCAAAAGTTATTATGTTTCTTTTTTAGATCTGTACCAAATTACAATGGCATATGCTTACTGGAAGTGTGGCAAGAAAGATGACATAGCTGTTTTTGATTTATTCTTCCGGAAGAATCCATTTCATGGAGAATTTACAATATTTGCTGGACTTGATGAATGCTTGAAATTTCTGAAGACATTTAGATATTCTCAAACAGGTAGGTGGCATATTGTCATAATTTTCAAGACAAAATTTCAATTTGATGATAAAAACCTATGGGTGAAATACAGTTTTCCTTTAACACAGTGGTATTCAGAGTCATACTTATACTAAAGTCAGGGAGACATTCAGAAGATATTAGTATTACTTAATATAGTTAAAGAGCTATTTCATCGAAATTTGATATGAAAAATCCACACCCATTGTAATAAATATGAATCAAATGAAAATCTTTCTTATTCTCTAGATATTGAATACCTCAAAGGTGTTTTATCCCCCACCACCGAACCAGAATTCTTTGACTATCTGCTGGACATCTCACCTAAAGACATCATCCTCTACTCTATAGAAGAAGGGACAGTGGTGTTCCCTAAGGTTCCTTTAATACGGATAGAAGGCCCCTTACCTATGGCACAGTTATTAGAAACTACACTACTTACACTGGTGAATTACTCAAGGTATGGCATACTGTACTCTTCACATTGATCTATCTCCCTTAATTGGAAAGATGGGGTGGGTTGATATGGGTTTTTTCATATTCTAGATTCTTTCAACAGCCATGTCATATTTTTTGAAGACCCCATGCTGCATTCTCAATACCTTGTACCTTATCGAAATCCCCCCCCCCCACTCCCATGCATGTGATAAATTCCCGGGGGGTTCACAATATACAAATTCAGTGTGTCCCCATACCAACCAAAATAAAGTCCCAACAGCCATACCAATTTTCCAAATACAGGATCAATGCCATACCAAATGTCCAAAGTAGAAAAAAGCTAATATTCAAACTGAAGAAGGCATTGAGAAGAAGGCAAATCTATGAAGAAAACGATCCAAAACAACTTCAAATTAATGTTGCAATCCTACGATGATGGGAAATTCATCTAGTAAATAAACACCTTAATTAAAAAAGCAGACAAAAATATTTATGCAGACATACATTACCACATATTAGTAGTATCAGACCATTGCCATTGCCACGTCTCAAGTCATTATTTGGGGGGCATTCTCATACCAGCCTAAAATTTGGGTTCATCGCCATACCAAATGTCAAAAAAGGTACCCCATGTGCACTGAGGATCCCCGTCAAGGTTTATATGCAGTGAACCCCTGGGGTACATTCCCATGTCTGAAACATTTAGAAATGCAGTAAAGAGAAATTAGGATATGGACTCTAATTGCTACATGTATTGATTCAAATATTGATGAAGTATGCTCCAGTTGACCAGGTCTTCTACAAAAGCATGTTATTAGAAAGAATAAAATCAATGCAATTATCCCCCCTTTATTTGGCTTAATTACTGCACCTTTATTTATTTGTTTAGTTGTTTTTGCCTTGCAGCTAGTTTCTGATACCTTTAACTGAAAGTCAAAATGGTTATGTAGGCATGTGACAGAAAAAAAGAAAGTGTAATTCATAGCATTATATCATTTGTGGCATTTTGTAGAGTATAATTTGTCTCATGTTTGCTAGGTATTATAGAATGAAATATTTGTAGGTTTTGTTCCAGAGCATGACCTCTTACATTTCAACATACCGTCAGCTCAGTTCATTATTTATGTATCTACACATTTCCTTACTTTCAGATATGAGAAGTTAAACATAACATTCTCCAGATTTTTATTTCAGAATGTGCACATATATTTACCCCCCTTACTGAGATTTTCAGTGCACTATTAGGTTAATAACCTAAAATGAACCTTACCATCGCACCTCATGGTCTCCACATTCAGAATCTGTGCTCAATTCAAAACTTTTTCAGATACACTTGGTGTGTTCTGAGCTGACGATATTTTGACCCTTAAAACACCATCAAAAGCAACATTTTTACGAAATCTGAAAACTAAGTTTTCCAGACAAGAACCGAAAATGGTATGGTATGTTTAAATAGTTCAATTTATATTGTACCATTAAGACATTACATTGTGTTTCAGTCTTGTAGCCACAAATGCTGCCAGGTTTAGAATGGCGGCAGGACCAGAGAAGTCTCTCCTGGAGTTTGGTTTACGCCGTGCCCAAGGGCCTGATGGGGGTCTCTCTGCCTCTAGGTATTGTTACATAGGAGGTGTGTAGTCTTTCTTTTTTCTGTTTTATGTAGGTATACATACATGAATAAGTTTGTTTTGTTTTTTTTTGTTTTTTTTATTCCAGTTTTATTCATGACTATAACATACAGATCAATCGAACAATAAGGTATTTAATGTTGAATCTGGAAATACATACATGAATAAGTTAATTGATAATCATGTGCTGGTCTTAAAATGTATTTTTCTCAAGCATAGTATATACACATGATGGAAAAAAAGGAATGAAGTGTTACTTTTTGATATCACAAATATAGAGTATATCTCCCAATGATGTAAAAAGCATTTTCGTTTTTAGGTTTTGATGGTACGAGTAATGTCCTCGCAGGTAAACTGTTCAATATTCCAGTGAAAGGTACACACGCACATGCCTACGTCACAGCCTTTCAGTCTTTGGAAGAGCTGAAAGAAAGGGTGAATATTTACATTAAAACCTATGTATTATGAGCACATTTCCAGTCAAATACTTTGAGTCATTTCTAATGGACTTTATTTTTCTGAAAGTTGACTTACAGGGTGTTCCAAAAGTAACAGGACTGGTGCTGGTATTTTGTTATGCACCAATTGTCTTCAAATTTTTACATAATGTACTTTCATGTATTGTAATTAAAACTGCAAAGTTTCAACAAAAAATACGAAACTGGGGTATAGTTATGGTTGCTATGGTTACATGACATCACAATACCCGGGGCAACATTCCGCGCAGAAAGTTTTACAGACTTTAAATATTTTGTACATCCCATATCAAAGTTGAAATGCAACTGGTGGGAATTACATTTGCTTTACATCATTTTATATTCCTATGTACCCCCTACTTTAAAAAGTAGGTTCCTCTTTGGTCAGTACAAGAGTAGCACTCTGTATCCATAACTCAAACACACTAGTGAGCCCATTTGAGGACATCGCAGGGTTGCTTGGACAACTTGGAGAAGGTCATTCTCACTTGGAGAAGGTCATTCTCATCTCCAAAGGTCTTACCACACTGATAAGCATTCTATTCTCCATATAAGTAAAAATTAGATGTTGCATGATCAGAAGAGTATGGTCCATGTTCTTAGACCTTAGACCTCGAGAACTAGCTCTTCTATAGGTGCAATGGTATTTAATGCTGCATGAATTCCTATAACAGGCAGGTTATCAAGGTGGATGACTTGCTTCAAATTGGGTCTTTTCATAAAACTCAACCGTGAATTGTGCAGGCTGTTATACAAAGTGATATTCCAGGAAATTAAATAAATATTAATCATACTTGAATCTAAGTTATATTGCAAAATTGCAACAAATCAACTTATAAAACATACAAGAAATGTTGTACTGTAATAGGTGAATTAGATACTTTCTTGAAGTTATACAAAAATGTTAGATATCACATTTTCATGAAAAAGTTGCCCCGGGTATTGTGATATCATGTAACTATAGTAACCATAACTCTACCCATATTTTATCATTTTTTCTGAAACTATACAATTTTAGTTGCAATACTCCAAAGTACAATTTTTGAAAATTTTGAGATCCTCGGTGCAGAATTGACAAAATGCCAGGACCAGTCCTGTTACTTTTGGAACACCCTGTATAGCAAGAAATGATTGAAAAAGACAAAAATGTCCACACTTAAAACAACCTTGAAAACCAGTGTTTTGAGATAAAAAGAAATGTGTTGCGTCTATTTGCAACTGTACTCTCAAAACCTTGTCCCTTAAATCAAAGAATGTTTATTTTAGCATCACAATATTTTCCTGTTTTCTGATTAACTTTTTTGTAGCCATCTTTTCTTATAATTTTTGAATGATTTTTGTTCTAGCACTTGCGTAGAAAAGGAACTGAGGAGTCAGTAGACTTTATAGAAATTGTAAAGTCTTGGTTGCATAAACTGACTAATGCCCTAGGTAAGTAATGCATAGACTTTCTTAATTATTGTATTATCCAGAATAGCAGCATTCTCAAAATACAGGGCTCCAAAACTGTATCAATCTGCGGACTGCAGAGTTAAAATAAAGTACTCTGGATCTTGGGGTCTTGAGTTTGGAGGATGGAAAACAGGGGTTCCAAGAGTTCCTATACTAAGTGGAGTGATTTTTCGCCTCATTTTTTCAGTCACTCTGTATTTTAATGGACAAAACAATTTAATAAGTCACTCAGCGCAAAGAATTGATCACTCCAAAAATTTGATATTTTTGTTAGAATTAAGGGATTGAAAAATGTGATCGCTCTGAAGATCTGAGTTTTTTGTCAACAACTTGGAATTTGTCACTTAATCTTGGAGCCTCTGAAAATGTAATGACTGACTGAGATTAGAGCAAGTGATTTATGTTTTTTTGTTTAAATAATCTGAGTTGTTTTTGTACATGTGCTTATAATTCTTGTTGTCTAATAGTTTTTTCACAAAACACAAGTTTTTCATATTAATTTGTTTCTTATAATGTGTAATTTGTCCAACTATGAGTAGCATATAGGAGATTTCATAGAAAATAATATTGTAGTCTTGATTAGAGGTAGAACAGGTGACCTGTATGTCTTGTATCCATGGTTACAGTACTTCATGCCTGACTTGTCCAGAATGGGATAGGATTTGTTGCCAATCTTTATCCCGACAAATTGACTGTCATTGCTCAGCTTGATTGGAGACGAAAAATCATGACCAAATCCGAAGTTGACGTTACTCAAGCCTGACTTGGCTCTAGTGTTTACTTGTTATTAAAAATGTGTTATTTTGTGATTGTTAATTATTTTTTACTAACAAATCAAAAGCTAATTGTTTATATTAAAGGTGATTTTAAAATTGGAAGTCAGATGGGTAAGCAAAGCACTGAATGAAACCTTTTTTCTTATTTTTTGTTTGTTTGTTGTAGATGCTGTTGTTGTTTTTTATATTATTGTTGTTGTTCTTGTTGTCTAATATGGTTGTGATGCTTGTATTATTTTTTGTCGCTTAATTTATACAAAAATGCTTAGTTGTATAATATTGATAAGTGATTATCAATGAACAGTAAAATTAAGCTGGTAAAAAGTTGTTTATAGATATTGCATTGTGTCTGTTTATTTTATATTTAACTCAATTAAAATTCAACTGGGCTTGCTTCATCCACTGAGTACAGGGCTCTATATTACTCATTCTGGATCTAATAGCCCCATGGTCAGAGGATGAGCTTATTTTGACTGATGAGATATTCACATTTCCCCAAAGTGATGCAACATTCACTTCCAAATATTTCTGTATACACAAAGCCACTCTAATACCTTATACTTGTATTTCCTCAGCATGCCTGAATAAAGTCTTCATATCGTGATCCTCCTATGGTCTTCATTATTATTTCACCTAACAAAGTTCGAAGGGATATAGAGAATGGCTCCATCCGTTCATTTGTATATCCGTCTTTTTTCTAAATAATTTAAAATACTGAGTAATGACTGATATATTTTGCATGTCCACCTGTTCTTCATGTCTATGTTTATATGCACTCTTTCTGGTTTAACATAGTATACTAACTTGAATGGGTGGTAATATTACAATGCACTACTTGCAACTTCCTTGTATTGCAAACATATTGGGGACCTCTCTGTATGGTGTTTAGTTATTGTAAGGGAAAGGGGTATGTCAAGTTTGAAAGCCTGTATGATATAACCGTGTGATCATATGTATTACTTGCTATTACTACTATGGAGATCAACTTTGGAAGTGACCAGTGCTTCCAACTTGTTTCCCAGTGCTTGGCATTTTCTTTATTTTATCATGCATATTAGATTGATAGATCGAAGTAGAACATTATATTTCTTCAATTTCCGCTGAAATATCAAATTATGTTTGCATCTTAGTTTATAACTTCATTCCATGTTTCACCCATGTCACTTAAAGCAGCCTCTACTTTTTAGCTCATGTAATGATGGTTTCATCCTAACCCTGCATTTCAGGTATTTTACAACAGGAGACCAGTGAAGGAGAACTGGCTGCCTTTGCTTCCTATGCCTTGTCCTTTCCTGATGGGTTCCTGGCCCTTGTGGATACATATGATGTACTTAAGTAAGTCAATCCTTGAACATGAAGTACTCAAGTTAGTGGACCTTTGAACATGTATGCCAAGTAGATTGCGAAATAGGGATAAATTCTAGAAAAAATAACTTCGGGAGAAAACATATATTTTAGTGAAAATAAAAAAAATTAACTGGCAAAGTTGTATGTACCTATAACTGCCTTCCATTGACGGAATGGCCGAATTACATTTTCATGTGTTCACTCAAAAGAGGTGTTCATATGCTTAACTGCATACTAAATTTGTTGTGTGTGTTCTAGGAGTGGGATTCCCAACTTTAGTGCAGTTGCACTAGCTCTCAATGAATTAGGCTACAGATCGGTAGGTGTAAGGCTAGACAGTGGAGATTTAGCGTACCTTTCTATGGAGGTGCGCCGTACATTCAAACAGATAGCATCTACGTAAGTAATCTCTAAGAAAACACTGCATTTAGATTGATTTTGTGATTTTATTTAGTTTTCAAATGTAAAGTATGCAATAATATAATGGTGAAGTTAAGGTTTAAAACTTCTTTCATTGTGAACAAAAAATATTTACAATTTTGTAATACATGTATTGTATTCCCCTTGAGATCAGGGCAAACCTGGTAATGTACCTGGTACATTAGCCCCTAGCTAACATTTTTTGGTATAAATGTATTTGTCAAATACACCTGCTCTGTATATTTCCAGATTTGATGTGCCATGGTTTACTGACCAAACTATTGTAGCCAGTAATGACATTAATGAAGACACTATACACTCACTCAATTCACAAGTAAGGGAGTTAAACAATAGTATACCATAAACTCACTCAACTCACATGTGCATTCACTAAACTAACATATAACCAAGCTAATACTCACTCAACTCACACGTGAGCAAGCTAAATATAGCCTATATTCACTAACTCACAATACAAGTTTATTCACTCAATTCACACGTAAGCAAGGTAAATGTAGCCTATATTCATTAACTCCACATTTATTCACACGACTCACATGTAAGCAAACTAAATACATGACATACTTACTCCTATTATACTATTGAAATAATACTACATTTACATAATGCACTTTTCATAAATTGTCTATACATTGAATGTATAAATGTACAAATGATATAAAAAATATACATATAGTCTTTGTATAAATGCAATGCACAAATCATTTTCTTGATTTCTTATCTTTTAGGGACATTCCATCAATGCATTTGGTATTGGAACCCATCTAGTCACATGTCAACGTCAACCCGCATTAGGTTGTGTATATAAGGTAAATATTTTTGAATGTGAATCTTTTCTCGAAAACTTAAAGATTTCAAAATTCACAATCCAAGAAAGTTTGAAGAAAATGGCAAGCGAATTTGGTACAATTGAATGTAATTTTCAATTTTTGTGTTTCTTGAAGAAATAATGTAGCTTTTCTTGATTTTTGTACAGTAAATGTTCTGTGACTTGCCATTACTGAAAAGACATTTGACTTTCACGAAATTAGATTCACTATATTTTCAAGACACATGCTCTTGTGTTACTGTAACAATATCATTTTTGGTATTTGTTGTAGTTAGTAGAAGTTAACAAAAAGCCTAGGATCAAACTCAGTGAAGATGTAGAGAAGGTTACTATACCTGGCGGTAAAGCCCTATACAGACTTTATGGGAGTGATGGTAAGATGTATTTGTGCAATGCAGTTTAACGTATACCCTTTGTTTAGCTACCATGTGTTCATCCACTTACTTCTGTTGTTGATAACCAAAGGATATGACTCAAAAATATTATATTGTAAATTAGTTATTCAGCATATAGAAAATTGCAAGGCATAAAACCTTTAAAATATACAGTATAGTAAATACTAAAATGTGAATTGTATTACCAATGCCATTACCTACCTGCATTTAATGCAGTTAAAGTGGCTGAACCTCTAACAGCCCTGGAATTCTGAAGTTCCGATCCGTGATGTGCATAATCAAACGACTGTGCTACAAACTCTCTTTTCCGTACTTTCTCTTTCAAAACATTCGAGGAGACTCACTACTGTCACCCTTTTCAATTTTAAAACGCTTTAACCTGTCTGCCATTGTTGCTTTTTGTCACATGGTTGGGCTACTTAAATCAATTTTATTGACCATATGATAATTTGATATATCGTAGGTCATGCATTAGTGGACCTAATTCAGAGGTTAGAGGAGGCGCCACCCACCGTTGGTCGACGTGTCTTATGTAGGCACCCCTTCCAGGTAAACTTATTTCATAAATACAATTATACTACTAGTGGAATCAATTGGTGCAAGGCCCCCATAGGGACCTTGCGTTTTCATACTAAAGTTCGTTTTGGAATTTTTTCTTATTGTTCTATGTATTTCAAGACATTTTAGTGAGAGGGCCCTTTTTCTAAAGCCCTTTTTAGAAAAATAATTGAGATTCCAGAGGATACCCATTATTACTGCTTTTTAACACAATGTGAACAGAAAATTCAAACTCCTTATCTCACTATAATTCACCAATTGAGAATGGAAATTGAGCAACCAAACTTGGCACAAAGTTGGACCCTAAGATAAGCTCTAATCTGAGCTGTTTGATCTTTTGTGAAATCATACATTTGCCTAGCAACCACATAGCAACCATCTAAGATAACACATTTTACAATATAAATCCACTTAATATATGCTAGGATGCTATAAGACCATAGTGGTTGGAAGACTGACTCGTGTACTCGAGTTTTACTCGCATTTGTCCTAAAAATCAATTGATCGAGTTGAAAACTTGAACTCACGATTTGAAATGTTTACCAAAAAAATATTTTTCACTCGTTTTCACCTTACCTTGACTCGCGATTCGTCTCTCCTATTCGCAATTTCCATGCTTATAGTTGTAATGTTCTGCTAAATCTGTATAGAATACAACTTATTTTCTATTTAATGCCATGTGCGGAAGACAAACATACTTGGATTTTATTCTGCGTTCGATATTTTTATGCAAAAGTTTCATTTCCGGTTTGATGCATTCTAGGAATATCCAACAGCCGGGATTTAGACAATAAAAAGTATAGAGGCACTTGAAAGACTTGATCAAATTGATGAATTCTCCCAATACTTGGGAAACGGAAACCGGAAGTAACTCAACTAAGTCAAATCGCGAATATAATCGTGGTTTTTCATGGCCCACTCGAGTGGAGATTTTCAGGCGAGTCCGACCACTATAAGACCATTACAAAAAGTCTTCTTATCCCAAAATACAACAATTCAAACATATTTACAGAAGTGACATCACCATGTTGCATAGCAACAACATGGCAACAGGTTACAATGCCCATTTTGACATTTGAACACCATATTCCTATTATATGCTCACTTGTATGCTTTTGGATCCCTTCCACATTATTTCTTAACATACAGAAATTGTATTTAAGCATAAATGATGCAGTTATGCCTGACCATTTTCCCTAGCAACTTCCTAGCAACGGCTTAAAATAATGCTTAAATTTGCCTAGCAATGACCTAGCAACAGCTTAAAATAGCAATGTTTCTCATAAAAATCTCACTATATATCTACTATTATGTAATATGTATGTCTTTTAATTTATAAAGCTTTGTTGCTGCACACTCAAAAATCTGTAGTCTCTAAAGCATGATGGGACATTTGTTGTCTTATGTTTATTAAACTACAAAAGTCCTGCAATTCATGTTTCAGTTCTGAGATAAAGTAAACACAAAATATTCATCGTATTTATCCTTGTTACATTTTCAGCATTAATACCCCTAAGATAATACTCTATTTGGGTTAATTGCTACAATTTCCTTTGCAATTGCATAGTTTTGGTGCAGTAAAATACACCATGGCATTTGCAGTTCCCTTTGCAGTCACATTTGGTGCATCCACATTTAATTATGACTTTACATGCCTCGGATGCTTGCGACAGTATCGTCCATCTGGGTACGCCCAATCCTGATGCGCTCCTAAACCATTCCATTGGTTTAGGAATTGTTGAAGGAAGAACTGGATCCAATATATGCCTTTGCCCCCATACATGTGCTCCTTGGAGCATGACATTATAGAGTGCTGCATCGCATGTTGGAGGTAATCTATCGGTATCCATCTGTCATGAGTGAACATGTGCCTGCGCATGGTATTGAGATTTGTCTCGCTGTTTGTAGGCTGGTAAACTACGATAATGAACCTCTCAATTGTGCCCATAACTTCTGTTGTTGTTACGGTTGATGGGCGATCTACTAGAGTCAAAAGGACACCTGTTAGATCATTACATAAGTTCCATTGCTTGAAAACTGTCACCTTGCTCTGATGGTAAACTCCAGGCATGGTATCAGTTCCAGTATGGGTGTGGAAAATTGGCAGCGCACATGATCTTTGTGGTCCTAGTGCTCTAGCAATCGCATGATCTGGAATGTAGTGATAGGTTTTGCCTTTTGAAAATGCTACATACACCTCAATCTGTAGCTCAGAGGCACAGGCTAAGGCTATCACAATAACATTTCTGTTCCCTGATCTTATCATAGATTTTCTTTTCCGACACCATGAGACACATGCAAAAACATATATGTAGCTGCCTCATGACATTGTTAATTTTTCACATTTGGATAGTAATATTCCACTGAACCCAGCATATGGGTTTATGTATCCCAGCAGGTCGTGTTCAAAATACTAGTATATAGATTTTAAATCAAGACACCATATTTTACTGATTAAATCGTTAGGTCAAGGTTATACTTGTAAAATGCTTAAAATCCTATCTGGGATTTGCTGAAACATACAAGTCATTAATTTCAAAGTTTTACCACTTTAGATGCTGAAGGATATAGGAATTGTGCAAAGAGCTCTATCTTTCAAGAAAGTCTTGCCAATTGCTTGGTAGTTTGGTGTTAGGATAGGATTTCTCAGAAACAATGACAACAAGATAGAGTTCTTTGCAGTACTAGCAACTGTTTCAAGACACATTATGGCAGACGATAGAGTCTTTGTCTCCACCATTGAAGGAGAGTGCATCAGTAGTCCTGCTAATTATGCCATAATAGTCCCTGCTCCCAGGAAGAGGCAGATACACATATGTTTTTGGATGTGTCTCATGGTGTCCGAAAAGGTTGCAGGACATTTATGATAAGATCGGTGGAAAGTAATGTTGTGATAGCCTAATAGCCTGTGCCTCTGAGCTACAGCATTTTCAAAACTAACACTACATTCCAATTTATGAATTTGCTTGAGCACTAGGACCACAAAGATCATGTGCGCTGCCAATGTTCCACATCCTTACTGGAACTGATAACCACATCTGGATTTTACCATCAAGCAATGGAACTTATGTAATGATCTTACAGGTGCCCTTTTGACAAGAAGCACATGTATGGGGGCAGTGGTATATAGTGGATCCAGTTTTTCCTTCACCAAGCCTATGGGGATGGTTTAGGAGCCCATCAGAATTGTGGGTGCCCAGATAGACAATATTGCCCAAGCATCCATAGCATGTTAAGTCATAATTAAATGTGGATGCAGCAAATGTGACAGCAAAGGGAACTGCTTATGCCATGGTGCATTCTACTGCATCGAACTATGCACCTGTAAAGGAAATTGAAGCAATTCACCAAAATAAAGTATTATCTTAGGGGTATCAATGCTGAAAATGTATCAAGTGTCAATGTGATGAATCAGAACTGAAACGTGAATTGCAATTTGACATATGTAAGACAAGAAATGTCCCATCATGCTTTACACAAGAGACTAAAGATTTTTAAGGAGCAACTATAAAGCTTTATAAATTACAAAAGACATATATATTGATTTTCTTCTAGTCATATAGTGGATATATAGTGAAATTCTTATGAGAAACATTGCTATTTTAAGATGTTGCTGGGTCGTTGCTAAGGAAATTTAACCTTTATTTCAAGCCATTGCTAGGGAAAATGGTCAGACATAACTGCATAAATACATTTGCTATATGTTAAGAAATAATGTGGAAGAGATCCAAAAGCAGTGAACATATAATAGATATATGGTCTGCAAATGTCAAAATGGGCATTGTAACCTGTTGCCATGTTGTTGCTATGCAACATGGTGATGTCACTTCAGTAAATATGTTAAAATTGTTGTGTTTTAGGATAAAAATACTTTTTTGTAATGGTCTTATAGCATCCTACCATATATTAAGTGGATTTATATTGTAAAATGTGTTATTTTAGGCGGTTGCTATGTGGTTGCTAGGCAAATATAAGATATCACAAAAAATAAAAGCCCTAAGATTAGAGTTTATCCTAGGATCTAACTTTGTGCCAAGTTTGGTTGCTCAACTCCCATTCTCCATTGATGATTTATAGCGAGATAAGAAGTTTGGAATTTGAATTTTCTATTAAAATTGTGTTAAAAAGCAGAAATAACAGGTATCCTCTGTAATCTCAATTATTTTTCTAAAAAGGGCTTTAGAAAAAGGGCCCTGTCTCTTAAATAACTTTAAATACATAAAACTATAAGAAAAAACTCAGAAACAAACTTTAGTATGAAAACGCAAGATCATTCACCAATTGATTCCGCTATACATACTGTATAGAAAAGCATGTACAATTTTAATAGATATCTAAAAAAAACACCTTCTAGATTTATAAATTATACTTATATTCATCACTCTGTGTCATTCATTCTTGTCATTCTTCATTTTTTTAAAAGCCTGTTGTTATGTCTCTGTTAGGGCAAACACAGAGTGACAAATCTCAATTTTGGTTGAAATTCTATGAAATTGAAATTCTATGAGTTCAATACTATAATACATGTATAGGATTATTTAAAGGCATGTTGCTTCATTACTGTATTTATGTGATGTTATTGTGCTAAATTCATATTATGTTTTTCATGTCTTGTCTTGTCTTGACTTACATCAATGTTCATGCATGCTACACTATATATAAAGTTCTCAATTTAGATGTTTTTTAATTAATTCCATCATTAAGGAAATTACTTATAACAAATTCAATAATTTCCAGTATCACCTCAGTTTTATGCACAATACAATACAGCTAAATGATAATGAAAGAACTTTATTAATAAGTTAAACTTATTTATGTTGCTCTAGTATTCAGTCTTGCCAGTTGGTGTTGTATATCCTTAATTAATTCCTAAATCTTCATTCTTCTCCTAGGTATATGTAGGTATTGTCAACCAGTGCAGTATCAGTATGACGGCTTTATACGTTTCTTTTCTTATCATCTTATGTGTACATTTACATATTTTGTAGTTTGTTAAATAAATCCATAGTTTATAGCCACAAGTGAATGTGTTTTTAATATTGATTCAGAAAGCAATTTCCATTTTTATTTCTCCACTAAAATTAGGAAGTAGTGACATATAGTAATAGCCGCAGTTATTGTGTGGTTTGCATTTGGTATCATTGTTTGGTAATTACAAATTGTGACACTTTTGTAACCATTTGCAATATCTTAGCAGGTTGTGACATTTGCAAATGTCATAGATTGTTGTATATTTTCACTCCATTGTATTAGAACATATAAATGTGACATTAGTCAAAAGCTTCCATGTCTTTGATTTTGACAAAGTAGATATAAAGATATGAGTACTTGATCCTGATGTAAATATGAAAGAAATTCATTTTTACATTTGATATTTACAACATAAATTCTGTTTTTATGTCACTACCAAAAGTGGTGAAATATTGTAATAGTCTCCAACTTTGTTTTGATGGTTTTTAGCAGTTGGTGTTTGGCATTCAGTGTCTGTAACAAGTGGCAGGTGGTGATATTTTGCATGTTAATGCCTTGTTAATTTAGTTGTTGTCCTAGGCCAGGTTGGTGAAATTGTCGAACTGGTGATCTGAGTTTATTTCAAGCAGTTATGTAGACTAGAGTGTATATTGTCATAGTATATGTCATGTTCTTCAAGCTAATACTAAAGGGTCTTTATACTTTAAATGCACATATTGTATTCCTGTTTATTTTAACTGGATAATTTCTTCATATATAGTGGTGAACAGCGCTGTAATAATGACACTTATCAGGATCTATTGAGCTAACTTTTCAAAAGAGTGCTGCTTGATCACTGCTGTCATGTGCAACAGTGTATTGCTCTGGTTGTTTAAGTTCAGACTTGGGGTCTGGACTCTGTGGAGGTTAATGCCATGATCCATAGTTTAATAAACATAAATACATTGTTAAGGTAATACATATGTACACATATATATATATTTATCAAATACATACATACACTTTGTACATGCATTGCAGGAGGCCAAGAGAGCATATGTGTCCCCAGCCAAAGTAGAGTCCTTGTATAAGATCTATTGGAGAGATGGAGAGGTGAGACATCTGTCATCAAAATTATGTCATCAGATTGGGTCGAAATTTAAATAAGGGAACATCTATCAAAAATTGAATTAAATTAATTTGAACTGAATTTCCTCTTCCTCACGATTTCATTCCGTGTCAGCCCTAACTTACGCAAATGTTACACAAATTACACAAAATATAATAATAGTAAATACTCTTCTACATGTGTTACAGATATGTCAGCCTTTGCCAACACTGGAGGGAGTGAAGCAGAAAGCCCAGCAATCTCTGGCTAATATACGACAGGACCACAGGAGGGCCCTCAATCCCACACCCTACAAGGTACAATTGTCTGGAAAATGTCTATTATAATGTACATTATATCGGAACAGGTTAACAATAGTAATACAACTTCCCATAATAGTAGATCCCACCAAACAAAACATATTTTATCAAATCACTCACAATGTTGGACCTTTCATTGACTAACTACTTGATCTGGTGGTAAGTGGTAATCAGCAATATACCTGTTATATACTGTACACATACCTTATATACAAAATATGCCCTAGTTCTTGTTTAAATATACTGTAAGTTGCCCATGCTTTAATTTCGCGCTATTTTATTTGGCATGTTTTGACACAAAATTTTTTAGCAGATTTACCCATCGGTAAAATGCGAATATTAGAGGGTTCATATAAAGATGCAAATAATTCTCTCGTTTTTGCAATAGAATAACCAGCAGTGGATCTAGATCTTCGAAAATAGTTCAATATTGACATTTTATTGGGATTTTCAAATGTTTTTATCCTGCAAGGGAATCCCTTGGGATTTATTAAAGCAACTTACAGTATATTTCACATATTAATGGTGCTGATGTTTGTGTATGTATTTCCAGGTGTCTGTTAGTGACCAATTGTACAACTTCATGCATGAGCTGTGGCTGTCTAATGCACCTATAGGGGAGCTATCCTAGAGATCTAGTCCAATATACATGTAAACATGCCATAAGTAAGCTGGAGATATACCCTCTAGAATAACATGTTTATTCTTAGGGAGATATCATATATGCCATAGTGTAGGCTTCAGCAAAAAATCTGACATTATTGCGCATTTATAACTTGCCGAGTGAATATGTAAAAAGATTAATTTATTTTATCATGCTGTGTATAGAATCCAGAATAGAGACATTCGGTTCACATCCTTGTGACCTGAAATAGAGATATATGTGACTTAAGTTTGAGAGACATAGGCACAGTGTACATGTTTGTAAAGTGTTAATGATCATGGAATCAAGACTCATAGAGCACAATCAATTTTGTGACCGATAACTCAGATGATTGCAATCATGCTAAGAACAGAAAAATCCCAAATGGTAGAATGAAGAGTATACATCATGGCAGATATTTATTGCTTCATTATAACTGAATGGTTGAATTTACATAGATTGTTATTTAAAAGTGTTTTGCAGTTACCTTTTGGACTGAGCAGATATTAACATTGTCACTGAGACATATATAAGGGTTATGTACTGGGAGGTTTTAGATATGGGGTATACCCAGAGGGAGATATGCATATTTACTTAAGGGACCATTGGGACAGAAGAACAGAACCCTATTTCCAAACTGACTGCACATAACTGTTTCATCCTATACCCAGTAGTTTTCTAAAAAAATTCAAATTTTTTTTATAATTACTTTTCAAACATTTTAGTTTTTTCTAATTTTTTTCAATTACCAGAAGTGGGTAGATATGCCCAGGAGCGGGAGATATGAAGGTTCTGGATATGGTTGGAAACCTTAAAATCAGGATACAGGATATATCTTACCAACTTATCATCCTAAAACTCTACTGGCCATAGGATATGTGTCTCTGGTTGTTATTAGAGAGGACTATCAAGCTGGAGAGCATGTGCTGATTATAATTTTGCTTTGTATAGAATGCACTTGAAAGTTCTTGTCTTTCATTAATCAAACTTGTTGAAATGAAAAAGTGAATGTGTAGTGGCTTAATGACAAAGATATTCTCAAAAGGAGGTGTTCATGTAAAGTTGTTTTCACAAAGAGAGGTGTCTTTATAGAAATGTGTTCACATGTATGCTACAGAGTTGCCATAGTCCCATAGAATGAATAGTATGAATGTATAAAATAATTTATGTTTATGTGAAGGTTGTGAATTTTGTATTCAAATCATTGAATGTTGTAACTATATGGCCTTGTCGTGTCACCACCCTACAAGTGGATATTGTTATAATTTTTTGTGGACAGTGCTCGATGTCTCTAAAAAAATGTCGGTACCTGCAACAAATTTGACATCCGTAACAAATGACAGGTGTGTTATTTTGCATGCCTCGTTATAGTCCAGTGATCTCCCCAGCATTAAAGCAAGTGGGTGCAGCAATCACCTGAGATCTTGAAAATAGGCTTGAACCCACCTGAAAATCCATTTGCATCCACTTGAAAATGGGAAAAATCATGAAAAATTGGCATATTTTGACCAATTTTGGTCTGAATTGTGAAAATGAGGAGAAATGGGGAGATCACTGTTGTCTATACAATGTTGAACTTGAAGCATGTTTTACAGCATGTCATCTATCATGAATGACCGTTTATGGAGTGTATTTGCCCACCAATGTTTAATCATATTATGCATTCATTGATGGTGATCATCATCTAAAATGTGTCATTAATTGTATATATGTCAAGTATTCTACATTGCACATGTAACTTTACATTGCTGCATGTATCTGACATCAGATTGTATACTATACATGTAATATACTGACATGTATTATACACTGACATCATGTATTATATACTGACATCATATATTTTACATTACATCATGTTTTACACACTTTTATTGAATATTTGATATTGCCATCATGCATTAAATGACATCAATTTATATCAATGTTACAAAATGTATAAGTATATGTTCTCTGTTGTCTCTGTGCTTATAATCTTTATCTAGCACAGAGGAGAATGTACGCGATGTAATATTACAGTACTTGGCCAGTATTTATTTTCAGAATATGAGTGCAAAATGTATACTGTTAAATAACAGATACTTGTACATGAACAACATGTTTAAAACCTTTATAATAATGTGACATGTATACATTAAAATATTAAAACCTTTATTATAATGTGACATGTATGTATCAAAACCTATATTATAATGTGACATGTACATGTATGTATCAAAACCTATATTATAATGTGACATGTATGTATCAAAACCTATATTATAATGTGACATGTATGTATCAAAACCTATATTATAATGTGACATGTATGTATCAAAACCTATATTATAATGTGACATGTATGTATCAAAACCTATATTATAATGTGACATGTATGTATCAAAACCTAAATTATAATATGACATGTATGTGTATGCATTAGAATATTTAAACCTATATGCTGTAAAATGCACAACTGTGATACAAGATAGAGAGAATTATTAATATATGTAGGTCTGTTTTCAAAACAGTAAAATAAATAGTATATCATTAGCAAGGGCTAGTAAAATTGTAAATAATTTGTATTTTTAACAGATCTTTCATGATGATGTGATTGCAAATGGGGTTGTTTAAGGAATACATGTACGTATCATTAAAGGGGCATTAAGGAATACATGTATTATTAAAGGGGCATTAAGAAATAAATGTATCATTAAAGGGACATTAAGGAATACATGTATCGCTAAAGGGATATTCCTCTCTCCTTGATATGGGTGTTTAACTAATTGTAAACTATAAATACATGTGACCATATAAAAAGGTTTTTGGTCATGCCAAATTGGATCATAAAAGATATATTGTTCATTTCATTTGGACTGCAATTTTAAACGATACCTAATAGGGAGTGATGTCATGAACACTTAATTCATAACAACATATATAAGGGAAAAAACACATAGTCTTTGAGAGAATCTTTTCAATATTGTCTAGGATTTAAATTCCATACATGATGCCCTCATTTTGTATACAAGACAAGTCTTCGAGAGCTCTAAACTTGTTGAATTTTACCTCTCTCCTTGCTGTTAGAAGCAAGCTTAATTGCAGATGACATTGATTTTTGTCAAAAATCTTGAAACTATGAATGAGAAGTGAATTTTTGAATTATTAAATTAATTTAACACAGCGCTTAACACATGTACTGGTTCATGTGTATTTCAGTAATGTACAGTACTTGTTTTTGAAGTCTGTGACCATTTAACCATTTATGTCATTTAAGTTATATGTACAGTATAAGCCTAATTTAAAGAAAATAGTAGGTAAAATGTATGTCAGGAATATACCTTCTGATTTTTAGTTGGGGACAGTTGACCTTTTATGAACTGTCTATGCTTTGCCATATTTGGAATGGAGAATTCATATACTCTATGAGAACTTATCAAATTCTAAGTTATCCAGTAAAGTTTTACATTTTTGAACAATAAATTAATTTTTTCCTTTATCATTGACAATCTTGTTTGAAAATCATTTGCCTTTTAATTTATAGAATATAATAAATAGAATACACAGAAAATGAAAATAAAGGTTTGGATTTGTTTATTTTATTTTATTTTGTCACCACTAGAAGTGGTGACATATTGTTATAGTCTCCAACCTTTTTGTGTTTGGCATCTTTAACAAATGACAGGTGTTGACATTTTGCATGTTAATGCCTTGTTCTGCATTGTTACGTGGAGATAAGAATTGCATGCATAGCATTGAATGCTTCACAAAACAGCTTTTAATTCAACTAACTGCATCTACCAAGGGGATTAAACATGCCTTGTCAGGGGAAACAAATTTAGATTTCTCTGACATTAGACTAACCCCCCTATCACACCAAAGTAGTTCTTACCCGTTCTTGCCAGTCCTACGAAAATGTCGTAAAACGGGCTCAATCTGATTGCGGTCGGGATATATGTCTAAAATAATTAGCTACTTCGTTCATAAACAGTCCTCAATACGTCCATCTCATTCGCAGTTCGTTCAGGTCGCACCACGTCGGTGTGCAACGTAGTATAAACCGTCCCTTAGTCTAGAAGGTCATCATGACCTGATTACAGAACGGTATGGTCGCCATCGAATTTTGATCGATTCAAAATTCTAAATCACATACCCCGTCCGGGAAAGTCCATGAAGTTCGTACAGACCGTAGAACATTGTAGCTACGTTCATTCAGTTCGCACACAGTTTGAAACCGATTCGGCAACGTTTTGACGATCACCAGAATTTTTTTTAGCATGCTCTAAGTGCTGGAGGACCTACTCGTTCTAGTAGTTTCATGAAGTTTGTAAACAGATCCCAAACGGTTCTTAGTGGGTTCTTAGTACGTCAAATCCGTTCATGCACAGTTTAAGCCCGTTTTCGAGAACGTAGTGAGAACTAGTTTGGTGTGATAGTAGGGTAAACCTGGAGTCATTAGATTTTATTTGTGTATAACAAGGAGGTGGGAAACTCCCAGGGCATTAGCAATGACAGACATATTATGTCTCTTGCGTACCACCTTTACTTCGTTTGCGCAAATTCTCACCAGTTAGTTTTTGAATATAACATGTCGTTGTGATGTTTAGTTTTAATCGATGTAAGCATATACCTTACATCTCTCTTTATCTTGATGTAAAATAACAAGCTATGATAATTGGTTAACACCCCAGAAATTAAAACATAATATTTTTTAAAGCGTTGTTAGAAAATTTTGAATCCGCCATTTTTGTTTGTTGATTTGAACCAATCAGGGCGGTAGGTCATCCCAATACAGATTTCCATTGTAGACGTAGGTCATCTTTGAACCCTGAGATTTCCCCTCCCCTCTTTGTATAACACAAGACCCTTCAATGACAAAAACTAAGTTTTAGACAAAAGCATTTATTAGAGCAGTTATATTACTGCAAGTTTAACATTGAGTTACATTCACGTTGTTAAATACTGATAACTGATATAGTAGTGTTATGCCAGCAGAGAAAATCATAAATAAAAATACAATACAGTATAGTACAATACAATACACAATATAAACACTGTCATTATAAAGTCAGAAATACACTGAACATTCTGTTCTTGATTCTAGCTTTAAATTGAGCGTACAGATATCATTTTGTTGACATCAGTATATAACTTGACTGAAGATACAGGTGCAAATAAACATACTGTCTGCAAAATTGTAGACTATTGGACGGAATAAAATATATTGGACGGAGCTGAACACTGCTAATATTCTCTAAATAGTAATTAAAATTACTCTTTATATAACACAAGTGTTGAACACTTTAGTGTTTAATAAATTTTTTTACACCATCTGATCTATACAGGGTGCTCCAACACGTAATGCAACCCATTTAATCAGAGGTACCAGTGTACCCCATACTGAATATTTATACAGGAACACCCTGTAGACATGGTTCTATCATATCACAGAATGGATACATCTCAAATCATTCCACAAAATAATTCCATTACCCCCACTTGAGGTTTTTGAAATCTTTTCAGGGAGGGTATTACATCACATAACATTACGTAGAAGTGACATGACAATATGACATATTCTCTAACATATTCCTTAATATATACGTACCAGTATATGCAACATCAGCTCACACAATATCAAATTATTTGAATTCTATTAAATACAATTGGATGATCCATGATTCTGATAACTTTTATAATTACCGGAAATATCTATAAATTGTCTTAAATAGTACAATATAAGCAGTAACTATGCATTCACAGTTTTAATAAGCCATTTAGCTGATCGTTGAAACAAGCATTTATTGTAAAAAGTCACACATTATTTTGAAGTTAATACCATATAATATAATTATAGAATTCGCAATAAATTAACAAAGTCTATAGTTAAAGTACATGTACTCTCATATCTGAGTGTTTTCAGAGAGCTCTCGTGTTTTTCACACAGCGAGAATTCATGGATCTTAAAACATGTCAAACCACACAAGGTTTTTTCTGAAATACATCTTGACCCAAATCAATTATGCTTACATTCATGTCATATGAAGAAAATACTGAGGTGCATTAATATGGCACAGGAATTAACCGTTATTTTTCTTTCATATCATTTCATCAATACATGTACATGTACATGTACTGGTATATGTTTCCTCTGCTCTTACTCATTTGTTTTTTGTCATTTTTCCTTTCAATATTATCTTCACACTTTTTCTTTTCATTAATTTCCTCTATTATCCTTTACACTGTTATCATTCAACCTATTATCCTTCACACTTTTATCTTTCAAGCTATTATCCTTCACACTTATCTTTCATACACCTCTTTACCTTTGTTATTTTTTCATCAATTTCCTCTGTTATCCTTCACATTTTCAACTTTGACACTGTTATCTTTAATAGTGTTAGCTGTACCATCAGATTTGGTTGGTTCCTCTACTGTAATTGTAACTGTTCTTGCAGGTTTATCCTTAATCTGCCCAGCAGCTGCACTAGTAGATCCCTGAGGTTTAGTTTGTGTCATTGGTTCTGCTTTAATACCTCTGGGTTTTGTTGTTCCTTTTAGATTCACTGAAGTTTTAGACCTAGGCTCATTCTTATCTTTGACAGTATCTTTCCCACTATAGCATGTTATTGCATGGGTCATTTTCAATTTAATTGGATCAATAGATACGGTTGACACAGGGAGTGTTTCTGATTTTGTTTCTGTGGTTGCTCGTGGTCTCACTTTAGACTGAGTTAGACCAAATGGGGCACTCTTGGCTCCAGATCTACTGCCCCCCGAGGGTTTATCACTTGGTACTCTTGTCACAGGGGTAGCCTCCTTCAATGGAGAGCGAGCTCTACGTTCTGATTGTGTCCTTATTCCTCGCACAGGTGACCCCTGGCCTCCCTCACCATTGTGTAATATCGTCATTTTTTTGAGGGACTTGAGGGGCATTATTGGTTGGTTTTTCCTACTCTTCTCAAAACATTCTATAGCAAGATCTGTAACAAAAAAAAAATTTTTTTGATTATCAATGGACAATATCATTCTTCATTGTGTGGTAAATAAATGAATGATTTTGCATTTCAAATATGACCAAAGGTTCACTTCAAAAATCACTAGAATTATGAGGTACATATAAGGGGATCACTTAAACTTTTAAAATTATGAATTTTTAAAGTTTCAATGGTGATTCAGAAAAAACTAAAACTCTGTGGGAAGCAAGACAAATATTAGTTCAGTTAGGTGATGGTGTAATTTTGATTCAATGTAATATAATTCAAGGTTCAACTGTTGAGTACGTACCAGGCTCTATGGGTTTGAACCAAGAACATTTTTATTTTCTGCAACTTTTGACATTTTTCAATCTCAATTTTGGCTCCTCCATGATATTTAATTTCATAAATAAGATTGGAGATTTAAATTATGAAAGTTAAAGCAATTTTAGTGATTTATTCTGTTGAATTTCTGTCATTCCAGGTATCAATCAAGAGAAAACTATTTTGTTTATTCTAGGTGCAAACCTTATCACCTACAAAACGGAGCAAGTTGAGCACTTACGTAGCGATTCCTCCACCACTCCAGGTATAACATCCTTCAATGCAGAACAATTAGTGGCAAGGGAGGGGTTCACATTCACCTCAATAAGGTAGATGTTCATGTTATCATCAATCATGAAGTCTAGGCCATAAAGGTCAAAGAAACCTATCTTCTTCTCCAGCCTGCCCTGTACTGCCTTGAATAGGTGAACCATGATTTTCTTCATTGTTTCCTGCAACATTAAATGTCTGATCAACCGTGCCTGACTGGTTCTCCAAAATCCTACCTCAACAGCCCTCCTCTATCCCTATTTATAATTTCATCATTGGTCTTTATATTAACTTTGACATGTATTTTTCAATTTGAGCCTTAAAACTGGAACTCTGTTCAATGAATCGTTTATACCAAAAAGGTCAAGTACAATAGGAGTTTCCCTCTCAAGCAGTCAATAGTGATGCAGCAGCAATGGACAGTTCCCCAGTGCAAATACCTTAAGGGATTATATTGAATAATATGACAAAACCATGAAAAGAAAACAAATACATAATGGCAGATCTTAATTATTTTTCTATCATTCATGAAATCCCAACTAACCGTAAATGTCTTAAAGACCCAGTCAACCTCTATACATTTGCCTGGTGCCACTTTAGTGTTAATGTAGTCATTAAACTTGTCCATACTCCATGCTGTTTCCTCTTTGGATGCTTTATAGTTGGGATCTTTCTTCTGTATATACTGAAAGTAAATGCGAGCGTATTAGTGAAAGTAGACTTCACACAATTCGACGCTCAAGTAATTATATTGTATGTTTCAACAGTAAGTAAGATGATTTGAGAATGAGGCGAGATGTGCCAAAATCTTCATTTACTTTAGCTCTTAACTAATATATAAAGCAGAAAATTTCACTTTCTGATTAATCAAGTGGACACTTAGACCCACATTGAAAGATTTAATCATTTAAAATAAAATCTGGCTGTTCTAGTATCATGGTATGGTTATTAAATTACCCTTCCTCTAGTTATCTAGCTATCTAGCTTACAGTATAGGCTATGTTATGAAACCTACAATGTACTGAGTTAATCCCTGCTGAAGGACAACGGTACAGCCGCTGCTTCCACTCCGTTGTGTGTCTGAGTGAGGAGGGGCTGGACTAAATTATTTAATTCAGATTGCCCATCCCATTTTTATTAAACTTTAATAGAAGGTGGAAGTTACTGTACATTATTGCCAGCTCAAGTGCAATGTTTATTTGAAAAAGCCTAGCTACAATACCCCTAACTTAATTAGATTTGCCAACAGTAACAGATCATCTTTAACGCAATATTTTGAATAGACGTAGAATCTATGGCAACTATTCTTAAATGTCAAACAAGGCACAAGAACAAATGTTGTCAGACATATTGTAAGGTGTTGCAAATTGTTACCGACGCTAAACTCCAAACACTGAATGCCAAACACCATCCACAAAAAGGTTGGAGCCTATAACAATATGTCAACACTTCTGGTTGTGACTCAAAAATGAAAGTCAAAAAGTGAGAATATGATATTCCTATACCTGGTTGGTGAGATGAGCAATGAGGTTGGTGCTATCATTGTCATAGTCCATCATACTGAGCCTAACATAGCCCTGGTGGAAGACCACAAGGTAGGGCACTGTACTGGCTATCAACATGTATGCCCGAATGTCAAACTTCTTTCCCTCTAGCAGAAGTGGGTTGTGGATATACCTTAAGAGTAAAGAACATTCTATTAGACTTTATGTCTTGCTTTAGCAATACAAAATATAAAAGTATGTTTCTCATATGTTGATGTATTTAATAAGATATACATTTGAATCTTTGTTATTCTTCATTTGAAATTGTCTTAAAAATTTTCTGATAAAATATATCTATATTTTTACAATCGACAGATTTGTTTGGGAATAGTCTAAATCAGAAAAACTTTCTCAAATTGTGTAGATGATGTCCAGCTCGGTGAAGGGAAAATATATTTTGTACCTCTGTATAATTCTGTTGCCGATACTCCTACCAGGACGTGTGTTTTGTTGCTTCTCCTGTCTTTCTTGCATCGTTTTCTCAAACTCTTCCATACTGCGTATCAGATAGATTCCTTTGCCCTGATTGGCTCCTGTAGGCTTACAGATCCAGATTTCACCCTCTGTGCGACAAATAAAAGATATGCATGAAATAATCAAAACCCTATAACAACTACACATGAAAGTCTCATCAAGTTGAAAGACCCACCCTATTATTTAACCATATTGAATATGTACATGTAGCTTCTGTTTAACATAAACTTTTGTTCATTTAAATGATAATCTCACCTTTATATGTTTCAATAAATGCTTCCACATCTGCCTTCCTGTCAAGTTTATAAGTCTCAGGTACAAAGCTGTTCATCTTTAGCTTGGGCCCTCTCCCCACCTTTGTCCTCTCGTACTCCTGTAGACTGTTCAACAGGCCCATCTTGTTGGTGAGCAGGTTACAATTTGGGATATGGTTCACTAGCTGATCTCCTAAATGTATTCATGATGTGTAAGTGATAGGTCTTTTACATTACCTAACCAGAAAACATTATATCACCATTAGAATTTAAATTTCAACAGAACATTACATTATATAGCATATATCCCATTACTATGTCACATTAGCTACCATATATGCATTGTGTATTGCCTCACCTCACCACAGGTAAAAGGGTGCATAAATATTTCTTGCCGACCATCATATTTTTCAATTTATAATACACATTGAATCATTTTGTCACATTTACATAAACACAATAATACAACTTTTCAATTATGTTTCGATTTACAATTTTACCTTCTCTAAAAGCAGAGTAGTTGATTGTACTTTTGCACTCGACCCATTTCAGCTTGAATGTCTCGCTGTATTTGTCAGTAATCCTCTTCCAGCCCATTTCAACCAGTGGTCCTTCAATCCTAGAATGTAAAAAAATAATCTACAGTAAAACATGTCCGAGTGAACACCTCTCTCTAGTGGACAACCTTCCTCTGCATATACTCTACTGACTTCTGTATAAATACCCTCTCTGAAGAGAACACCTGCCAACACTGAACGTTTTTGCTTGGCTAAAAATGTTCAATATACACAGTAAAAATGTTCAATATACACAGGTTTTACTGTATTTCAATCCTAATTTATACTTTTTCTTTGATATGAATTGTCTCAGAATTCTAAAGAGATAATTGTGCTTTATTTATGCCAGTTATACTTGATTAAACTGCAGAATAAATGAGAGCTTAGTTGCAAAAACGGCAAAATGAAATTAACAATCATCTTATTAACAAATAGAATATGTTGAATGGACTTACAGTGGATTCCCATTGCCCCCTCCTATATAGAATGTTGGTTCTTTGCTAGATGCCACACTCGTCCTTGCGGGGGCTCTTGTAGGACTCCCCCTCGGGGAACCATCCCCAGGTGACTTCTTGCCATTCTTTCCATCTCGCCTCATCCCTCTGGAGGGGCTCACGTTCCCTTTGGTAGCTCCAGAGTTGCCACCTGTAACCATGACAATCTTTGTTATTTATAGAAGACCGGTGGTTGATTTCTTGGAATCAATTAGTGCACTGACATGAATAAGGCTCAAAAAACATGCAATCCTCATAAGAGGAGTGTCCTGTGACTTCTAGGAAACAGCACTTAAAATAATTTACAGTTGATATCCCAAAGGTAAAGTCGTGTATGTTGCGCTTGGTGACTTATCGCATTATATATTTAGAGAGCATAGAAATTAGCTTTAACATAAGAAAATTGAACGTACCTGCCAGAGTAGAACTCTTCTGTGGCGGAGGTACTTGTTTATCTTTCATTACACAACTTCTATGACGTGCCCTGTCAACCTTTTTCTGACGATAAACGTTTAGTTGAAAAAATAATTGTTGTAGAACACATTCACATTTATAAGAAATCAATTGAATTTGAATTGAACTATCAAACTATTTTCAGTCTGACTGATCTGGTAGTTTTGTTTGAGACAGTAACAACAACAAACATAAGCTTGCGTGTTAAACAGAAAAATCTATATAATAAAGAATTTTGCCAATAATGTGACGCTCTCTAAATACATAACACAAATCACTAATTAAAAGTAATTCATACAATCATTTATTAAATCTCGCCAAAACATGAATTTGCCTTTTTTGTATAGTTATCTACAATCAAATACATTGTAAATATCTGTATTTTATGATTCGTTCTCTATACAATTACTTCATACAGTGGTATTGAAAGTATATAAAATATTATTTGTAACATACCATGCACCCTGGAGTCTTTCATTATAAAATAGCATGCAACCCTACACTGGCACTAATAACATATCAATATATTTCCCATGATAAATGCAATTTCAATTCTCTCTGTTAATCTCTCCTTGTAGAATTGATTATAGATAAAGAAATGGCCTTACATGCCTCCTAGCTACATGCATATACTGTACTTTCATTGAAAGACTCTAAGACGTTATAGTAATACAACTTGTCCCAAGTACACGTATTGCCAAATAAGGGATAATCTTAATAGGTTTAGAAAGTTTTGCCATGTACAGTACACATTATACTACAATTGACCTACAAGTTATTTCTTATACTTCTATTGTCCACTCAGATATATAAAATATTGACTTTTCTGCCTTCATATTATGTGACAGTGCCTGATCGGTAAAACATCGGAAGTATACAATGGTAGAGTCCATGATAAAATATTTTCTAAGATAGAACAAAAAATTGACAAAAACACCAATATCCTGTGATTTAATTAGCAGGTAATATGTAGTTACAAAGAAATTTCAGGCAATTACATCAATGAAAATTTCCACATCATAACAAACCATCGCATCTCATCTTTCTCAATTATGAGATATGTTGAACAAAGTGACCCCAAATTCAGTATTTTCTAGATCTTTAATCTCATCTAATATTTCAACTATTTTGGGGTCATTAAATCTGTGAAAATGATATCACCTATACCTTTGGACATCTATCTAATGGCAAAGGAGACAACATATTATTATAATCCTATTGCTAATGAAACAGAAAGATGTAATGAGTATCAGAATTTCCCAAGGAACATATTCTCGTGTAACAACATATTAGCAATAATCCAAGCGAGATAATCGAGGAATATAGATTATAGCATAGCAATAGAGCTACCACAACATAGCAATAAGGCAACCATAACACAGCAATAATACAAACAGAGGTACTGAAGTCTACAGATAACAAACAGAGTCCTTCCGCAATAATCCAGATTGGTACCCTCTGAGACAGAAATATTAAAAAAGTTAGTATCTGCCATTCATAATCTGGTAAATCTGTTTTATTGAATTGTGATAATGCTTAAACTAATACAAGATCACCTTAGAGATTGTAATTGAGTCATTTTATTGTAAGATTACTAAAGAACTTAGCCTTACTAAAGAATTTTTCAAGGAAAATCAATTTTCAAATTGAGCTTGATTACAAGTATTAGATTACATAAATGATTTTCATCTGCTTTTATAGCTGTTATGGCAACGTTATAAATAAGGCATTAACATGCAAAATGTCACCACCTGCCATTTGTTACAGATGTCAAATGCCAACTATCAACTGCTGAACACCATCCACAGAAAAATCAGAGGCCATAACAATATGTCACCACCATAGGCACAACTAATGGTGGTGACATAATGGTGGTGACATACCAAGATGAGCTTTAAATATCTTGTACAATGAATAATATAAAGGATTTACCATACTACATTTCCTTTTATGATATACATTAGTGTTCTGATATTTGAGATATTGCCCACAGATACATAGACAACAGACAGACATCTTGTAATTTAAGATACACAGATAGACTGTAGGACAAATATACGGTATATTTCTACTGATCAAACATTCCACATTAATATAGAGACATCTAGGGAATTAGATCAAAGTGCACCTTACTTTATAAGCCACCCTTATAAACTAAATCCTAAGGTGTTAATAGAGAAGATTGATGTTTGGAGCCATAGAGGGCCGACACACTGGTCATCAACTACAACGTTTGTCATAACATGACGCAGAATCGCATAGATGTGCCGTTTAATGAAGCCATCAATTACAAGAAATGATGCCATTATCGCTTGATCAGAGTTCTTAATGATGATGTATAGAAGTTCAATAGGAATAAAATCATGTAAAATTATAACAGATTATTGTGGCTTCAAAGCACCAGTGCCTGATATATCATATATGTATTACTATAATATTAAGTACTAGGTCATCCATAAAATAAAACCCATTTTGAATAGTTAGCAATACGACATCATGGCACTTCAAGGGCAAATCCAGGAAAACTGAAACCACTACATAAATTATTGAAACTTGCTCACTACACGCAAAACACACAAACTTGCAAAAAACTAGTATGAAAATTGCCCATTGTTTTCTCGAGACATGATACAGATATACCTTGTATTTCTTTGTGTGGAGTACTCTGTTCTCTTCAACTGATTTGAGTACAACACAGAATAAAATGGACGGAATCCAATTTGGTAATTTTCAGTCAGGGTGAGACATAAAGACCAGCAAAGATGCTTGTTTCACAATTTAACATTGATCCAAACCAGGTAACTCCTTAAATCCTTAAGTAAATCCATTCAACATTTTTATGACGCACCCTGCTGACTATAATACCATTTTAACAATGTTTTTGTTCTAATCATCACCTGAATTGTGACCAGAACCTGCTGGTTCACTTGTGCCTCCTTTGTTATCATCACCCGCATCATTAGGAGCATCGTCTCCTTTAGGAGCAGAATCTCCCTTTGAAGCACCACCTATGTTCTCCTTATCAAGACTCTGATCCTGAATGGAAAGAGAATCCAGTTTTTCGCTACATTCAGTGTCAATGTTCTCAATGGGATCAAGATGTTTCTTGAAGGCTTCTTCATCCCAACTCTCGATTAGTTCATCATCTGTGTCACCAGCATCCTCTTCATCATCTGACACTGCAAAGATGGAGTGCTTGCTTATCTGCTTCGGTTTTAACTTCGTCTTTGTCCAGGGATGCTCGGGACAATAACTGGAACATAAGCACCAATGTAATACATGCATATGTACAACCAATGTAATACATGCACATGTACAACCAATGTAATACATGCACATGTACAACCGATGTAATACATTCACATGTACAACCAATCTAATACATGCACATGTACAACCAATGTAATACATGCACATGTACAACCAATGTAATACATGCACATGTACAACCAATGTAATACATTCACATGTACAACCAATGTAATACATGCACATGTACAACTAGGACATAGTCAGGATCCAAAATAGGCAAAACAAAAACTCAAGAAGATATCATCATTTTCACAATTTTGATCTAAAAACATCAAAAAATTAAAATTACGATGCCTTATAATATAGCTAACCACACCCATGACTTCTGGTAGAGTTTTTTATGTATGAGTCAATCAATGAGATTAAATGGATATGAGAAATGATAATACTCAACAAGTTGATATGATCAGAATACATATACAATACCATGTTACCTTTGTAAGGGTTTTATGCATTGGTATATCACCTTTTGGTACACTGTGCCTAATATAAGTATAGTGAGATGATCCAATATGATCAGGTGATGTTTGATTAAATTGTTAGAGATGGGACATAATCGATTAATTCTAAATAAGGTATTTATAGGATAAAGTGCAAGTTCTAACAATGTATAAGCAATATTGTAATTGCTTTCAAGGTCTGGCTGAGAGTAAAGTCTCTAAGACTGTATATAATTTGAAGCATTAACAGATAGGCTTATGTAAATTAATGAATACGATCCCTTAAAATCCTGAGAGTAAAGTCTATTGTTATAGGTAATAATAAAAGTCAATACCAAAACTGCCAATCACAATAATTGTGTGTCACATTTAATTCTTTTAATGTTTCAATAAATAAATGATGAAATAATTGATCCTAAATGGTAAAATCTCCAATTGTTTCAAATGAAATAGGAAATACATTAAGTATTTATCGAGAATATCAGTTAAGGGTAGAAAAATAAAAGTTATCTGGATCTCACATAGAATGAGTAATCTTCAATCTTGATGGATTATTGAGAAAGAACAGGACTTTTTTTACAAGACATGACCCAATATTGAGAGGTGCAAGCAATTCTAATCTTCTTGCTATCACCATACCAGGAATAGAATGAGACCTCGATTAAAGGAAGTTGTCCAAAGATCAATATCAAATCAGAACCACCATGAGAGCCACCAAATCCCTTTTTAAAATAACTTTTTAAAATGTTGAAATCGATTAATCTTAAACTGATTTGTGAATTTGGCCTGTATATTGTTTCTTGTAATGGGGTCATGAGGTTTCATCAAAAGCATTACATGTAACCAAAAAACACTTTCAATCTCAATTATCGTGACCTCTGATATCACATATACACGAAACAAAACAGACATAAGCAATAGCATGGTTCATACCTCTGACATACGCCCATTAGCCATGTATCTATGGATCTAAATAGATAGGTGGGGCTGTGGTAAGACTTGGCTTCAAATGCATAACTATCAAACACCTGGACTACTCCTTTCTGCCAACGTGCCCCAATAGTCTTTGGTCCATCCCCCAACCATACTTCTACATGGACCATGTTGTGAGGCTGTTTCTTTGCTGAAAACACAGTAAAGGAAAATTTTATTAAGATTGCGTCTAGGGACATCTTCCTTCACTCGGCTGCCGTCAGAACGCAGGAAAGACTATCTCTGGGTAATTCAATTTACTTCTTACTGTAACTTTATCAAATACCCTAAATCCTCATTGTCTAGCTACTCTACCCTCTGACTATCACAAGCAGATATAGGATCTCAATAATCTCACATGGCTGTTTAAAAGAAGGTTAAAGCTACTAACAAGTGGGAAATGTGGGGTCATATGTGTCTGACTTCATATTCTGATTGGATACAGACTAGATCAAAGAATTAAAGATGGCAGAAAGAAGCTGCTTTGTTTCCAAGGGTATCTATCTAAAGAGGAAGAGAGAGGGCTTGTATGTGGCTTACCACAAGGTGATCTTCCTGCCATCTTTCATTCACTTTAATTCCTAACAAGACTAAAGGCCAGGTTAAGTAGATCTCATCCTAGATCTTACCATTGTATGGAGAATATTAAACTGCTGAATAAAACTTCTGTTAGAGTATTTGTTTCAAAATCCATCCTTTGTAACTCTTATTACTAGTAATTTCATGTTTTATGTTGGCTTATAAAGAGTGTCTTAGAAAATATAGAATTGGGGTCAGGGTGTGGGGTAACCTGAGCACTCAAACATATTGAAGTCAGGTTTATGTAGTGTTTGGTAAACCTTTCTGTATTGAGGTCAGGATGGGGAGTAACATAAAAGTGAGTGAATATAAACCACTTTCAGCTTGGGTTAATAAACAACATTATTGAACACACTTGAATTTGAATAAAACTGAATTGTACATGGAAGCTTTAATAAGGCAAACATTTGCATGTAAGAGTTTTCCTCATTGAATATGAACATACATGACACATAGGGGCCAATTAACAATGTCAAAAATCTTTTTCACATTTGAGACATGTGCATGCACGCATTGATAAAATAATAATTAATGAAATAGCATTTGGTTTATTCATGGGTAACTTTAATGAAGTAACTAAATGAGATGATTTTGAATGCTGGTATGGTTCAGTATAAAATGAATCATACAGTGTACTTTTGAATATAAATATATAATTCAGGTAAATGATATCTCGATGAGTCCAATAGAGTATACCCAATAATGTCAGTTCCAATAAAGTTGTGCTCCTATTTGCTACATAATTAACAAGGCTAATGCCGAACACCAATCGCTGAACACCATCCATAAAAAGTTGGAGACTATAAAAAATATGTCACAGCTTGTGAGAATCTTAACCTGATACCCATGTACTTTCTAACTGTAACATTCAGATGAAGCATAACTGGTTTCCAAGAAACAATTACTTAACAACATCAGGTGGCAATGGTACAGTATGGTATTATAACATTTCATTAATAGCTTTTTTTGTGTAATTAAAGTTGAGCTATCCATACAGAAATAAATTGCCCCCCCCCCCAAGACTGGCTAATTCATTTGCATTTATTTTCAGGTTGTTGGTGTCCTTTTTGATTTGAAATATGTTAAGCTATTTTGTATTTTAATCTTAAGGTATTAGCCTTGACCATAAGAAATATTCAGCAATGGGAGTTCTACTTTAAGTAGACTAAGACTTCCTCTGAATTAAGATTTTTTATTCGCATCTACAGTGGTCATAAATTACAGCATCCCGATTTGATTCTGGAAGATCTAAAAAATTTGACTTTCAGATAGACAATCATAAATACTTACATCTGGATGTATTTCTGTAGTACAAATCAATGATTCAAAATAACATAATACAAAATGAATCTAGTCTATACATATGGAAAGGACTAATAACCAAAGAAAGGCACTGATAAAATATCTTAATACTGACACCTTGGCGTTGCCAATGAAACATTATAATAAGAATAGTCCAATGAACTTCAGGGAAATCGAAAAAAGATACAATAGCCTATAGAATATATATACTGATGAAATTGGTGGAAAATGTATTGTTATTAAATTCTCTTAGGTTAGCTAATGAAATACTATTCATGACTAAGCTTTATTATCGGGAGGAGTGATTAGCAAAATGCAATAAAAAATAAATACAATGGCATTGATCGGAGTAGAGTGACATATTCATGAATGCAACTGGCAAGTGATTAGGTTCAGTGAGTACGGGCAGCAACAAACACTATTAACACATTGTTGCTATGAGGGTGGCGAGACAGGTTGTTTACAGTAGCAACTGTTGCTATGGTACCATTTTCCACCACTGTGAGACATCTGATTGGTTCGCTCTTGGATATCTGATCAAATATTAATCAGCGCATAACTCTGCTTTTTACACGAAGCCCAATCAATATGTCTTCTATTCATGCCAAGATATAATGATATATTTCCCCATTATGTTTGAGATCTCAGGGCATACTATGGATACCAAGCACTATTCATGCTATTTGTTTGCTTGTTTGTGTGTTTGTCATCTCAACACCCTTTCAAAACTTTCTGAGGCGACATAACCTTTTCATTCAAGAAAATATTTCATATACCAACTGGGTACTTTAAAACATATGAAAGTAAAGACATTTTTAAATATAAGCACATTTTTGAGATTTTAAAATATAACCCCAATTCTAGTAAAGTGGACGTCATTAAAACAACAATGTTTGTGAAGATTACAAGATGAGTTCAATTGGAAGAGTGATACCCTATAAAAGCAAATGAAAACTATAAATAATTCACTCAAAAAGACAACAGGCCATAACAAGTTACCAAGAATCTCCTTGAAAATATTCATGTAACATAATATATACTCTAAAACATTTGCTTTTATTACTGCACTCACATTGCCGACATAACGTGCGGTAATACACAGCTCGAATAATAATCCATCACAATACAAAAACTGTTGATGGTATAAAGTTCCGTAAAGTGTCGCTATATTGTTCAACTTGACAATCATTGTTAGCATACTTGTGACGGACTATGATAAATGACGTCAACCAACATGGAGTATTTTATTCAGCCCAGCCCACTCGCAATTGTTCTCTTGCCATGAAATATACATAATCAAATAAGATGTGGTATGAATACACTCAATTTTTAAAACAAGAAACAGTAGAGTATGACGTCTCTAGAATTGTGAAAACATGTATAATGATCCAAAACTTGCACCATTAATGGAATGTATAATGATCTATAACTTGTACCATTAATGGAATGTATAATGATCTACAACTTGCACCATTAATGGAATGTATAATGATCTACAATTTGCACCATTAATGGAATGTATAATGATCTACAATTTGCACCATTAATGGAATGTATAATGATCTACAATTTGCACCATTAATGGAATGTATAATGATCTACAATTTGCACCATTAATGGAATGTATAATGATCTACAACTTGCACCATTAATGGAATGTATAATGATCTACAACTTGCACCATTAATGGAATGTATAGTGATCTACAATTTGCACCATTAATGGAATGTATAATGATTTATAACTTGCACCATTAATGGAATGTATAATGATCTATAACTTGCACCATTAATGGAATGTATAATGATCTACAATTTGCACCATTAATGGAATGTATAATGATCTACAACTTGCACCATTAATGAAATGTATAATGATCTATAACTTGCACCATTAATGGAATGTATAATGATCTACAACTTGCACCATTAATGGAATGTATAATGATCTACAACTTGCACCATTAATGGAATGTATAATGGTCTATAACTTGCACCATTAATGGAATGTATAATGATCTACAACTTGCACCATTAATGGAATGTATAACGATCTACAACTTGCACCATTAATGGAATGTATAATGATCTACAACTTGCACCATTAATGGAATGTATAACAATCTACAACTTGCACCATTAATGGAATGTATAATGATCTACAACTTGTACCATTAATGAAATGTATAAAGATCTATAACTTGCACCATTAATGGAATGTATAATGATCTACAACTTGCACCATTAATGGAATGTATAACGATCTACAACTTGTACCATTAATGGAATGTATAATGATCTACAACTTGTACCATTAATGAAATGTATAAAGATCTATAACTTGCACCATTAATGGAATGTATAATGATCTACAATTTGCACCATTAATGAAATGTATAAAGATCTATAACTTGCACTATTAATGGAATGTATAATGATCTACAACTTGCACCATTAATGAAATGTATAAAGATCTATAACTTGCACCATTAATGGAATGTATAATGATCTATAACTTGCACCATTAATGAAATGTATAATGATCTACAACTTGCACCATTAATGAAATGTATAATGATCTATAACTTGCACCATTAATGAAATGTATAATGATCTACAACTTGCACCATTAATGGAATGTATAAAGATCTATAACTTGCATCATTAATGGGATGTATAATGATCTACAACTTGCATCATTAATGGAATGTATAATGATCTACAACTTGTACCATTAATGGAATGTATAATGATCTACAACTGATCTACAACTTGCATCATTAATGGAATGTATAATGATCTATAATTTGCATCATTAATGGAATGTATAATGATCTACAACTTGTACCATTAATGGAATGTATAATGATCTACAACTGATCTACAACTTGCATCATTAATGGAATGTATAATGATCTATAATTTGCACAATTAATGGAATGTATAATGATATATAATGTATATAATAGGATTTATTTGTGCTGATGCCCTTTTAGGGCCAAACATACATCCAACATACAATTTTCATTGGCCTTTAACCATCAATGGAATGTATTATGACCACAAACAGAATTGCAGAATCACAGATAGATACAGGCCATCATAACTAATGAAGACCTACAAAGTATATATATATAAAACTAAGAAGTATAAAGTATGCCATGACTGCAGTGAGTCATTCTCTTTTGAATTCATTTCTATTATTTGATGAATGTTTCATATCGTAGTTTATCCACATAAACAGTAGTATTTATTTCCAGTGATCCAAACACCAATAGACAGCTTAAAAGGACAATTTGCACATCAAAAGCCCCATCCAACAACCTCATAGAGTCATAGTTTGAACAGTAAAGCACACCTTGTATGTACACATCAGTTTTTCTCCTCAAAATTGACTCTCAGCGTCATTGGATTATTAACCAAAGTTTGCTTTGCAACCCAATCAGATCAATTATATTGAAGAGCTATAGTAGTACTTCTGTTGTTCTAACCTCATTTTCTTTCATATTGGCAGGTACAAAAACAGGCGTCATTTGAAGAGTACATTTACATATGTGTGTGGTATCATATCCATGAGGTCTGAAATATATAAATTTCTCAGGCTACAAATGGGTGAAATTTGGTAAGACAATGGGTGAAACAAGGGTGAAAATGAGTGACACATTAAGCTGCACATGTATGTTTGGTGAAACAAGGGTGGATGAGACAAGGGGTGAAACAAGGGGGTATATCAATACTTGAAATAGCTGATATATCATCACCAAACCATCAAACAAACAAACAAGCAAACAAACAGAGAGTCTAGAAACTCATGTAGTACCAAAGTGGCAGATTACACCTGGATACCTTCTCTTTACCTTTAAGAATCCAGCAAGAATATTACTAATCATCAGATGTGTTTATAGAAACAATGGCCTGTGCTTAAGAAGTCATTTATTCTATTGAAGTACATATAATACAACTTTTATTCCATTCTTTGAACTAATGATTAATGAGAATTGATGGATGTAATGCATTTTTAATGTAACTCGAACAAACATCTTGCATGAAAGGTGTTCAATTAATTAAGGAATGTTTTCACCTGGAACTCAGACTGTAGCCCCAATACATGAGTCCCAATAAGGAAAAAAGTCCCTATACATGATAGTAGTTCCTATATATGATAGTTGGCTTACATGATAGAAGTCCAAATACAAGAGAGAAGTCCCAAAACCTGTATACCACAGTGAATAATGGTGCATCTACAATGCACATATACCAGCATATCTCTCTGTGTCAAGTGCCACATTGGAAAGGTTACATAGAGTTGAATTTTCCTCAAAGGGTTAATGTTACCTATAAATTAGTAAAAGTGATTAATTTTAAGCTGAACCTTAAAACTACTGTGCATGCATTCACTGATCCCCTAAAGCTTTTCAGAAAATCAATGAATTAAAAGGAACAAGTGAAACATTCAATTAGTGTGCAGATCAAACATGAAATGATTAAAATGACTCAGTTTGAGGTAAATAATTCATTATTTGATACATTAAAGATCTTTTGGATTTCAGTTGTCATTATGGGATCAAACTATATGCCAGACAGAGATTGAGCACGAAAGTATCAAATGTGTCATGTGTCAAATGTGTCATATGTGTCTTTATTTTTTGTTTTTTACATACTTTGCAGATCATATACTTGGGACATTTACAAATGATAAAGCATTAATTAATTTGAATTATTTCAGCTTGAACATCTAGATGAACACTTTGCACATGTTTCAAAATAAATGTATAAATATTAAACAAAAACATATCTTGAAAAGCTGATCCAAAAGTTTAGAAAAGGACAGCAGAAAATTTGAACAAATGTATGAGATGCGAACATAAATACGTTAATGAGTGCAAAAATAAGTCTTTGCAAAGATGACCTCAAAGTTTGGATTGAGACGATTCAACGGATTGAGATTAAGTAAACTTAATAAGCTGCTCTATAAATGAATTGAAAGCATCTTCAGAATCTGAACCAGTTAATCTATAGGAGGGAAATATTGGTAATTCGTGGGTTAACCATATTCCATTATCTCCTCAACTTTCGCTGTTCTCTAAAGGAAATGTTAACTGATTTAAGCCGGCTCATTTTATCTTGGACATGTACAGTGCGTGATTGTGCATCAGGCAGAACATTCTCTGATAAATCTATCTTTAACTTCCCCAGTTAGTTTCTCTTGCAGCAGACGGCATTTTTACCCATCCTGAAAGAATCACCAATTTCTCTAAAAAATTTGGATGAAGTGTCCATTTTTGTGGGATTTTAATACATTCCAGGTTCTTTACTTAATTTCTATCAGAAATATTTAGGTCTAATTCGACTCTTTTTATGTGTTTTTCTTAAAAGAAAACATGACCTAATTTAAATTTGTAAGAACGCAACCACTTCGAGAGAACAGGTAAGCTATTATGATTCAGCCAATATCTGCAACTATGTGTAAAACACTATCTGATGTCATGTGATATCTTCTTCCTTCCGAGATACCTGGTGAAATATACTTTTGCTACTGAACCAAATTCAGGAAAGTTTGCTTGCAAAGATCTCGCATGTCTTACAAACAGGACTTCTTGAAATCATCATAAAAATGTTTGCACCAATTTGGTGTTGCAGTTACAAATAAGATACTTTCTGAATGAAATATATTTCTCAAATTACTAAGATACTGCCATGCTTATACACATGATGCAAGGGCGCTCTCTCGGAGGGAGATATCGTTACAAAGTCAGTTGCCGAACTGTTCTCATGAAATGCCATTTCCATGATAAATGTTAACAAATAGAAATAGAATCACATTTGTATGTAAAAGCATTAACCAGACACGGAACATTCTTTGTTGACTTCAATGTCAAATAGACCCGAGAACACCATACCTAAGCAAAACACTAATAAGCTAAATGAATCAACTGAATGAAGAGGATTGAATAGCTGACTAAGTCATTCAAATATTCAGACAAAACCCAGTAACGTTCAAATTTTACTAACACATTATAAGAGAAGTCGAAACCTCGGGGTCGAAACATTAGATAAAACTGCTTTTATTTAGTAATGACAAACAGAAAATGTGATTTCATGGGTTTTCACATGTCTTATGTTGTACGTATTTACTTCTTTAATTCTCAGTTCTCTTATAAAAATAAAGGCAGAATCAGAACCTGTGAGCAATCTTCCCAAATAATAGTTTTAGCTCCATTCAATGTTATGTGTAATTCTGAATATCTCCAAAGTTCATATACAGTAAAACCTGTATATAGTGAACACTAATAGAGCCATAAAAAGTGTTCACTGTAGGTAGGCGTTCACTACAGACAGGGGATTTTATATATGAGTCCATGTAAAATGTGTCTTAAACACATTTGTTCAGTAGAGAGAGGTGTTCACTAAGGCATGTTTTACTGTACAGGAAAAATGAAGACTTTTATATAATGATTTTCTTCTATAACTGTGGATTATTTGGGAAAATTAACATATTTTTGCACTTTAAATCTTAAATAACCTCACAATTTAATAAGATATCATTTATCTTTTAGAAGATAATATATTTGAGATTCTAAATAATACAATGCAGAATCAATCATATTAACCGGGACCTGGAATCTCGGAAATATCTAAAATTACCATTTGTGAACTTCACCAATCATCTCTAACTATCATAATTTTACCATAGCAAACATAAAGGATAAGTAGATGTATGCCTAAAAAGGACAAAATTCATGGCATTTTCAAGAAATACCATCTATTGTATGTTTTCACTCATAAATACCACATAATATTCAATAATAACATAATGCCTCATTTAGCAAAAAACTATAAACACTTATCTGCACATGTTTTAAAATATAATTTGTGTATTTGATCACTCTAGGTTTGAATATAGACACAATAATATGGAATAGACATTGTGGAGCCCATTGAGTGTTTAAGAGGTTACACTAAGCTCCTATCCCCACTCATCCCCCTAAACTTACATTTTGCGCTATTGTACAGTAAAGATATGAGCACCAAGTCCCCAGGCCCACCCATCCCCCTAAACTACATTTTGGGTTATTGTATAGGGACGATATGAACACCAAGTCCCTGGGCCTACTCTTACCCCTAAACTTACATTTTGGGTTATTGTATATGGCAGATATGAACACCAAATCTCCAGGCCCACTCTTCCCCCTAAACTTACATTTTGGGCTATTGTATATGACAGATATGAACACTAAGTCCCTGGCCCTACTCTTCCCCCTAAACTTACATTTTGGGTTATTGTATATGACAGATATGAGCACCAAATCTCCAGGCCCATTCTTGTCCCTAAACTTACATTTTGGGTTATTGTATAGGGAAGATACGAATACCAAGTCCCCAAGCCTACTCTTCTCCCTAAACTTTCAATTTGGGTTATTGTATAGGGAAGATATGAATACCAAGTCCCCAGGCCTACCCTCCCCCCTAAACTTACATTTTGGGTTATTGTATATGGCAGATATGAACACTAAGTCCCCAGGCCCACTCTTACCCCTAAACTTACATTTTGGGTTATTGTATAGGGATGATATGAACACCAAGTCCCCAGGCCTACCCTCCCCCCTAAACTTACATTTTGGGTTATTGTATAGGGAAGATATGAACACCAAGTCTCCAGGCCCACTTTTCCCCCAAAACTTACATTTTGGGTTATTGTATAGGGACGATATGAACACTAAGTCCCTGGCCTTACTCTTCCCCCTAAACTTACATTTTGGGTTATTGTATATGGCAGATATGAACACCAAATCTCCAGGCCCACTCTTCCCCCTAAACTTACATTTTTTGTTATTGTATATGGCAGATATGAACACCAAATCTCCAGGTTTCATGTCTTTCTCTTCAAGCACAATTGGAAGGGTATCAAACTGGTAAGCCTGATTCCAGGGGCCCATACGGAAGCCAAAGTCATCTTGTAGGTCTCTCATAACACGACGAACCAGCCCACAACAGTCCAGGAAGAATGGTTCATTGTACTCTGGGGCTGGAATGACACAATAATAAGTATTGTTTAATTGTATGTTAGATGATAAATATAATATTGTATAAAATCTTATTGATTGTGCTCATTTTTATATCTTATTTATTTTTCATCCGAGCACAATCCAGACATTGCTTGTTTGTTCATTGTTTGTTTGTTTGTGATTGATCCTTCTCAGAGGATGCAGATATGATTTGCTCCCATCAATTTTGCAGTTGTAAAGAGCTTAAAAATAAACTTTGACTCATTCTAATATCTTTATACAGTATCGTTACAGATTTGGACATTTGCAATATACAAAATATCCATGTGATTCTGTCCCAAACTGTCCAAATCATCTTTAATGACAGCCTTATATTAATGTAAACAAACCAATAAAACACACCAACAATACAATAATATGGCATAACATCATAGACTCACTCATCTTACAGTGAACTATGTAAGCTTAATGGCTATAACAATCACACCACATACTTGAGAAGCAGTTGACCAAACATAAAACTCATTGACCGGAATATTGGAATCCCAAAGTAGAAAGTTGAGGCAAATCGATAGAATAAAAGAAATTAAGAAAAAGTAGATTATGGATCTCAAGGATGAATTCTCCCTCATGGTTTCTGCATCATATCAAACTGAGATATGCATGAGAGAGCGTGTGAGAGTATCAGAATGTCGTCAGGGGGATTGATGCATGAGAAAGTCTCTGCGAATGTGTGTCTAAGGAATTGAAGCCTGTGACAAGAACCCTTCAAACAAGGCTGGCAGCCTATAATTAAGTGTTTTGAGCGTCAAACAAATGTCAGCAGAACAAGCTATTTCAATTTCAAATTGATCGATGAGATTTCAGCCCATTATTACCAGGGACATCATGTACCTAGTTGAGATAATCCAACTATAACAATCTGGGATAATCAATGGTTCAATTTGACAATCCCAGACTTCAGCACATCTGAAGGACATATATTTCAATGAAGAACATTTCATTTGAATCACAATATAATATACATCCAATCAATATCATTTATATCTTTACCCAAATACTCTTGTGAACACCCGGATGAACCTAACGCTCTAAAGAATACCTCTATCGAGACTCTTCAGGAAACACCTATTATTTTTCTCTCAATCATGAGTGTACCTCTTCCAAAACTACTTTTTGTGACAATTTTACACCAATTTATCAATTGGATGAATGAATAAATGTAAGTAAAGCAATGGAATTGTCAAACTTGGCATTTGCTCTAGGAAACAATTGAAAGACCTTGAATCCATTTATCTTTTTATTTGACAATTAAACATACTTATAAACAATATTGATGGAGATATCAGCCAAAGTAACATTCATATTTTCTTTATAAAATCCCCATTGAATCATTAATTGAGAAAATGTGTTTTCTGACATTCACATTCACTTTACCAATTATGTTTATAGTACATGTATTAAATGTCATTTTAAACACTTCCTTACTACAATGATTACTATGATTTCCATTAGAAACATTGCGACTTCCCCACATTAAATGAACATTTATCACTCTTCCCCCAATTACTTCAGATTTGCCAAAATGAAGGTACATATTTGGAAAATAGGACCAAAAAGGAAGGTGTTAGACCATAGGCTCTTGAAAGAGTGAGATCGAACAATCATCTATGAAAAAAAGTGTTTTTAACTAGCTTATCATGCACTATTGCATTATATACTTTAGCCCCACAAATGCATAAGTGCCAGTCAACATCAATTGACAACAAATAAATCTGACAACTTAGCACAAAATCTTCTCAAAAAGGTGTTTCAGTAGCACCAGATTCACAAGTATCCAGATTCAGATCCAGATTAGTACACTGAAGAATCCAGGTGGGCCCAGAAATCCTTTTCTATGGCCTCAATTAGTAGGCCTTTTTTGGGTACTACTTGGCCTTTTTGGGCCTTTTTAGGCCAAATTATCAAAAATGAGCCTTTAATTTTCCAAATTTTGGAATTTAGGGGCCCAAAAATTTTCCATACAAGCGCGGAATTTTTTTCCGATTTGAAATGTGGGCCCCCCTTGTCAGCTTCTGGATCCGCCAGTGTAGTAATGAATATATGTTCGATGACACAGCCCCCAATATCATTTCCATTGACTGTGATGTTTCCATCTTGGATCAAATAATATACAAGGACCAAAATTTGGTTTAGGGTACTATTTTGCCCAAATTTTGCCAAGTAAAGGAGAAAGGCTTGCACTGCTCAGATTTAGTGCATTGTAATGTAATATATTTATAATTGCAACTTCCTTATCGACCTGACCTTATAACTACAAGTAGGGCAGACTGTAGACTAGTCTATCTGTATGTTCCAGATTATTTCAACCTGTTCTGTTTCATGCCATACCTGCTAGGTCTTTATATTAGGTAACTCAGGGTGTGCAGATAGGTAAAAGAAAACATAAACCTCATTTCAGATAATTTACATGTTTTTAGTACAAATATTCTTTATTTTTTATACTACATTCACAGGCCTCATAGACTATCAACAACGCGGACAACACCATACCTGACCGTAGTTCACGAGCACAGATCTCAGTGGGTGAGTGGAGAAATATGTTTGGGAGCAAGGAAATGGTAATGCGCAACTAAAGATTTTACATCCGCAATGTGAGAATCGTAGTTCGAGTGCAAGGAACGTAGTTCGCTTGGTCAGAACTGATGTTCGCGTTGTTGATAGTCTAGGAGGCCTGATTCAGAAACATCCATATATCTTAATTCAATGCAACAGTTTATACATTGTACATGCGCATGTTGTAGAAGTAAGAGGAGAAATCAAAGTGGGGGTGGAAATTCTACAGAATGGGTCACTGTATCATTAATAAATATTATTATTAGAAAATATTATTATTAGAAAACAGCAACTCCCCAGAGTAGCATATCCCATCGAACAAAACATGTTATGAAATCATTTGTAATTGGAGCATTCTATGATAAACTACCCGCCAATTGCACTGTCTACTTTTGGTAAAAGCTACACCCATAATGTGACCCGACACCATATCAGATATCTTCTTGAGAAGAGGTCCTTGGTATTAACCTAGGAAATTGGACCAAATCTGATAATTACATTTTTACAAAAAGTGGTGGCTATTTTAAAATGAGTAGCCATATTGGAAATTCCTGAACAGATGGATGGATGAATTCATGGACAGAAGGCTCCTCTATATTCCTACTTGAACTTCATTTGGTGTATAAATACTTTCATTACTGATTTGTGAAAATATATGACTTACTTGAATTTATAATAAAAATGCTTTAACATCCAAAATACACTTGTAACTGCAGGTTGATTTTTAAATACATGTACTAGTATTGTATTTTTAAGATTAAGAAATGACTTATAGTTAGAGTGCGAACATAGGTTCTCTTTTTATATGTATTGACACAGGTGCACAGTGCCACTTGGCCATTCCTAACATACTAATGATATAAAATTCTGTATTAGCTAGTGAAACAGTACATACACTTTTTATAGGTAGTGTAACCTAATTAGGTCACAAGGCCCCTTGAAATATCCTTAGAAACGTATCCTTCAGATACATTGCCCCGTGCGACATTACTAACAGGTATAATCTCAACCCAAGTCTTTATAATCACGGGTTACTAGAGTATCCGCGTATATTGAGTATGACCGGTTCTAAGCTTACGAGTGTGACCGTATTTCTGTTCCTATAAACAGACGAGGTGAGTACTTGCTTTTTATGAACACTTTCGAATGTTTTCTTTTTATCCTACTTGGTCAATGAATGATACTTGGTATACTTATAATACCAGGCATATCACAAGGGGCCTTAATCAAGAGAAAACGTATTAATATTAGATTGAAGCCGTAAAATCCTAGTTTCCAGCATCTTTGATCAGTTTTTATGTAACACAACGCAACTCCGAAGAGGATGACACATCTTATGTATAATATATAGCTAGATCTACGAATTAGTCATGAATATTTTAAATAATTTAGCCTGCTCTGTCCAAATATGATACATCTTTGAATTTTTGAGAATACGAATGTCACTGGTGCCCCATTATTGGAGAATACGGTTGTGAAATGTCTTCCATGACATTTCACAAGCGTATCCTCTGGGAAAAGTTAAATCCTTCTCTTGCTCACTCTACGGGGGATCATATAAACTGAGATTTGGAGATCTTGTTCAGGTTAGCCATAAAAAGGTCTGGGATTTGTTTTTTTCTACTGTGATATTAATGATTTGGCTCTAAGGCGAGAAATGTGTACTTTCTGATTGATATTCCATTATGAACAGTTACATTGCTAAAACAGCTCATGTTTAAAGGGTGACGCATATCGTTTAGCAAATCGAACGCTCGTTTCTGGTGTTGCTCACCGTTTAGTATAAAAGGCCCGATCCTGGAATAATACTCAAGGGTTCACAGGTTCGAGGTCATTGTGTCAACACCTCTAACTGTTATATAGCATAAGTATATTATAGATCGTCACACATTTATAAAAGGGTGATTTTTATTTTGACAAATCAATTCCACATTTATGGGTGAAGTTTCAAAATTGGCATCTAAATTTCCCCATAACGTAATAGCACACAGCTTGGCATATGAAATATCCTACAAATGAAACAAAGCAAGACAAACCGGTTTCTAATACAAGAATTTATATTGGCTGTTGTACATGTATTATTTGAACGCAATCACTCTTTGGAAAACGTTTTCAAAATCATTATAAACGGATTACTTTATCTCAAAGACAATTTCAATAAACTGGATTTTACAGAACTCCCCTTATTTCTTAAAAATGGACTGATCCAGTTGATTCGCCTGGAGCCGCCATATTGTTTTTATACGGGATGCTAATCGGAACCCTTTAACATTTTTTTGTTACATTACTATTAAATACAGCATAAACTATATTCAACAAACACAATTTCAAAAAGGATAATATAGAAGTTAACCTTTATTTTCCATTTTTAAGCAGCTGTGCCTCTCATGACTTTCCAAAACAG